ACCGACAGTTGGGGATCGTCCCAAATGGCACCCTACTCACTATATAGTGCACTACTTTTGACAAGGGCACTATAAAGGGAATAGGGTGTAATTTGGGATGCAACCTTATAGCCTCTCTGTGACCCATGCCTCACTACCCCACCGTCTAACCAGGACACCTCCATAAAGACATGAGGGAGCGCTCTGCCATGGAAGTAGATTCCCAGTAGGACATTTGTTGTGGTGCTTTGGTCTGTCACCATGGCTACAGTATTGGAGCACAAATAGGTCCCCAATGATTGTAACCATGTTGATTATCTGACACCATTTCCACCCTGTGGTTTGCTTTGAGTTATAATGATACCTACCCCAGGCCTAGTTATAATGATAGCTATTATTTATATTTCTTGTTGTTGTTGGCTTGCCAGCTGATGGAAAGACTTTAAATGAACCTGTTAAATCAGTAATCATTACTTATCTAACATGAAATAAGTGTGATGATATCATAATGATCTCGTTCCTGGATTTGGATGTCTCTCTCCTGTCTCTGTTTTAAGATGGTGGTTCTGGATCCTGAGTCACAGTCTTATTTTGTTGACCGTAAAGAGAACTGTGTATGCTCCTCTTGCGGTAAGGGAAGGTCATGGCTTGGGGCAGACTGTTTGACAGTTCACGATCCACAGGGCATATTCATTGGGTTACAACGCACCACGCTGCATCCCAAATGGCACCCTATTCCCTATATAGTGCACTACTTTTGACCAGAACCCTATGGGTCCTAGTGAAAAATAGTGCACTATTTAGGGAATAGGGTGCCATTTGAGACGCAGCCCAAGCCTCACCTCACCTCATTCCAGACTTATTACATGTACGTGTCTAGAGTGTGCGGAAGGTTCTAATAGCTAAACTCAGTGGTACATATAATCCCTTTCCAGACAGTGATGTCATATCCTGGAATGGATTAGTAGCCTACTGGTACGTGCCTCCCTTTTGCCCGCTGCTGTGCCCGGACAGAGGCTACTTGGCATGGGGTTGCCATTCCCAGTCTCCTGGTTGTTATTACACTAGACTTGAGACTTCACATTGGGAGGTTTAGGTTGTGTGTAAACAGGCTATTCGACTGCTTTGTGCACTTGTTGCAGGCTAAATATGGCAATGTCCAAAATACATATTACAGGAGACAGAATAGAATATAACTTTATTGTCCAGCTTGCTAAGGAAGCATTTGCATTATGAATAGTGTTAAATATTAACGACCTGTCATAACATGCTTATTATGTACTTATTACCATATGTTTGATAATACAAAGTCCTAAGGATTCACCGTATCCCAAGGTAACTAGGCTATCCAAATGATGTCCTCCTCTAATGGTGACCTAATATATTCATTAAGATTCCTTCCCTTTTCTTAAACATATCCCATTTTCATCTCTTCTTGCCCCCGAAATTACTATTATTAATATAACTTCATATGTAACAGTGAGCTTGATTATACCAATATGACTGAGCCTCAGCCAAAGTTATTTCTGTTATCAACCTCCTTTCTCCCGATACATATTTTTCTGGCTGCACACTGTTACATAACTGCATAAGACCAGTAGCCTGCCCAGTGGCTCCAAGCAAGGTTGATCTAATCTAGAAGCTTCCATTGACATCCATTGTCAAGTGTTACCTCAGAATATGTGGCTATTGCAGCAGTCGAGGTGTTAATGATTTTCACTTCTCTCTCTCTCTTTCTGTGGGGTATGTGAATTACTTGAACATGCAACAATTTCAAAGATTTTAATGAGTTACAGTTCATATAAGGAAATCAGTCAATTGAAATAAATTCATTAGGCCCTAATCTATGGATTTCACATGACTAGGAATACAGATATGCATCTGTTGGTCACAGATACCTTTAAAAAAAGGTTGGGGTGTGGATCAGAAAACCAGTCAGTATCTGGTGTGACCACCATTTGCCTCATGCAGCGCGACACATCTCCTTCGCATAGAGTTGATCAGGCTGATGATTGTGGCCTGTGGAATGTTGTCCCATTCACCTTCAATGGCTGTGGGAAGATGCTGGATATTGGTGGGAACTGGAACACGCTGCCGTACACGTCGATCCAGAGCATCCCAAACATGCTCAATGGGTGACATGTCTGGTGAGTATGCAGGCAATGGAAGAACTGGGACATTATCAGCTTCCAGGAATTGTGTACAGATCCTTGCGACATGGGGCCGTGCATTATCATGCTGAAACATGAGGTGATGGCGGAGGATGAATGGCACGACAATGGGCCTCAGGATCTCGTCATGGTATCTCTGTGCATTCAAATTGCCATAGATAAAATGCAATTGTGTTTGTTGTCCGTAGCTTATGCCTGTCCATACCATAACCCCACTGCCACCATGGGGCACTCTGTTCACAACGTTGACATCAGCAAACCGCTTGCCCACATGATGCCATATGCTGTCTGCCATCTGCCCGGTACAGTTGAAACCGGATTTCATCTGGGAAGAGCACACTTCTCCAGCGTGCCAGTGGCCATTGAAGGTGAGCATTTGCCCAATGAAGTCGGTTAAGACGGCGAACTGCAGTCAGGTCAAGACCCTGGTGAGGATGACAAGCACGCATATGAGCTTCCTTGAGACGGTTTCTGATAGTTTGTGCAGACATACTTCGGTTGTGCAAACCCACAGTTTCATCAGCTGTCCGGGTGGCTGGTCTCAGACGATCCCGCAGGTGAAGAAGCCAGATGTGGAGGTCCTGGGCAGGCATGGTTACATGTGGTCTGCGGTTAAGAGGCCGGTTGGACATACTACCAAATTCTCTAAAACGCTAAAACAACGTTGGACACTGCTTATGGTAGAGAAATGAACATTCAATTATCTGGCAACAGCTCTGGTGGACATTCCTGCAGTCAGCATGCCAATTGCACGCTCCCTCAAAACTTTAAACATCTGTGGTATTGTGTTGTGTGACAAAACTGCACATTTTAGTGGCCTTTTATTGTCCCCAGCACAAGGTGCACCTATGTAATGATCAGCTGTTTAATCAGCTTCTTGATATGCCACACCTGTCAGGTGGATGGATTATCTTGGCAAAGGAGAGACATTTGAGATAAATAAACTTTTTGTGCGTATGAAAGATTTCTGGGATCTTTTATTTCGGCTCGTGAAACGTGGGACCAACACTTTACATGTTGTGTTTATAATTTTGTTCAGTATATTTTTGTGTCAAAATGACCCATAGTACCTCGGTGACATATGAAGCTATTTTTTTGTTGTTTTAGACCTTTGTTACATCTGCTGATGTAAAAAGGGCTTCATAAATACATTTGATTCATTCATTCATTTTAACCTTTCAAAATATTACAGTGTCCAACATCTTGGTGACACATTATGGGCCATAACATCTTGGTGACACCATTAAGACATTTTAGTTATTTTAACCCCTAGCATTTGGTACCAGATGTATATTTGGCTTTTCAACACCGACAATGGCATCCATTTTAGTCAATTATTTTCCAACATTTCGACATTTCCCGTTAACCCAGTTTAAAATAAAACCTTTGGCTAGAACTGAACGACAATAGAACATGCCAGACTCAACATTTGTTGATTGTACACATTTTGAAAAGTCATCAGAATTACCTCACGATAATCAGATAAACGATAAGCTTGGCTTCGATGAATCTCTTGTTTGTTGTGACTGTTCATTGTTTTATGCTCTGTTTACACACTAGCGCCGTACACACACGGACACGCACTTTTCACCTATGTCCTATAATCACCTTAATCCCATAGAATTACTCTTATCTCTCCTCCATCAGCTCTCTCATTTGTCCATCCTCACCTTGGCCACACACACACACAAAGCCGTGCTATCACTGTCAACACTGATGCTGATGGGTGAGCTGTAAGGAGAATATTGTGTATTGTTGGGTGCTCAATGCCTCCATACACAAGCTGAAGGAAAGAAGCCATGCTTTTGTATACTTCTGTGAATTCCTCTGTGCTTTCCTGGTAATGTTGGAATTCAAGCTCAAATAGCCTCCTATTGACATCAAAATGGTTTGAGGAGTGTATTCTAGATGTATATTAATAAGATGTAATATTAATATTTACTAAGAAACTGGATCTACAGTATGGTGCCAATAGCCATTATGAACTGAAAAATCACCTTGTACGCCTGGCCTCAATAGCTGTGCTGACACTGCATGCTATCTCTTAAGGGAAGGTGGCTGTAGGCCATATCACCTGGTCTAGGTGACAAACTCACACACACACACAAACACACACATCAGATGAGAGAGGAGCTGGCGAGCTGCAGTCACTCACTTCAGACCTTGTATGTAAGGCCTGTCATGTCTTCTTTATTAGGTGTGTGTGTGTGTGTGTGTGTGTGTGTGTGTGTGGTGTGTGTGTGTGTGTGTGTGTGTGTGTGTGTGTGTGTGTGTGTGTGTGTGTGTGTGTGTGTGTGCCAATAGACTAATATTAAGGGGGGGGACGTGCGATCACAGCTTACCGGTTACCATGGCAGCCAGCCGCTTTGCTCCCAGAGGGCCTCCTTAGGAGCTGAATACGGCTGACCTTTTGACGCACGCACACACACACACACACACACCCACACATGTACATACATAACGCACACACACGTACATACATGTACATACATAACGTACACACACATGTACATACATAACACACACCATGACTGCCTGGGGTCAGCTACAGAGCCTTGGGGGGCTGTGAGTGCTGCCTGTTCAGACCACCTGTCTCTCTGCTGTCTTAAAACATGCTCTCTCTTTCTCTCTCTCATTCTCTCTCTCTTTCTTTCTTTCTCTCTCTCTCGCTCTTTCTCTCTCTCTTCGCTCTCTTTCTCTCTCGCTCTTTCTCTCTCTTCGCTCTCTTTCTCTCTTTCTTTCTCTCTCTTCGCTCTCTCTCTCTTTCTCTCCTCTTTCTCTCTTTCTTTCTTCTCTCTCTCTCTCTTTCTCTCTCTCTCTCGCTCTCTTTTCTCTCTCTCTCTCCACAGCAACCACCTCTCATCTATCCAGTGTAGATCTGACCTGACTAAGTGAGTACACTGCCATTCTATATTATAGACTCACTATGATGAACAGTTCCAGGAGAAGATAGTGGTGACCATGCAGCGTAGTTATTTCAGTCGTTTCAATGACAGCTGCGGAAGAAGCTTTGTCTGGTACATATCATATTTCTCAATAACATCCTCTCTCTCATTATCTCTCTCTCTTTCCCTCTCCCTCTGCTCTCTCTCTCTCTCTCTAGTGTTCTGGAGAGGACCATCAGGTCGGCGGTGGAGCAGCATCTCTTTGACGTGCAAATGTGCGGAGGAGGTCAAAGTACGACGGAGGATTCCGAGTCGACCGGGTGCTCCTCGTCGCCCGAGGTAACCCTGACGGCACGGCAGAGACGTCGGCACCAGAGGGAGCAGGAAGAGGCTCAGAGACACCGGGACAGGAGCAGGTATGGACCATAGAACGAATCCTTACATATGACATTTGTCTCACCCTATTGGTGTAGGACCTGCCTTTACTGTTGATAATTGGTATATTTGGTCAATGGCATCCTTTGTGAGTAACCATTCTAACAGAGTGACATTCTCAGAGTTCTAGGACATCAACAATGGCAGTTTCCACCATTGGATTTACCAATATCAGTGGACTGGGAGACTTATTATGATCCAATGTCCATTCTAGTAATTCTAACTCTATGCTCCCAATGGCCTCACCTCTAGTGAGGTGTCACTAGTCTGGGGTCCTAGTGCTACCAAGCTAATCTTTGTTGATATAGACCTGGTGGAGTCTGGAGAAGCATTAGTGCAGCCGCCCACCATACAACATCAATAAGACAAGTTCACTGTACTCTGTAAATAGAATTAGCGCAAATGCTAAACATCGCGTTAGCCTGGGTACAAGGTATAAGTAGATGACCTTGTCATTTGTAACCCAGACCGCTTTGTGTGTGTGTGTGAGAGAGAGAGAGACAGAGACAGAGAAAGAGAGAGAGAGAGAGAGAGAGAGAGAGAGAGAGTGATTCCCCCTCTTTCCTTTCTCTCCATTTGAAAACAGAGGAGACGTCAACAAGGAGAACATCCCAGAGGCCGGCAGCGTTAGCGGAGCTAGCAGCTGTGGCATTAGCGTTAGCGTGGTTGAGGAAGGAGGGAGGAGGGACTACCAGACTAGCCAGGGAGGGCTCCACCACGAGGGCCCCAGACCCAGGAAGCCTAAACACAGCCACTGCCACCAGAGCCCCATGCTAGGCCAGCTTATTGACAACCAAGAACCCCACGCGGCAAGTCACTCTCTCTCTCTCTGTATTTCTCTCCTCTCTTTCTTTGTGTCTCTCTCGCTCCTTATCATTGCAGATGTGTGTCTATTGTTGCCATTTTATGCTCATTTATACTGTATGTCCCTTGTTGAATTCAGCTGGAGGTAAAACATTCAAAACAGCACATCTAAGACAGTTACTTCTTGTTTACCAGTTTACCAAATCTCTGTAGCAAACTTGTTTACTTATTTTGCGGTGCACACTCATCATTTATTTTCATAGTGTCATGTTTTGTACTCCCAAAGGGCAACCTGACCTTTCAAGTTACCTATCCTGGCCTGATTCTCATAATCCTCCCTCTTCTCCCACAAAACAGTATGACGCAGACAAGGTTTGACGCAAGTTTGGTTCACGCCACTGTGGTGTTTTTCACTTCGCTGGTGTTACGTTTGCCTTACGACCAACCCCAGTCCACTCTTAATGGCTGCTATGAGTCACTCCTGAGTAATTGGTGATGTTTCACAAGAACTCCTAAGTGGGGACAGCAGCGAGAGGGAGGTAGAAAGAGAACATTGGTATAAACATCAGCATAGCTGCTAATGGCTAGATTCCTAATCAATCTTACATAGGCTACAGAGAGACGTGATAAGCTAGGCAGCGTGTGCTAGCGCTTCGCTAAATGCTAGCCAACCTCCCTCCCTGGAACACTCTAAATTGCAGGGCAGCGAGTTAACAAGGTTTACTGAGGTTCAATTAGCATTTGCGTTTATTCCGCAGCGCAGGACTAATTTAGAAGATGAGGAAGGAACGCATGGACTGTGTTGTGTAGCAAGGGCCTGTTGTTGTTCAGGGTTCGAGACCGCGATGTTCAGAACAGTATTTTGTTTTGGAGTTAAGGTAATGACCGCTTACCTCAGTGACGTTGTCTATGTGTGCAAAATAAATACATAGAAAATTAAGAAAACATACCAATTGAGGTGTGTCGCAATATGATATTGGACTCTTGGAATTTATTTAAAATTATTTAAAATGTAGGCCCTCACTGCACATTTTAAAATGTTTCCCATTTAATTTTTCTCATTATGCTGGAGGGTATGCTATTGTCTACATCAAGTAATTACATCATTATCTCAGTAATATGCTTCAAAACTGCTGGTGGACTAAAACAGGTTTCATAGTATTTTAATATTACTAATTGAGATGCAGCCTCAGTATCTATCAAATGCAGCAGAAAATCATTTGTCAGCAAACAGTTGCCTGGCAACAGCTTAAAGAGTAGTAAGTCATACCCAGTGGCTCATTACCAATGATATGGCCCTTAATACAGAGACCGTATCTTAGCTAATGTAACAGGAGAGTAGCTACTGTAACAGACCTGGGTTCAAATAGTATTTGTTTTCTCTCGAATACCTTGAGCATGTCTTTGAGTCTACCTGGATCGCCCAGTGAGTGCTAAACGGTCCGGGGTTTGCACTTTTGGGATGATTCCATTAGTTCTGTTGCTCCAGGCAAGCTCAATCAAGTGCAGCGAAACTATTTTAACGAAAACAAGTAATATTCGAACCCACGTCTGGAAGCTACTCTAGCAGAGCGTGCCCAAAGCCTATGGGGAGTGATTAAGGCCCTATAAAGCCTCCCAGAGGGTTAGTCCCAAGGGGTGTCATAGTGTACAGAACACCGTAGCACCATAGAACAGTACAAGCTGTACAGTACATTCCCTGGTTGGTTGATGTGACCCACACACCACAGCCCTCCACCACCTGTTCTGTAACCTGTTTCTAAAAACCAACTGATGATTTGACTCGTTCAGCTTTTCCTCGCCGTGGTTTTTGTGACAATAGTTAAGAGAGGTCATCAGGTTGGATAAATATTTTTTTAAATATATACTTATGAATAATGTGATATAAATGTGATATTTTGCTAGATTTTATGTGTGTTTTATCTATCTAATGGCCAAGGCAAACAGAATAACAAATCCTGTGTGATTGTGTCAACCAGGTCTCGGCACACTGTTTATGTAAAATGTTCTCTAAACATAATTACCCTGAAATAAATGTTTTTCTCCAGACATAGATGTCTGATGGAAGCATGTCCGGATCAACAGAGCTACTGAAATAGCGTTGCACTTTGATCCATACCGTAATCTCCACTAGATAGATAGTAATAAAATGTTATGTATCCTATTTCACACAGCTAAAAGAATGCGTATCAAGAGTACTTGACAGAGCCGGGACCAACAACATGGAGTCATCAGACGACCGGTAAGCATTGTTTTATTTGAACACATTTTCCCTTTAAAATGCTTGTAACTACTACTGACCATTTTCACCTTTTAATTTAGAGAGCAAAGTTCTGCATCAGAAGTAGCTAATACCAAAAAAATGTACTACCTAATCTAGATATTAAGGGGACCCCAAGAGGTGCACGTTTCAGTTTCTGCCCTAGCACTACACAGCTGATTGAGATAATCAACGAATCATCAAGCTTTGATCATTTTAATCAGCTGTGTAGTGTTAGGGCAAAAACCAAAATGTGCACCCCTTGGGGTCCGAAGGGCCGAGTTTGGGAAACCCTGTACTAACATAATGTCACACTGTTGTTTACAGAAGGATTGTTATGTTGCTAAGGCGCTGACGGACTCCCTGAGGTCTAGTCCCATCGTGTCACAGCACCTGTCTTTATAGGGCGATGTTTATATGACAACGTTTTTTATCTGATAAATTTGAGCGAATGCTGCTGACATTGGAGAGTTAGGGGGCTAGATAGCGTATCTAAACTCAACTCTGCACGCTTTTCTACGGGCTCCTGGCTGTGTGGAAAACACCAGTCCTTGCTAGGGTATGATCCTCACATGAGAAAAGGGGATGTAACATGTCTATGTTTTCACCTCTCTTTCAGAAGTGACAGTCAAAGAAAGGACTCAAGTCTTCCTCTAACTCCTTCATGGGTGAGTTGAGTATCTATCTATCTATCTATCTATCTCTATCTCTATCTCTATCTCTATCTCTATCTCTATCTCTCTCTCTCTCTCTCTCTCTCTCTCTCTCTCTCTCTCTCTCTCTCTCTCTCTCTCTCGCTCTCGCTCTCCTCTCTTTTCTCTCATCTCCCTCTCCTCTCTCTCTCTCTCTCTCTCTCTCTCTCTCTCTCTCTCTCTCTCTCTATTCCTCTTTCACTGAAATTCCCTGCATGTACATGCTAGATCTCCTAGGGTTGCTGTGTTCACACTGCTTGAGGAAGATAGGGCCAGAGTCTCTCAGTAGCCTAGGTGATTGTAGCCTAGGGGTCTGTTGGAAGGGGAGGTGTCTGAGGGAAGAGGAGGTGTCTGAGGGAAGGGGAGGGGTCTGAGGGAAGAGGAGGTGTCTGAGGGAAGGGGAGGGGTCTGAGGGAACTACTAGAGCTTGTTCATGACCAATGAACAACTGGAGCAGATACATGAGCTACTATTTTGGTCCCCTCACTGCAATGTGGAACTACCACATCTCTGCTGGTCAAGATGTTACAGCCAAACAACTTCTCTCTAGGGGAAAAGCAGACATCCCTTGGAGAGATTGACAGATAAGCAACAATGAATCACTGTTATTGACACAATATGGAAAGTAGAGAAGAAGTAGAAAATAAACTAAAACAGTTTGAGCTTTTCATTGAATGAAAATCCCCACATGAAACAACTAACTACTTATCCACGCATCTTGATGGGAACACTGGGAACGTTTTACACTGCAGCTCTGTATCACTTCAAAATGTGAATCACTGTGCAACTATTAAAAACATCAGAAGCAGCCATTTAGCATAGTGATAAGATCATAGTTGCTAACGTGGTGTGCAGATGGAAACAGTCCTATGGAATCTACTGGTCCATCTGCTTTCTAGTACAGTAGGCTAATCTGTAACACTTAATGTGACTCTACAACAGAACTGTACACACACACAAACATACACACACACAGTCCAGATGGGTCTTAATGACACAATTCTCTGTCTTCACCACCTCAGAACAGGCTGTACCCACTGAGATGCAGTCTGTGCCTGGCATGGTGGCACGGCGTCCTCGGGGGTAAAGGGTTATTGTGCCAACCTCTCTGCTGGTTGTTGGTGTCAGATCAGAGGTGGTGGCATGAGGGATCACAGCACCTAGTGACATCAGAGCGTACTACTGACAGCAGGTCCAATTAGTGTACAAAGTAGTTTAGTTCTCTTGATCGGTCTACTAAGACAGAGGCTGTGTTCCCTATGTTCCCTATGTCAAAACTAGTTCTCTATAAAGGTAATAGGGTCCCATTTGGGACGCAGCCAAAGACAGATTGATGTCTTGACTAGATTGATTGTTTTTAAGCATATTTTTTGAAGGTTATTGTTGAAGCTCAGTTTTATGTTGTCTCTTAAAACTGTAACTAAAGTTTATTGTTATTCAGAGACAGTTCAGTCAAAACAAAGACAACCTTTTAGCGTTTCAGTCATGTGCACGATGGAACGCTGCTTCGTCCGTATATTGCTTGTTATCCTCGAAGCAACTCAAGTCGACGTGAAAGCTGAGAGAAACCCTCATTGGACCTGTCTGGCTTTCACACCTTAAAACATTTATGGACAGAGTCTTTTACAGCCTTGGCTGTAGTGAGTGTTGGCCTCGGTCAGCACACACACACACACACACACAAACACATGTACACACACACACGTACACACACACACGTACACACACACACGTACACACACACACATACGTACACACACTGAAGTGTATCAGTGTGTGGCATGCCTGAGCCTCTGTAACCTGATAACACCCAGAATGTCTTCTAGAGCTCACTGTTCCAGCTTGTGTGTGTGTGTGTGTGTGTGTGCGCTCATTCGTTCCATAGCATAAGGGGGAGCAGTGCCACGTCTGTGCTAGCTACCACATTCTCAGCCCTGTCCCAATACTACACACACAGCCAAGGGCCAGTGGAGGTACAGGGAGTCAGGACAGGCTTAAGAGATTAAAGACTTCCACACCCACACATCAATTCTGGACCACTTAAACCAGTACAGTACAGCTCAATGGGACCTGGAATATAACTGTACAAACAAGTCTTTCTTTTGGTTTGACCTATAATGCCTACAGTACCGTACTGCTTAGTACCCAACCGCAAAAAAGAGATTTCAACTTTCAAAGGGATCTTACTTGGTTGGATAAAAGCTTAGACGGCATGTAAATTCGAGCACCCCCCCCCCAAAAAAAAACATGATGCTTACTTGGTGTTGATTCTGATTTCTTGCATCTGTGTAATATTGTGAAAACCTCAGGATTGTACTGTTGTAATAATGGATCACAAAAATGTGAAGGGGGTTATTGCTCGTTCAGTATACACTCGACACTGTGTGTGTGTGTGCGTGTTCTTTCGTGCGTGTGTCACTAGTGGCTGTGTATCAAGCCTCCTCATCCAATGTGATTACCACCCCAGCCTCATCTTCCTAAATCGTCTGTGTGCAGCCTGTCTATAAAACCCTAACACACATATTAACCATGGAGAGAACACCCACTGTGGGACATGTTGGCCAAATCCAAGCCCAAAGTCTGGGCACAACGTTGTGGAACGTTCAGATATTCAGTACCAGTCAAATGTTTGGACACACCTACTCCTTCCAGGGTTTTACATTTACATTTTACATTTTAGTCATTTAGCAGACACTCTTATCCAGAGCGACTTAGAGTTTTAGTGAGTGCATACATTTAGTGTTGTTTTTACTTTATTTTTACTATTTTCTACATTGTAGAATAATAGTGAAGACATCAAAACTATGAAATAACACATATGGAATCATGTAGTAACCAAAAAAGTGTTAAACAAATCAAAATATATTTTATATTTGAGATTCTTCAAATATATTGTAGAATTCTTCATTATTCTACAATGTAGAAAATAGTAAAACTAAAGAAAACCCCTGGAATGAGTAGGTGTGTCCAAACTTTTGACTGGTACTGTAAATATATTCAGTAGAACAGATATGTATTTCACTGACATTTAGAGTAAAGGAATCATAATAACTATATTTATTCATACAATTTCTATCTGCAATGCTGAATGCTTGTACCTTGGTCTCCTTCTCCATCACTCTGCCCAGGGCGACTAGTGATGATGTAATGTGGTCAGAAGTTGGGTCGTCATAGGACAAAGGATTATAGTACAGCAGGTGATGTACCGTCAGTGTTGCAGTGATATTTACGGTCAGGGTAAGTGTGGTCACCGCAGTCAAGCTGTTCTCTGTCTTCTAGTGAGTCTGGGTTCATCTTGAAATTATTGTGACCGTATACAGATGTTTATCTTTCTGTTGTGTGTAGTATTTTCCAAAGGCTTGTTGATCGAAGTATTTGCTGAAAATGACTACTGTGATGGTACATTAATATGTTTCAAAAAAATATATACAGTGTATACTGATATATATTTATATACAGTGCATTCGGATAGTATTCAGACCCCTTGACTTTTTCCACATTTTGTTACATTACAGCCTTATTCTAAAATGGATTAAATAAAATAAAAATCCTCATCAATCTACAAACATTACCCTATAATGACAAAGCAAAAACAGGTTTTTAGACATTTTTGCAAATGTATAAAAATAAAAATAAACGATACCTTATTTACATAAGTATTCAGACCCTTTGCTATGATACTCGAAATTTTGCTAAGGTGAATCCTGTTTCCATTGATCATCCTTCAGATGTTTCTACAACTTGATTGGAGTCCACCTGTGGTAAATTAGACATGATTTGGAAAGGCACACACCTGTTTATATAAGGTCCAACAGTTGACAGTGCATGTCAGAGCAAAAACCAAGCCACGAGGTCGAAGGAATTGTCCGTAGAGCTCCGAAACAGGATTGTGTTGAAGCACAGATCTGGGGAAGGGTACCAAAAATGTCTGCAGCATTGAAGGTCCCCAAGAACACAGTGGCCTCCATCATTCTTAAATTGAAGAAGAAATAGGGTGGTTGTCCCACTGGCTATCCTAAGTTGAATGCACCAATTTGTAAGTCGCTCTGGATAAGAGTGTCTGCTAAATGACCTAAATGTAAAAATGGAGGAAAACTGGCACCATCCCTACGGTGAAGCATGGTGGTGGCAGCATCATGCTGTGGGGATGTTTTTCAGCGGCAGGGACTGGGAGACTAGTCAGGATCGAGGGAAAGATGAATGGAGCAAAGTACAGAGAGATCCTTGATGGAAAACCTGCTCCAGAGTGCTCAGGACTTCAGATTGGGACGAAGGTTCACCTTCCAACAGAACAACGACCCTAAGCACACAGCCAAGACAATGCAGGAGTGGCTTCGGGACAAGTTTCTGAATGTCCTTGAGGGCCCAGCCAGAACTCGGACTTGAACCCGATCTAACACCTCTGCAGAGACCTGAAAATAGCTGTGCAGCGACGCTCCCCATCCAACCTGATAGAGCTTGAGAGGATCTGCAGAGAAGAATGGGAGAAACTCCCCAAATACAGGTGTGCCAAGCTTGTAGCGTCATACCCAAGAAGACTTGAGGCTGTAATCGCTGCCAAAGATGCTTCAACAAAGTACTGAGTAAAGGGTCTGAATACTTATGTAAATGTGATATGTATTCTTTTTTATATATATAAATTTGCAAAAATTTCTAAAAACCTGTTTTCACTTTGTCATTATGGGGGATTGTGTGTAGATTGATGAGGAAACTTTTTTTTAAAATCAATTTTAGAATAAGGCTGTAACGTAACAAAATATGGAAAAAGTCAAGGGGTCTGAATACTTTCTGAATGCAATGTATGTATGTATATATATATTTATATTTATATCTATCATATCATTTTTATATTGTTTTATTATTGTCATTCTTACAGCAATGTGATCATTAGCTTCTATAAGGATGATGATTAATGTGACTGAAAAAGATTGAATCAAACCTATCATTAGCTAGTCGATGTGTGAAACGTGATTTGGTCACATTACAAGTCTAATCCTTTCCCTGTATAGCCTCTAATGGGGCGATGCTTTGAAAGTATTTGATTAAATTGTCCTGATTTGCATGTCAATGACCCCTTTGGTGGTATCAAGGGTGACTAGTTTGAGAAGTGTTATTTGAAACAGTAGAATGAAGAAGAAGTCACAGAACACTTGAGAAAATGTTTTGTAACAGTTACCATGGCAACGTGTTGTCCCCCTTTTGACGTCTTTGACCCCAGTCCATCTCAAGGTAATCAGCTCTTTCTTCACACCTTCAGATGAAGTCAAGAGGTTTCTATTGTTTGACCGAACCGCCTGGTAATGGACCCATATCAATCATATGACCCTAAATGAGTTGTCATTGATATGGGGTTGAATAGTAGTCGTTTTCCCCGCTGAGTGTGTTTGTTTGCTTGTTTTTGTGTTCTGTAACATGAAGTGCTTTTGAATGTGAGTCTCTCGCTTTTTTAGAACTAGGGTTAGATTTCTTTTGATGGCATCCTGCTACACACAGTGTGAGCAAAAAACAGATACAGACACACACACATTGTGTGTGCCGCATATCACTTTCCCAGTAAACAGTGACAGTATGCTCCTTGATAGAAGGGTAGGAAAGGAGAGATTTAGAGAGAAAAGGGAGGAAATTCAGAGATTCAGATTGAGTGTTTAAATGTCCGTTGTTCCATGGTCTGTGGTTCCCAGCGTAGGGCAGCTGGGTGTCTGGGACAAATTCCCACAGTCAACAGCTGAGAGCACTTGATAACTCCCCGTCATTGGCATTACAGTAACAGTCACCTCTCACCCCCCCAGTTATATCACTACCAGTAATCATACACAACCCCCTCAATGGCAGTTACTTTTATAACAAGTGGCATTTATGGGGGCTGTGGCAGTTTTAATCCCTGATCTGTTCCTAAAATAACTCAGTCCCACGCCTAGGCAGAGGCTAGAGGGGATGTGAGGGGAAGCTAGCCCCCTCCCAGTTTAGCACAAAGTCCTGTCTGTTTTGGACGCACGCCCCGCCTGCATGACCCACCAGCTGAATACACTTACGGTAATGGTGAGGGATTGTTAGCGTTTTGCTAGAGGGGCATCTGATAGTATGTTTGAGTGATATGCTCAAAAAGCATTGGAAAGAGCTAAGAATGGGGGGGGGGAGATATTGAAAGAGTAGAGCTAGAACGACAGAGATAATGGTATTTACAGATAAGGGGGGAGGGAAAGTGGAGAGGGTCAAAAATGATTGAGAGAGAGAGGGGGATTCGGAAGAGTGAAAGAAAAATGATGGGGAAAGAGAGCACAGGAGAGGAGGAAAGGAGAGAGTGGTAGCCGAAAGAGAGAACCCCTCCATGCTCCAAGGCAAGGATGTCTGTCTGCAGCAGAAGAGAGTGAAAAAAAATCTCAGCCTGTGCTGGCGTCTGGCGAATAATCTGCTTGCTTTTCTTTGCCATACCTCTCTCCCTCCTCCTCCTCTCGCTCCTCCTCCTCTCCCTCCTCCTTCTCTTCCTCCTCCTCCCTCTCCCCCCTCCCTTCTGCTCTGGCTACTGTGAGACAAACCACTCAGAAGGATCAGTGCATATGTACGGAGGGAGGGAGGGAGGGAGGGAGGGAGGGGGAGGGAAAAAAGAGAGAGAGAGGCAGGGGTGGGAGAGGGGGAGGGAGGGAGGGAAAAAAGAGAGAGAGAGGCAGGGGTGGGATCCCAGAGAGAAAAAGAGGAGGGGAGGGGAATGAAACCCTCTCACACACACACAGATAGACAGACAGACAAGCCCGGTGGACCAATCAGGAGTGTTGTCACCCCCCCTGCGAGGGCTGTGGTAGGCTGGGCCAGGCAGAGGCAGTGTATGGCTGAACTTAAGTAGCATGCTCACTCCCAGCCCTTGTTGTTTTGTGTCTCTCCATGGTTGTGCAGACACGACTCAGTAGTATGAAGATCCAGGAGCTGCCTAGTAGCTGCGAAACGGCCGACAGGAGGGGGGTCATCGGCCGGAGTTTGGACCAGGAATGTGGCGAGAGCTGCGAGGACGTACCCCGCTTGGACCTGTCGGCGCTGACCAAAGATAACAACTGGGGAGGTAAGTCTCGAGTCCAATTCCCCCCCACCTTTCTTTCCCTCTTCCACACACTCCTTCCTTCCTTCCCTTCCTTCTAGGCAGCACAGGGTGTCTGGGTGGCAGTTGCAACCCTCTCCTCCTCCTCTTGTTGTGGTGGCTCCTTCTGCGTCTTCAAGAAGACTTATGGACTCAGATCCTCTTAAAAGTTTCTCAGCTTCTATATCTGGAGAAGCTGCACCATTACTGAAGACGTTGTGCTTGTGTACACAGCTTGGAGCAGCATACTGCATTTAGATAGCAGATATTTGTATTGCCTTTTTACCATATGTGGCTCCTGTTCCATTAGACCACATGGAGTTTTTTATTTACTAGTGGTAGGAACAGCATAAAATATTGTGTTGTCTTGCTGCTACCATGAGTTATTGAAGAGTGAAAGAGTGAGTATTTATGGTTTGCACATGCTGCTGGCATGTTTTGCCTTTTGGTTGGCAGTTATTGGGCAGTTTGTGGGTTGTGAATAGCTTCCAGATTGTTGTAAGTAATCTTAAAGGGATTGATATTGATCTTGTTTGATATGGTCGGGATGTCTTCCCATGGATATTGCAAACGCTCCTGGCATTTAGTTTTTTAAGTGCGTATGTGAGTCAGTGTGTGTATGTGTGTGCCTGCATGATTAGATTAACCCTAGGGACAATAAGTGTGTGTGTATTCAGTAAGGTTGTATTTCAACTCTGCACATGGCATTGGATGTAAGCAATGAAGTGTGTCTATTTGTTTATTGATGCCGAGGTATCGAATCTCATTGGTCATGCATAGTTGATACAGAAATAGACAGAAGTATTCTATTATTCATTAGTCTATCATGGGCATGTCTGCTTATTTTTTATTTTTTAGAAAGAAATGTAAGTCAAAAGTTTTTGTTAAATAACTGCAATACAGCGGATTTGGGGGGGATTAAACCATGTCAGAAAAGTGTTTGATATTAGAAAATAAATATTTTATTTCTTTCCATTTAGTTTCACTGTAAGCTTTTAATCCATGGTGCAACATTAGCAGCATGTTGTTGGGTGGGATTGGAGTATCAGGAAGGACAGGCTGTTAGATGCAGCACAACTGCTGCACAACTTGTCTGATTGTTTTGGTGAGAGATTGCAAAAGATGGAAGGCGGAGGTGGGTGGAGTTTGAAGAAATGTGTTTTTGTACACTAGTGAGACTGAATGCAGAGTTGTTAGATTGCTTAGGCTCGTTTGCACAGGGAAAATTACCTGAAAGACAAGTCCACTTGCAGTTTCAGACTTGAAGGGACATGCATGGGCACAATTTTCTATAGTGACCTTGGTGACTTGAATATTGGATACTAAAACAATTTCCTACGTGGTTGCTTGGTGCAGGCAGCGGTCATGCCCAACCCAAACTACCTAACCCCAATGGGAATAGGTCACACCTTAAGGAAAATATTGTTCAAACATTTCCTTTGCATTCAGTCTGTCTTCCAACTCAAACAGCACTGTTTGTCTTGATTGTGTCACTAGTACAGTACATTACCAATGGAGCAAAAAGCACTCAAAGACGCCCTCTAGTGGTAGGGCTTGAGACATGTTTGTCCTATTCAGCTAAGGAGCACTGTGTTAGCCTGTTGCTAGTCCTTGTTTGCTCCAAAGTGAGTGTGATAGACAGATAAATATTCAGGTAGTGTCTGTCTGCATAGAAATTCTAACATGCAGTCAGTCAGTGCTGCAGCCAATGTGGGTTTGGTGTTAGGGGTTTTGGCAGTGCAGGCAGTGTGTGTGTGTGTGTTTTCTGGAGAACGAGTGAGAGGGGTTCGTTCTCTCAGAGCCAGGAGGGATGAGGAGAGGTGAGGAGGACAAAAACAGACCGTTTTGAAGTCACAGTCCACGTGTTACCTGGCACAGAAGAATCCCACACTACAGGAGGTACCTTCTTTAAAAAAGGATGTATCTGTCTCTTTGCTTTAATGCATAATGCTTTAGACTACTCTGAGCTACTGAGAGTTAGAACTCCCAGGGGAGTACTTGATGATTGACCGTGACATAGCATTCCCATATCACGAGAAGCATTTCTCCTAGATGCAGGCAAGGCAATCTGAATGCTTGGATCTTTTGAAGCCAGAGGAAAAGCAAGGCTTGCCAGAGCTTGGGTTTGAGTGTTTGATTAAAGAGCAGTGAACTTGAGTGATGTTTGGGGTCTTTTTGTCTGGCAGTAGGTCCTTTCTCTTCCCTTTAAATATAGAGCCAGAGGGGGTATGCAGGAAAGCAGATGAGGTTGTTGCAATAGAAATGGATGAGATAGTGATGGTTGAGACGGTGGGTGGTGCAGTGGCATGAGACCTTTTACCCAGTGCAGCCTGTGCCAACTACAGTCATGGTGAGCAGATATTTGCCGTGTGCCAGCTCCGCGTACATAGAGCTAGTTAGAGTAGAGAGGACTTTTTATCTGTGTCCTGTCTACTACTGTGTCATGTCTCTGTCATTGGGAAATGATGTGCTATGATTTTCATTTCACCTTTCGCATGATTTTCCTCCCTCCATCTCGTCTCTGTTCTTATCACCTTATTTTTCTATTTTCTTCCCTCCCTCCCTCCCCCTATCCCATCTCTTCTCTGTCCTCCAGATTCTCCATTCTTTAGCGCCCCTTTCCTTGATTTCAAAAGCGTTTTCCAGTCGAGTTATTATGATGGGTAAGTGGCATTCTGGCTGGCATTGGAACCGGGACTTGTCTTGCCTTGATACAAATAACCCATTAGCGACAGAACAGAGAGAAAAAGCCCAAATGCCTGTTGCATGACCTTTTACTACTGCATGGCAACATCATTAAACAGTGATTGGACATATTCTGCTCCCAACCAATCACATCCCAACCTTTAGGGGCATGACAGCATGGCTTACCTCAACTACAATGGGCTGGATGCTGTGTGCTAGTTGATTTAAAGACCTCATTCGAAATGCCATGGTGAATGCCGTATTGGCTGCTTGACTGTGTTGTACTGTGTACGCATGACATAATAGGTTAAAACACGTTGAGTTGATTGAGAGGTTGTCGTCTAGTAAATCCATATGCAGCACAGTGTTGATTGGATACATTGTTGGAGGCAACCTTCTGCCTAGGGAGACTAGGCTATTGCTCCCGCGCCCCAGGAAGTCCTTACATGCGGTGAGAGATCGTGGGAAACCGCACGTAGGCTTATAGTAGCATACTGCACGCACACACACTAAGTACATCCAAGCCAGCACCTCCATGACCCGAGTGCCTTTAAAGCCATACTCAGTAGCCTAAGTCTCAGTTATGTCATTTGTGTTTATGAATTATTATCGGGGTGACAGTTGTACTTTTTTTGTAAACACACCCAGGTCGCTTATCAGTATTAGACAGCTGCTGGTATGTCGTTACAAGCATCTAGGCAACCTAGTACTTACTATTATTAAAATAATTATATTTACAAGTCGAGTCAGCTATGAACGTTACAGCAGTCAAATGTAATTGTAATTTACAGTAAAAGACAACAATACTGCGGTATATGTATAGCGCCGTTATCTGCTTTATATCTTGCAGTGCAAACACAAAATTCCATCCTCCGCATTCAGCAACTAGCTAATAGTGTTGAACAGAATAATAATTCGCAATCAAAAAGTTGCAATAGTATACTCAACATCTAAGAGGAAAACAATTAGCTACTTACTGCAGCTGACAGCTAGCTGGTTTTCGTGATTATTATCTGCACCATCTAGAGTCCAGCATGCGCTAGTCGTGCTGAGTGAGGAGTCTATAACATGGTGTTAGGCTACACTATAGGAACATATTCCTAATCCCTTACTGAATGAAAATTGCCCACAATTCCTATTTCATTCAAAACTCAAGAAGGCAACATGAAAGCAACTTTGCTACAGACCCGCTCGTGTTTTCAAATATGCGCTGCTGCGCGTCATCAGCTGTCACACAGACAGATGGACGGACGGACCGACAGCCAGGAGCCAATATGAACTAAAAGCTAAAAATTACACTACTTTTATTCTGTATAATTCAACTCGTTTATAATATTGGGATATACAGTAGATATTTGTGTTGTTGGTGTGTTGCTGTAGTCGGATGGATCAGAGGAACAGATAGGGTTTCCACTAGTAACCACAAACACAAAGTCAAAATTGGCTACAGTGGTAACTAGTAACGCCCAACAGATAGGCCTATGTGCGCGAGAGAATTTATGAAGAATATGCGTCATATTCGACCTGCAATCTGTAATCAAAGCTGCTGTACTATTGGTCAAAACGTCATTTTGATCACTTTGAAGTGACACAAATGACAAATTAAGCGTTTATCTATCCATTTCGAGATATATTAAACCAACAAAAAATAGCCTTTTTATTTTGGAATTCGAACTCCCAAATAAATGAGCCCCAATACGCCCCCGCTTCTTAGAAAAACATGCATGTGCAGCTACAGGGTGTGTGTGCACGTGGGTGTGCATGTTTTCAAAGAGTGATTCCTGAATTCTGACGCCTCTAAATGTTTACATTGGTGATATGGAAACCTGACGTTGTTATTGCTCTCACCTTCCCTTCTGGCTATGTTACCTCTCCAGTGTGCAGTGTAGCCTTCATGGTCTCGTTTTTACTGTGGTACAATACCGTGGTTTCTCTCACGTCCACACAAATGCACGTGCAGGCAACTACATACACAGTCAGTACATAATCCTTGGCTGAGTGTTGTTTTTACAATGATGTTGTGTGGTGGTGGCTTAGGCTATCTGAAGTGAAGCCTTCCCTTCTCTCCTAGCAACAACGACCTGTGTGAGCCACTGATCTGTGATACAGTACAGCTCAGGCTGTGGGTACAATGCCTTGGTCTCTCTCTCTCTCTCTCTCTCTCTCTCTCTCTCTCTCTCTCTCTCTCTCTCTCTCTCTCTCTCTCTCTCTCTCTCACTCACTCACATACACAGTTCTCACTCTCTCTCACTCTCACTCACATACACAGTCCAACAATATTCTTCCTATGCCAGTCACTCTCAGTATGGCCTGGTCCCAGATCTGCTTGTGCTGTCTTGCAAATTGATGACAATGACCATAGAAATTGTGAAGACATCACAAACCGATATGGGACAAGGCTAACTCTGGAGTCACAGCCGTTCCATTCCTCTCCCAGGGAGGTCATGGCTCCTGCATTATCCCAACCAGAGGCATCAAAGAGCAGTCCGACTTATTTATAGCTTGGGATTGGGATTGTCAGAGGCATCTGCATGGTTATTTTCACCACAGCATAATTATTGGCGAGTCAGAGTGGACTCTGGCTGGGGCTGAACTGGGGCCAGGAGCTGGGGAAACCAGCCTGGAAAACGGACAAATGGGTCCGTAAGTCGTTAGTTAGTGGCGAAAGTTTTAGTGAGCAGCTTCATCATCCCACACCGCAGTGACCTTTAGGGCGCTCGGATGCGGGTGCCAGGAAGGTGTTGCCGAGGTGACGAACGACAGCCATGTTTAGACTTAAAGTGGCCGTTAATTCATTTGGATCCAATCAGTTGGATTCCCTTCTGATCACAGCCAGTGAACGCTGCTTACTGCTTGCCTCATCTCTTGAGACGACAAACAGATAGACAAGCCGTTATGTTTCTGTGTTCTACTTAAACTACACTATGTTTAGAGGTGTTTGTAGTTCAGATGTTGCAGCCAAGCAGGGTCAATGTTTTTCTTCTTCATTTTTTTTAACTTTAGTTTATTTAGTAAATATTTTCTTAACTCTATTTTCTTAAAACTGCATTGTTGGTTAAGGGCTTGTAAGTAAGCATTTCACAGTAAGGTCTACACCTGTTGTATTCGGCGCATTTGACAAATAACATTTGATTTGATTTGATGTTGTGCTCTAGCAGTGTTTGAGAGAGATAAGCCAGTGTTTGTCGACTACTGGTAGAGCCTGCCAAGTTCCACAGGTCACTCCCTCATCCCTGCCCATGGGGATGTCTTTGCCGTGTGTGTGTGTGTGTGTGTGTGTGTGTGTGTGTGTGTGTGCAGTGCAGCTTGTCACTTTTTTTCATTGCACCGCCTTTTGGATTACAAAGCCTTGGGATATCAAAGGTGTTCCGAGTGCAGTATGTTTTAAAACATTAGAAGAGTCCATTTTGGAATTTAGTCTGGGACTAAGACGTCACAGCAAGTAAAAGTTCCATCTTTATTTTCGTTTTATCTAGCAGCATAAATACAGTTTATCCACTGGGAAAACAGTACTGGGAGGGAGGGGGCACGCTATTCCACACGAAGAGCTCAGAGAAGAGAACCCCAACCTTTCCCCCCCACGTAAGAACCAGCATTGAGGAACCAACCCAGCCAGACTCGTTGAAAAACAAAGGACAGCAATGGTAGCCTAACCCACTTTTAGTGTGTGTGTTTTTGTTTTCATGGAGGTTCTGTCATTATCAGACTAACCTGTTTTTTGTGTGTTCCACAGAGCCAGTCCCGGCCTACTCGTCGTGGCAGCGGGAGAGCATGGACAGCGAGGAGGCTTGCATTTCGCCCCAAGTGGGGGGCCGCCTGATTCGCCAGCTGATTGAAGAGGACAGCGACCCCATGCTGTCCCCCCGTTTCCACGCCTACGGACACTGCCAGCAGTACATAGATGACACCGAGGTGCCACCCTCGCCACCCAATGCACACTCCTTCGCCAGGTGAGGAACCAACATGGATTTACAGTACTGTTGACTTTGGGGACTAATAGTGTGTGTGGGTTTGTTTGTGTGACTGAATGAGTTTGACTGTTTTTGTGTGCCACTGTTTTATTTACAAGATATGAAAGTCACATAATGTGTGATTAGATGTTTGTTCATGCATGTGTGTTTTCACAATGGGTGTTTCGAGTGAATGCATATGTATACATCCAACGTGACTCTGTGTCCATAGCAACAGGCAGTCATTCTATTTCTATGGCTGTGTCTCTGTCCTGCAGTCGGAGGAGGAGTTCCTCTCTGGGCTCCTGCGGTGATGACGACCTGCAAGAGCTGACCTCAGCCCAGCTCTCCAAGAAGATCCACGGTCTCAAAAGGAAGATCCACAAGTACGAGGAGAAGTTCGAGGAGGAGCGCAAATACAGGGTAAATGGTAGCCCCTGATGAATGCTCTGTAGCTGAAACATTGGACAGCAAGGGGAAATGAGTGAGCAGCTTTTCTTTATTGATTTCTAATGTAGATACAGTATACCAGAGAAAGCAGGCCAGCACAACTAGCTTATTCTGAGATATAGCAAGACATCCAAAGAAATGCACAGAAATATAAAATGCCATTTATAAGACTCACACGACTGGCTTCCTCGAAGTAAACAAGATTAGAGAGTTCATAATGAGACTCAGCTGATGGGAGGGGTGTCAGGAATGGGGTCAATTGATAAAGTCAAGATGTTGTGGGAAGACGTCAAACACTGCTGCTGTTTGTGGATTGAGAGAAATCATGTGTTGTTGTTTACAGCCCTCACACAGCGACAAGGCCGACAACCCAGAGGTCCTGAAGTGGATGAATGAACTGGCCAAGCTCCGCAAAGACCTGAAAGAGCACAAGCTCCACAAGTCTGAGGAGGACCTCCCTCCGCTGACCCGCCAGCGCAGCAACACCCTGCCCAAGAGCTTTGGCTCCCAGCTGGAGAAGAAGCCCCAGCAGGAGAAGGTGCCCAAGCCCCCGGTAGAGAGCACCCTAGAGGGCGTCCAGAACAAGCTGCAGGAGAAGAGGAACGAGGGGGGACGGCCCGAGGACATCAAGGTGAGATAGGAGCCGCCTAGCCGCTTATTGTACTTGCTGGACCTATGTTAATAGCTAAACGCTAATGGTTAACAGCTAAAGGCTAACAGTGTCTTCCTCCTCTGATAGGATATGACCCGGGAGCAGATCGGTTCTGAGAAGGTGGCCCTACAGAAGGCTCTCCTGTACTACGAAGGCATCCACGGTAGACCGGTGAGTGTCTTGTCCACTGTCCCTTTGCTGCCCCCCAAACCTATTTCATAGAGCCTTCTAGATAGCCCACCCCCTGTCAGTACAGTAACTGATGGCGCAAAGTATTCCAACAAATGCATTAAATCAGTCTCTGTACAGTAGAAGACCTGACCTAGATCACAACTGAAGAGTAAATAATGTCTTGAACCAGGCCGTTTGTGTGGGTAGAGTGCAGCATGTGTGCACACAGATGTGTGCTTTGAACTATGCAGTCTTTTCATGCAACCTAGATACAACGTTGTCTGCATTTACACAGGCAGCCCTATTCTGATCTTTTTCCCACTAATTGGTCTTTTTTACCAATCACATCAGATCTTTTCACATCCGATCTTTTTCATAGCTGATCTGATTGGTCAAAAGACCAATTAGGGGGAAAAAGATCAGAATTGGGCTGCATGTGTAAACGTAGCCATTGAGACCCAGATACAACAATACATTATTAAAAGGATGAAATACCAATGAAAACATGACTTTCTGCACTGAAATATATCATTATTGGCAGGCTAAAAGTCTTTAGACAGCTGTAACGAGTATCTTCATCTCAGTGATGACAATTGCTAAAGGACAAAAAGTCAGCTAACGTCTTAATTGAACGGTAAAGGAAGTGACACGGACTCCCTTTTTGATGTTAGACTGAATCTAATTGGGCTAATCCTCGTTAATGGTGTTTATCAGGAAGTGGAAAGGTGACCTTTCTGACACCCATAGCCTTCCCTGTGTGACTTTCTATGCTAGTTTATGGCCAGTTGTCCTCTGAGGTACTCATAAAAAAAATACATTGGATTTGAATTGATGGGGATGGAATCTATGTTACCTGACATGTTGTTGTGTGTCAGCCCTAGCTAGCGGTGTGCTATTGTAGCCCCCCAGGGGAGTGTTAATGCTAGCTAGCGGTGTGCTATTGTAGCCTCCCAGGGGAGTGCTAATGCTAGCTAGCGGTGTGCTATTGTAGCCCCCCAGGGGAGTGCTAATGCTAGCTAGCGGTGTGCTATTGCTAACATTGTGCCTTTCCCTTTTCTCTCTGCCTCTTCTCTAGGTTACAAAGATCGAGAGACAGATCATGAAGCCCCTGTACGACAGATACCGCCTGGTCAAACAGATCCTCTGCAGAGCTTCCACCATCCCCGTCATCGTAAGTATAGCTAGCTCTCTTTGCTCTCTCTTTCCCTTAATTTTCTCCACAGCTGGGTTGTTCCTGGGTTGCTCTTTGAGGAGCTGGTGGTAAAGGTCACCACGTACAGTGTAGCATTGGCTGAAGATCAAGCACTTAATCCTAACAACGCTAATGTTAGCATTAGGCTAGCATTAGCGTCAGTGTCCATCGGCGGTACTGTATGTAGTGGCTAGCCATAGCGCTAGGTTAGTCTCAAGGCCAATGCCCTAAGCCTAAACCCGGCTTTAGTGGCTCAGTGGATCCACAGGTTCTTAACAGAGCTCAAAGGTGACAAGCTTAGGCCACAGTAACTCAGCTGGCCACAGGGGACTACGAACAAACACACACGCACACCCCAGCTGTGCAGACACTCCCTCTAAACTAGAAAGATGGCATGGCTACTGAGGGGCGGAAAACACTGTACAAGAGTTCAGATTCTCATCAGATATAGGGATTCGCTGAGGCTGGATTGATACCAGAAGGGGATAAAAAAATAAAATCTCAAACTCTCTAACCACCAATACATTAAAGGTTATTATAATATACATTATTTTTTCCATTGTAATACATTTCATCTCCATATAATTTATGTAACGGGTATACAAGAGCACTATATATTTTAATGTTTTGTCCCAGTTTTCCCTTTTAATTTCTTGTGTAAACAATTTGATTACGTAATATGTAATCTGTGTTATGGACCTAATGTACTGTACAGAACATACTTTATATAATAGATTTAATCCTCATTATATAAATTGGAGACCTAGCAAAGGTTTATTACCGGTAGATGTACTGTACATGGTAGCATATAGGGTTATGTCAACTGTTGAATTAATTGTGTGAAAGGGCTGACGCATGATACCCTTATCTGTCTGATCTAAGAACCTGTTACCCAGCCTGCCTTTCAGAGGCTTAAAATCACACGAGAGCCTAGTGCTATGTTTTCACTGAAGAAGCCTACTATGGTCGTGACAAGGTACCACAAACAAGAGCAGGTCATTCTGATCCTAGTACTTGGTACAGGTTCCAAAAGAAGCATGGTAGTGTTCAGCAGAAAATCCTACAGTGACAAACCTGATCCAGGATCAGTTTATAGTGGACGCTATTCAGTCAGTTTCTCTATGTGCTCTGTAGTCACAGCTGAACTGGGGTCAGTTCTCGAGTGGTAACACCTCCTTGTTAACCCTCAGGGTTCCCCCTCCAGCAAACGCAGAGGTCCTCTACTTCAGCCTATTATCGAGGGCGAAGCCGCGCTCTTCTTTGACGACATCAAGGTGAAGACACACTACTGCTGCTTGTGCTCGACTAATCAGTGATCAGAACGCAACTCCCGCCCCCTCGCACCCTCCAATCCCCTACTCCCTCACCTCTCAACCAAACCTGATTGCAGCCTGTGGATTGGGTGGCCACCCATAGCACATGTGGGGGGAGGTTTTGATTCAGTATCAACTTGGTTTTTGATGCTTAGATTGCTGCTTCATGACTTGTTAGATTGATTGCTTTGGGATCAATTTGATAGTGTGTGAGAAGGACTAACAAGGCTACTTGCCTGTGCATGGTGTGTGTCAATGTGTGTGCACACCAAAGAAAAAAATAAATCAGATAATTAAATCATAACAAAAACAGGGAGATCGTCAAATCAACGCTGGTCTTGAGATGCTCATCACGTGTGTGCTGCTATTTGTGGATGTATTAGAATGGTTTTGATTGAGACAATCTAATAGAACTTCAAAGTAGAATAATTAACAATAGACTTGTATTAACCTCATCATTCTTGTCTGTGCCTGAAAAATGACTGAATAATTTGTCTTTGTGCTCTGATTCCGGTAACATTAGATTCACAATATTTGATTATCTTTCATTAACCTAGAGCTTGACACTGGGTGTCCCTTGACAGCCCCATGGCGTGTAGATCAGTTCACCCCAGCATCGCTCACCCTTTCCCCCCTTAACCCTCCACTGACCTCCCACTTCGCTGGTTCTGTCTCCATAGGAAGAGGAGGATGGCTCTGAGGATGACTCTGAGTCCAACAACAAGCCCCAGTGCCAGATCACGGGGATAGTGCGTCCAGACTTTAGTATGCTGGGCTTTCTGGACCAGCTGGAGGAGGAGACGGATGGCTTCATCTCGCCCGTCGACGAGCTCTCGCCCTCCAAGAACACCACCGACATGCGTCTGTCCAACCTGCACTCGGCCACCATGTAAGCACCCAGGCCGGCGCTGACCTCTTCTTAATTTCCCCTGAGGGGATAAATAAAGTTGAATTGGATTGAAATATAATTGACCTAATATCTATAGCATCCGGATGGATGAAAGTGGACATTGTAGTTTAGATTGTAGAATTGGAGTACTACAATCCTTAGTAGTCTTTTTTAATTAATTTAATAGTCTCATGTTATTGTTGATGTCTTATCAATTGAAGTTAGCGGTGGTATTTCATGTATATCTTAGGTGCAAGTGTATAGAAGAACGTTCACTTCTTAAACAACTAAGATTGTAACAACTTGAAGGACTTGAAGAACTTTAAAAGAGTCAAAACAACCTTTGAGGTTCAGATGCCTAAAGCTGTGTTTGTCTCTCCCCCACACAGGCCGGAACTTGTGGAGCAGCTACAAGAGGCCCGGGAGGAGAAAAAAAGAATCCGCAAGAACCTAAGAGAGTTTGAGGATCAATTCTTCAGGCAAAACGGAAGGTAAGATGACATTTCCGTTTTTTGTTTTGGGTCATAGTTCGACTAAATGTAAACTATTAGATGATACGAGGACTCTAAGAAGTCCTCATGATGTACTGTCCTTCATCTTTGGTTGCACAGCCATTTTGACCATCGTCCATTCGGCTAATGTTTGTATTTTCTTCCTCCCACTCGTTGTTGCCATAGAAACGTGCAGAAGGAAGACCGCTCCCCCTTGGCGGTAGAGTATAACGAATACAAGCACATCAAAGCCAAGCTTAGGCTGATAGAGGTTCTCATCAGCAAAGCAGATGCCTCTTAAAATAATCTAAAGAAAAGAAAACATCAAAGACTGACAGAGGAATGAATGAGGCTCGGTCTCAATAAGAGATGAACCACACCAGCCCATGGAACGGAAAACCATCCATAGCAAAACAGATACACCTCATCATCCCTCAAAATATTTTTTTTTCTTTCTTGTGCCATCTGTGCCATACACACGTTTGGCTTCAGGAGATGCCAACATGTTGCCCCCTGATGAATCCGAACTGTAGAAGGGAAACAGTATGGCTTAGTTGCTGACCTGAGAGGTATTGGAGCTGACATGTAGGTGCTGCCCTGGAGGCTACTCCATCTTGTCTGCTGTTTCCCTCGTATAGAAGAAGAACCCCGGAACTCAAAATGTCGGGCATCTTTGAATGAATACTAACCTAATGTAGAAGGCGGAAAAAGACGCCTGAGCGGAATTCCCCACATCCGTTTTTTAGGGGAAGCGGAAGTTAGGTTGAAAATACTGTATCCCTGAAAACCGGAAACATCCGCTTTTTGTCCAACCCCGCAGAGAGTGGACCAAAATCAACCTTTTTTCAAAGGAAGAATTGTTTTGTTTTTTGTGCATCTTGATATTGATTGATACCAAGAACTCCCCTACATTGAATAATCATCACTCATTTAAAGGATACATTTACAAAGTGTTTTGTATTGATTTAATTTATTTTTCTCCTTTGAATGTTTATATGGTAGTTCATGTAGACTTTCTCATTGGATTAAAAACAACATTATTTCCCCCCCCTCATTGTTTAGGAGTGAAGTCTTAAAATGTGGAGTATAGATTATGTACTTTAAGGTATTGCCATTTTCAGAACAACTTTTTGTAATCAGAAAAATAAAATGAGAGGGGATTGTGTATTTTTGTAAGGGAGACAGACAGTTACAATCGGCATGCAAACAACCAATCAGAGAGCCAGTCTAGCAGAGTTCAGCCAATGGATGGATTTTTCATGTAACTCATGATTGGTGCCATATGCCGCATTCACGTGCTAGTCGGAACTAGGAAACTCTGAAATGTTCGTCTTGTAAACTGGTTGAACGCTGCACATGTATAATTACAACCAGTTAGCAAGTCGAACATTTCAGAGTTTCCTAGTTCCGACTAGCACGTGAACGCGGCAATAATCTCAAAACGTAATGAACTAATGTTAACCTAGGAAAAACACACGTTGTTGTTGTCATCATCAATGCTTATTTTTGTTGTTTCCAGAAATTGTTTGTATTTTTAGCATAACAAATATGAGGATATGTCAGAGGAGCATTCATTTGTTAAAACTGAGAACTAGAATGCAAAACAAATAGTAGTCTATGATGTGTTATTATGATCCAAAGGAAATTACTCAGATTGCATACCAAAATAGTGTAGTGGGTCAATGTATACAAATCATTAATTATTGTGATCATATTCATCAGTCACTTATGAATTTGACTGCTTGTATATTATTTTGCATTGATGTGTTTTCTTTTCCTATTCACTTTGTCTGAAAATAAGCTATCCTGTCTTGAAATCACTGGTATGTTTTTGCTCGCACTTTCCAACACTGGCAAGGGCCATTTTGTGCGGAACATCCATCCTTAAAGAAAAGTCCCAATAACTCCTCTATCAAAATGGCCGCCAATCCCCAACGCAGAACCTTCAATACTCAACCAAGGCATGCTGCATTCTTTCTTTATGTAGGTATTTTAACATCATAGCCTATTTGTTCCTTGTAAATATGGATCCAGATCTATGTTTACATTTCTAAGTGAGCAAGTACATTTTTCCTTTTTCTCCAAAATGGATAATTTTAACAGTGTGACTTTCGTTTTTATTGAATGTAAAACACTGGTGGACATAATGAATTATGGGTGTGTACATTTTAGTACATAAATTGTATATGTATTTTGTATATATAATATAAAACCAAACATATTTTTACTGACTTTGTTGGCGTTGGGTTTTCATTGGTGTGTGTGTGTGTGGTACTGAATTGGTGTGGTGAATGTCAACACGTTTCACAGGGAAATACTGCAAGAACATATCAATGTCATACATGTAAAGACCAAAGAACATGGCAATTTCATTCATATATTGTTCTAAACTCTACTGCAAAATGAATTTCTTTACACAACGTCCCCCTATATGCACCTCTCATTTATCCACAACAAGCAAATCCTTTTTCCCAGACCAACCTACAGTGGGGAGAACAAGTATTTGATACACTGCCGATTTTTCAGGTTTTCCTACTTACAAAGCATGTAGAGGTCTGTAATTTTTATCATAGGTACACAAAAATCCAGAAAATCTCATTGTATGATTTTAAAGTAATTAATTTGCATTTTATTGCATGACATAAGTATTTGATCACCTACCAACCAGTAAGAATTCCGGCTCTCACAGACCTGTTCATTTTTCTTTAAGAAGCCCTCCTGTTCTCCACACATTACCTGTATTAACTGCACCTGTTTGAACTTGTTACCTATATAAAAGACACCTGTCCACACACTCAATCAAACAGACTCCAACCTCTCCACAATGGCCAAGACCAGAGAGCTGTGTAAGGACATCAGGGATAAAATTGTAGACCTGCAAAAGGCTGGGATGGGCTACAGGACAATAGGCAAGCAGCTTGGTGAGAAGGCAACAACTGTTGGCGCAATTATTAGAAAATGGAAGAAGTTCAAGATGACGGTCAATCACCCTTGGTCTGGGGCTCCATGCAAGATCTCACCTCGTGGGGCATCAATGATCATGAGGAGGGTGAGGGATCAGCCCAGAACTACACGGCAGGACCTGGTCAATGAACTGAAGAGAGCTGGGACCACAGTCTCAAAGAAAACCATTAGTAACACACTACGCCGTCATAGATTAAAATCCTGCAGCGCACACAAGGTCCCCCTGCTCAAGCCAGCGCATGTCCAGGCCCGTCTGAAGTTTGCCAATGACCATATGGATGATCCAGATGAGGAATGGGAGAAGGTCATGTGGTCTGATGAGACAAAAATAGAGCTTTTTGGTCTAAACTCCACTCGCCATGTTTGGAGGAAGAAGAAGGATGATTACAACCCCAAGAACACCATCCCAACCGTGAAGCATGGAGGTGGAAACATCATTCTTTGGGGATGCTTTTCTGCAAAGGGGACAGGACGACTGCACCGTATTGAGGGGAGGATGGATGGGGCCATGTATCGCGAGATCTTGGTCAACAACCTCCTTCCCTCAGTAAGAGCATTGAAGATGGGTCGTTGCTGGGTCTTCCAGCATGACAACGACCCGAAACACACAGCCAGGGCAACTAAGGAGTGGCTCCGTAAGAAGCATCTCAAGGTCCTGGAGTGGCCTAGCCAGTCTCCAGACCTGAACCCAATAGCAAATCTTTGGAGGGAGCTGAAAGTCCGTATTGCCCAGCGACAGCCCCGAAACCTGAAGGATCTGGAGAAGGTCTGTATGGAGGAGTGGGCCAAAATCCCTGCTGCAGTGTGTGCAAACCTGGTCAAGACCTACAGGAAACGTATGATCTCTGTAATTGCAAACAAAGGTTTCTGTACCAAATATTAAGTTCTGCTTTTCTGATGTATCAAATACTTATGTCATGCAATAAAATGCAAATTAATTACTTAAAAATCAAACAATGTGATTTTCTGGATTTTTGTTTTAGATTCCGTCTCTCACAGTTGAAGTGTACCTATGATAAAACATTACAGACCTCTACATGCTTTATAAGTAGGAAAACCTGCAGAAATCAGCAGTGTATCAAATGCTTGTTCTCCCCACTGTATAAGATAGCTTCTAGATTTAAAACACAAAACTACAGGGTTGAATTACGTTTATTTGTTCAGGAAAAAATATAAAGAAAGATGTCTTCCATTTAAAAGGTACAAAAGTAAATGATATACTTGAAATAATCCAGTTATAGATCCACTAACAAGCCCTTATTTGCATACATTGACCAAGAAACATTGACCCCATGATATGGAATTGTCGCCATTACTGTGGTGAAATAATAATAACGAATGAATAGGTTTTTTCCCCTAGCCTGGTCGCTGATCGGTTTGTTGTGTCTTGCCAACTGCTTTAATCAGCAAAACAGCAGAAACGGATCAGGGACCAGGCTATGATAGAACACATTGAGCCTCCCTCAGGCATTGCCCTAGCTCAGCTTTGAATCAACAACAAAGGTCACTATGACATCATTTGTTTTTGTTTATTATGTCATTATGTTTACATTGAGGGCGACAGAGTTATAAATCCTCAAAATAATAGTAATTATTCCCCTTTACGACGTTTGTCTTGACCCCAGCTACAGTGGAGAAAGACAGGGCTTAAGAAAGGAAATGGTATACGATACAATACCTCCATTGGCTGAGACGTTCGGTAATAGGACAGAATGCACAAACAAAGTTGTTTTTCTCACTTGCATATCAACACACAATCCAGATACACTTGAGAGAAAAGTAATTGAAGTAACGACCGGGAAATTATGCAGAGATGTTCAGAGCGCAAAGTTTGGATGACGGTCAGGGGACATCATTACATAACTAAGATGACCCAATATAATCTGTTCCTTAAACCTAATCAATGACCCAAGACTAATTCTGCAGGGCAAATTGACCAATCCTAATATCATTGGTCCGAATGCTGTGCCATCATAAAAGGAACTGGTGGGAACCATGAACAGATATTCTGCAAGTCAACCTATTATCCACCAGGCCACGAATGTGCAATCATTCTGAGCTCGTGGCGGCAATAGATCTCCCAGATTGACATTGAGATTACTTATTCCTAACCTGGGGTTACAGGGATCAAAGTAATTGGGATTAGCTGTATTTCTGTGTTTGTTTATAATGTAACGATGAGCAGTCTTTTTGCGTTTCCTCTCGACGACATGCACACAGACATTTTAACATCCATTTAAAAAAACATCACAATCAAAGGAAATATTGATAACTGTAAGATTGAGGACATGTAAGTAACTCCAGTCGGTCAGTTAGTCTTTTTAATGTAGAAATAGACTGGTAATGTGGGTATGGCATTAGAACGCCATGTATTTATTGGGCCAGAGTGTGGAACTGTCTGCCTGCTGTTCACTGATGTATTAATCTGGTATCATCTGTCCTCAAATTGACCCAAGATCAGCAGTAAAAGGCCAGGGCTTCAAAGTTCACCTCCTACATCTGACATGTATCATTTTCTCTGACAACAATTATTTTTTTAAACTATTCAATTCAATAAACTATCTTAAAGCAACAAAAAAAGCTGGTTTAATTAAAACTGTTCAAGTTATGTACATCAATCTGCATAGAACACACAATTATAACTGAAAATACAAAATCCACTGACGCATCCCCCCCCCCCCCCCCAAAGAAAGTATCTGTTATAACCATTCTCAAAACAAGACGCATTATAAAGCCACACACCTTGCGTTCAGAAATCTGAGCAATTATATCAAAATAATAATAATCTGCTTCTCTATAATCGTCTTAAACGTTTGCTCCTTTGTCATTTCCCTCCGTCCCTGTACACCCCATCCCTCCCTTTTTATATATATCATAATCTCTTATGGTAAACTGTATAGGGAAAGTGCTATGGAATCGCAGCCCCCTTCCCACCACCCATCCGTCCATCCAGCCACCCCCCATTCACAGGGCGTTGTTATTAAAGTGCATTAGCATTAGCAACCATGCTAATTCCCATGGTCCTTGCTCCTCCAGGCCTCTAGGGGGAGCCACTGACCCAGCCACTAGGTCTCACACCAGGCTGAAGCCCTCGTACTGCTCCACGGCCTGGGTGAGACGGCGGTGCAGGGTCTCTTTGGTCTGGTAGCGGGGCATGTCCAGCAGGTTGTAGCAGGTGTGGGCCACGGGCAGATAGTGCTCCTCGGCCGACGTGGACTGGATGGAGATGCGGAGGCTCTCCATGCCATGGATGGGGATGCGGTCGCTGCCCGTCAGGAATACTGGGAAAGAAGGGACAGTAAAAGGGGAGGGCCAGTGTTAGCATTAGGTATAGCATTATAGTTGAGAGAGGGAGGGATAGCGTTAGCTTTAGATGTACTGTATTATTGAGGCTGAGATACTGTCTGAGAACTAATACTCAAGCGGGCTTTCTTTCCTCGTCTTCTTTCCTTGTAGTGTTAGGAATAGATAACATTGAGCTTGAGCCACTGGCTAAGTCCCAATACTAAGTGCCCATTTAGACCTTGAGTAAAACTACAGATTGTCATAGTGATTGTTTAACGAGGTGTTGGCTGAGTGCTCTACTTAGTACTTACATAAGACCTGAGGGCTCTACTCAGTATTTACATAAGAACTGAGGGCTCTACTTAATACTTACATAAGAACTGAGGACTCTGCTTAATACTTACATAAGCAACGAGGGCTCTACTTAGTATTTACATAAGAACTGAGGGCTCTACTTAATACTTACATAAGAACCGAGGGCTCTACTCAGTATTTACATAAGAACTGATATATATTATTATATTATAACCGAGGGCTCTACTCAGTATTTACATAAGAACCTAGGGCTCTACTTTGTACTTACATAAGAACCGCTTCTTCTTTTCCAGAGGGAACTCATGGAATACCTCCCAAAACATCCTCACAGTCGGATGAGTGGCTGAATACTCTCCTTTGTAAACTGCATTCTGTAGTAGAAAAGCCAAAACAACATAATATGGTTATATTCACAAGGCCGCAGGGCCAGACGGATTACCAGGACGTGTACTCCGAGCATGTGCTGACCAACTGGCAAGTGTCTTCACTGACATTTTCAACATGTCCCTGACTGAGTCTGTAATACCGACAGGTTTCAAGCAGACCACCATAGTCCCTGTGCCCAAGGACACTAAGATAACCTGCCTAAATGACTACCGACCCGTAGCACTCACGTCTGTAGCCATGAAGTGCTTTGAAAGGCTGGTCATGGCTCACATCAACACCATTATCCCAGAAACCTTAGTCCCACTCCAATTTGCATACAGCCCCAACAGATCCACAGATGACGCAATCTCTATTGCACTCCACACTGCCCTTTCCCACCTGGACAAGAGGAACACCTACGTGAGAATGCTATTCATTGACTACAGCTCAGCGTTCAACGCCATAGTGCCCTCAAAGCTCATCACTAAGCTAAGGATCCTGGGACTAAACACCTCCCTCTGCAACTGGATCCTGGACTTCCTGACGGGCCGCCCCCAGGTGGTAAGGGTAGGTAACAACACATCTGCCACGCTGATCCTCAACACGGGGGCCCCTCAGGGGTGCGTGCTCAGTCCCCTCCTGTACTCCCTGTTCACCCATGACTGTATGGCCAGGCACGACTCCATCACCATCATTAAGTTTGCCGACGACAACAGTGGTAGGCCTGATCACCGACAACGATGAGACAGCCTATAGGGAGGAGGTCAGAGACCTGGCCGAGTGGTGCCAGGATAACAACCTCTCCCTCAACGTGATCAAGACAAAGGAGATGATTGTGGACTACAGGAAAAAAAAGAGGACTGAGCACGCCCCCATTCTCATTGAAGGGGCTGTAGTGGAACAGGTTGAGAGCTTCAAGTTCCTTGGTGTCCACATCACCAACGAACTATCATGGTCCAAACACACCAAGACAGTTGTGAAGAGGGCACGACAAAACCTATTCCCCCTCAGGAGACTGAAAAGATTTGGCATGGGTCCTCAGATCCTCAAAAAGTTCTACAGCTGCACCATCGAGAGCATCCTGACTGGTTGCATCACCGCCTGGTATGGCAACTGCTCGGCCTCCGACCGCAAGGCACTACAGAGGGTAGTGCGTACGGCCCAGTACATCACTGGGGTCAAGCTTCCTGCCATCCAGGACCTCTATACCAGGCAGTGTCAGAGGAAGGCCCTAAACATTGTCAAAGACTCAAGCCACCCTAGTCATAGACTGTTCTCTCTGCTACTGCACGGCAAGCGGTACCGGAGCGCCAAGTCTAAGTCCAAAAGGCTTTTCAACAGCTTCTACCCCCAAGCCATAAGACTCCTGAACAGCTAATCATGGCTACCCGGACTATTTGCACTGCCACACCCCCCCACCCACCCCACCCCCCTCTTTTACGCTGCTGCTACTCTGTTTACTATTTATGCATAGTCACTTTAACTCTACCCACATGTACATATGACCTCAATTACCTCGACTAGCCGGTGCCCCCGCACATTGACTCTGTACCGGTACCCCCCTGTATATAGCCTCCCTACTGCTATTTTATTTTACTGCTGCTCTTTAGCTATTTGCTTTTATTTTTCTTAATTAACACTTTTTTATTTTACATTTTTCTTTAAAAAACTGCATTGTTGGTTAAGGGCTTGTAAGTAAGCATTTCACTGTAATCTCTACACCTGTTTTTTCGGCGCATGTGGCAAATACAATTTGATTTGATTTGATTTATATTAGGGACAGTTATGTAACTGAAGTTGGCCAACTGCTATGATTTCTATATAAAGCATTCCACCTGGTCACTATCATTAAGTGTTATTCAGAGTTAGAACATGTTTCCTTCATATGTAACAGCCTGCGGAATTCCTCACAGACCTGTGTGTGTGTGTGTGTGTGTGTTTGTTAGCCCAACCTAACCTAACCGCAGCGTTCAAACTTCATACACATTTCCCACATTCGGAGCAGTGCTGTGAAAACGCCCCACTTACGCATGTTGTCAATATCCTGCACACAACACTCGCAGTAAACACAGATCACAGGCCCCTTACATTCATGTGAAGACATCAACATGCACACACTAAGGCCAAACAAATCCAGGAGAAGCCCAGTGCACATTACTTACGGTGACCTTGACCTTTTGAATTTCCTCCGTTAGCCAATGGCTAATCCCCATACCCTCCCCCACCCTTAGCGAGCGAAACATGTCCCGACGCTCGAACTTGACCAGGCAGACGCTCGAACTTCCTGGTTTCTGACTGAAGTATTTTGTCTAATTGGCTATGCCCTCGAGAACTGCCTGGTCAAGACAGGTTCGTTGTAGTGATGGGTCAACAATTAAAACAATTATTTGATTAGTTTTGACACTGCGCTTTGCAGTATGGCATCAACTGTTCCATTATATTTCATACCCTCACAGTTCTCTGGTCTCCTGTCAACACCAGTGTTATCCATGGATGTTTGACTCAGTGACTGACTGCCCTGGGGTGTATTCACTCGAAACCAAACGGAAACAAACGGGATGAAACGGGGAGGGACCTACCTGAATTTGTCCAATAGAAACTCACATTTTTGTTGCGAAACGTTTTGCTATTTTTTGCTACGGTGTGCACCAACTCTCTGCATTAGCAAACATTAGCTTCTACCATTAACATTCTCCATCACCTACCATTAGCATTACCACTCACATTCTTCATCACCTAGCATTAGCATTCCCACTCACAAATCTCCATCACCTACCATTAGGGTTAACTTCCCATGACCTACCATTAGGGTTAGCTTAGCATGACCTACCATTAGGGTTAGCTTAGCATGACCTACCATTAGGGTTAGCTTAGCATCACCTACCATTAGGGTTAGCTTAGCATCACCTACCATTAGGGTTAGCATGAGCGTTAGCATTATAGCTCACCTTCTCCATTTCCTCCCAGTTATAGTTGTTGTTTCCCACCACCATGGCCATGAGCTCGGAGGGCTGGAACAGCGACAGGATCTTCCCACCGCACACCTTCAGGAACCCAGAGGAGAAGGCCTGGTACAGCTCGCTCACCGAGTCCCTGAACATGTACTTCAGGTAGGCCTCCACAAACTCCTCCCTGACACAGAGAGAGACACACAGACAGACATAAACAACACAAATAATACTGAGCCATACAGTTTACCATCCTAATTTTGGATATCCAATCAGTAGTCTGGTTGTATAGTTAATAACCAGGGACAGCCTTTTGGGGGCCCTATGCAAGCCCTCTTGGCAGCAGAGAGAAACATTTGACATATTAATAATTTCCTGCAATTCTACACATTTTGCCATGAGGTTAGAGAACATGTAACAGTTTTAAAGCACATTTTCTGCAATTCTACACATTTTGCCATGGGGCAGAGAGAAAGTTTTGCAGTTGTGAAACTAATTTCATGCAATTCAACTATTTGCCATGGGGCGGTGAGAAAATGTTACAGTTTTAAAGCTATTTTACTGAAATTCTGCACATTTTGCCATGACTTATGCCATGTTCGTATGATTTTTGAGTGAGAGTAATCCCCTGTAACCATTTAAATTCTTATTAAAAGTACCATTTGTTGTTGCTTAAACCCCTACCTGTCTCATGTTGTTGCACTACGTGATGTGACAAGCCCCTCCACCTACGGCCATGCCACACAGTAGGCTTCAGAGGGGTTGTCTGCCCTAAGATCGCCATCATGGTGAAGACTACATGGCCCATAACCCACTGCTATACAGGTCACCTGGCTTGAGTGGCCTCATTATGGTTTAAATTAACTGCACCTGGGCTATATTGGGGGTTTTCCACACAGAGAGCAGCAGGAGATGCTGAAGACTATCCAAGCTCCATGGAACTTTGTTTAAACGAAGGACTTTGCTTCAGTTTGATGATTGAGTAAGTTATACTCTGACAGATCTAGGCCTTTTGATTTAGTTTGTCATTACTGTATTATTTGATCAAATCAAACTTTATTTGTCACATACATGTGTTTAGCAGATGTTATAGCACGTGTAGCGAAATGCTTGTGCTTCTAGTTCCGACAGTGCAGTAATATCTAACAAGTAATATCTAACAATTTCACAACATATACCTAATACACAAAACTAGTAAGGAATGGAATTTAAGAAAATATACATATGGACAAGCAATGACAGAGCGGCATGGACTAAGATACAGTAGAATATTATAGAATGGAATGCAGTATATGCATATGAGATGAGTAGTGCAAGATATGTAAACATTATTAAAGTGACTAGTGTTCCATTTCTTAAAGTGGCCAGTGATTTCAATAGGCAGCAGCAGCCTCTAATGTGCTAGTGATGGCTATTTAACAGTCTGATAGCCTTGAGATAGAAGCTGTTTTTCAATCTCTCGGTCCCGGCTTTGATGCACCTGTACTGACCTCGCCTTCTGGATGATAGTGGGGTGAACAGGCAGTGGCTCGGGTGATTTAACAAGTTTGTCAGTAAAATTAATCATACAGGGATGATTTCTGTATTTTGAACGTTACATATCTTGAAAACTTGATTGCTGACAGTCCCAAAATGTTTTGCTTATGTCAACAATGGACGAATGAAACAAATACCAGAAGATAGTTTTTGGGTGGAGTTTTCCTTTAAGACTGGGACTGTACATGTTGTGCCTATGTCAGTATAGCTTCATTCTCATGGCAGGCCTATCCCCTCAGGAGGGGACTAGGGATCTGTGAGGATAGAGAATAGCAGTGAGAGCAGCACTAAGGTCACGTCCCAAATGGCACCCTATTCCCCTGTATAGTGCACTACTTTAAAGGCAATGGGGTGCCATTTGGGACGCAGCCTAACTGTCGCTCCCAGGAGGATGTCACATGGGGCCGTGTTCTGCTTTCTGGAGACACGCTCTACTGGGCAGATTGGAGACCCATGGCCACTGCCCCGGCCAATCAAAACAGATTAAAATAGACCACACATAACCCACCACCATAACCATCTATAATTGAGATCCAAAGCTTTATCAGATGACATGAGACTGAGACATCCATCTTGAATTTAGTCACTTAAGTGGATGGGTAATGTGCATTGGAGCTCTACGCATTAATACTTTAATCATAGTAATAAACAACCATGGCAGTTAAAGGATGGGACTTCCCCCGATTCCTTTCTCTCGTTTGGTCAGGAACTTAACTGCTAAAGAACTTCATCTTTAACACAGAACATGACGGGAAAGAGAGTCAACTGGGCCCTTGCACACATGATAGAGAGAGTCAACTGGGCCCTTGCACAAAGGATAGAGAGAGAGTCAACTGGGCCTTTGCACAAAGGATAGAGAGAGTCAACTGGGTCCTGTGAGGAGGATAAGATGGTGATGGCAGTGTGTGTCAGGCATGTAGCTCTGCACACACATTTCAGCACAGCATGGCCCAGGGAGGATGTGTGAACTCTGTGTAGCAACATGGTTGGCCACCCACCTGATTTCCTGACAGATACTGTAGCAGCCAGCTACAGAGACGTCAGGAGGGCTGCAGGGGAATAGGAACGTTGCTCTTTGGCCTACTCTCCCTTTCTTACTTAAACACATACTTGTGGCTAATACACACACTGACTCAGTCACACACACACTCCCCAGCCTCTCCCTCCAGAGATCAAACTGGCGAGCCCCACAGCCATAAATAAAACACTCGATCTGACAAACAGCAATGAGGAATGGGAAACTAGCCATTGCATCTGTGGGCTCCACAACTCCACTCACAATAAACAAAGCTCCCTCGGTGTAATGAAGAGGAAAGGTGACTCAACTTATTGTTTAGCAGTTTTTTCCTGACCGTGTGACCTGCCCAGAAACTCTGGGCTGCAGTTACAGTCTGATTTCACACATAACATTACAGCCTGTAAGTAGGAAAAACACCTGGCCCTGGCATTATGCTTTCACACATTTTATATTTTAGTCATTTTAGCAGATGCTTCTATCCACAGTGATAGGAGCAATTAGGGTTAAGTGTGTTGCTCACGGGCACAGACAGATTTGTCACCTCAGGGATTCGAACCAGTGACCTTTCAGTTACTGGCCCAACGCTCTTAACCACTAGGCTACCTGCCTCTCGAAAATTATAGATATGCCTGCACTTCAAGTCATAACGGACAGCCTTCAAAATGGCCTTCGTAGTCCGACTCTGTTTTGGCAGGATGAAGGGGTTCTGTTTTCCCTCCTCTCTCTCTTTCTGGGTGGAGGCCCTGAGGATTTGGCCCGCAGCCAAATGGCTAGTCAAAGTATAATGAGGATTTGTGGAGAGACGTGGGCTGCTGTTCTGAACCCAATCTCAGCTGGGGACATCCCCATCTGTTCAACACAAGCTTCCAGCACACTCCCGTACTCTCACCTCAATGGACTCCTCCACACGGTGCTCTAACTCTGTGTCAGTGACAGATGCGCCGCCTCAAAATACAGTGAGCTCCAAAAGTGTTGGGACAGTGAACTGTTTTTGGTTGTTTTGGCTCTGTACTCCAGCACTTTAGATTTGAAATGATATAATGACTATGCGGTTACATTCATGTGGATGCTACCCCCCCCCCCCACCCCCAAAAAATGCTAACCTCCCCTGTTATTGTAATGGTGAGAGGTTAGGATATCTTTATTTGTGCGTCTAACTTTCTCACTCATCATTATTCACGATTCATTCAGGATTATCCGTAATGATGGTAGCATCCACATTCATGTAGAAGTGTTTAGAAAGATATTCTATTCTTATTTACAATAAAAGTTCACCCTGACCTCACTAATCGCCCAACCTCAGTGCCGACCTCACAAATGCTCGTGGCTGAATGGAAGCAAGTCCCCGCAGCGATGTTCCAACGTCTAGTGGAAAGCCTTCCCAGAAGAGTGGAGGCTGTTATAGCAGCAAAAGAGGGACCAACTCCATATTAATGCCCATGACTTTGGAATGAGATATTCGACGAGCAGGTGTCCACATACTTTTGGTCATGTAGGGTAGATATAATAGTGTAATTTATTGTTTATTGATGTGTTTGACAGGTTGTCATTGTTCTTAAAGGTGAAATAAAACATGATCTGGGGACTGTGCTGTTATAGATAGGAATAAGGTTACGGTTGCAGTTCTGTTTTAAAGTCAGTGTTATAGTGTGTGTGTTATAGTTGGGTATATATATATATAAGGGGCCCAACCTGTTGTTGTTGTCCACAGTGATGCGGTCTCCTCCAGGGATAAGCTCCTTAACCTCCGTCAGACCATAGTACTCTCTGGTGATCTGGGATGGACACACAGTGGAGGGTTAGATACCATCTAGTCAGGCAACTAGATATCATCAATTTCTACTGCAGCATCTGAACGTTGTGAAGATCTTTCTGTACAGTCATCTTTTAGTGGATGATGACGTAGTGTTTCAGGAGGGAGTGGGTTTATGTTAATTTTTTTGTGTGGGGTTCAGACATCTCTAAGAGTTGGTACAATTCACAACAGGTGGGCCTGTGAGCACTTACAGCAAAGTTGAGACAAAATGTCTCCTCAACGTCCTCTCCCTCATGGTCCAGGAGCTGTTGTAAACTCCTAGAGAGAGAAAGTGAGACGTATTCACTAACACATGACCGTAGAGAATGTAAGCTCTGTCTCACTACTGTGAGAAAACAAAGAGAGGAGGAAGAGAGAGAAAGGGAACGCAAGACAGAGAAATAAATTAGAAGCCCAATGTCATCCTCATCAAAATTCCTCTCTCACAGCTGCGTCTTGAGGTAAAGACTAATCCAGCACACTTTTCATCACCGACAAGGCATCCCCCCCCAGCAGCCTCAGCCATCACTAAAGACTCTCCATAACCTAGCTGGGGATAACACACACACCATTTTAGGGCCTCTGCCCTCAGTAGCATTTAGTGGCATCACTAACGGCAAATTTTAGCGCTTAGCCTGGTGGCCAGCTGGGTTGTCCCCAAAGCATCGGAGATTAACAGGGAGAGAACAGAAGAGGGAACAACAAGGCTTCCTGTAGTGCTAGCCTGTTTGAGCGCTAACGCTAGCAGTTAATAATAGACAGTGATGGAGAATGGGGGCTACGCTAACGCTAGTAGCAAATAATAGACACTGATGGAGAATGGGGGCTATGCTAACGCTAGGAGCTAATAATAGACAGTGATGGAGAATGGGGGCTATGCTATGTTAACGCTGGGAGCCAATAATAAACAGTGATGGAGAATGGGGGTTATGCTAACGCTGGGAGACAATAACAGACAGTGAGTGATGGACAGTGTGGGAGGGGGACTACGCTAAGCTATGCTTGCTAGGGAGATGCTAGCCAATCCTACCACAACACAGGAAGTATGCATGGAGTAACAGGGATAGGGTGCCAAGCGGAAAGGAAACTCCTCGTTCTCTCGACCCAAAGGGCAGCCAAGTGAGATTTGTCTCACATTCTGTTGAAGTTGGAGAGAGCATGGGAGTACGCTGCCTTGCTTTGTATGAGCTGTGTATTGGATTGGTGTTCTTGTGGGTTGTGGAGTTGAGTTTTTCTGCACAAATTACTTTGAACTACAGTAGTCTGAAGTAGGTATTTGAAAGGCATCTTTCCAGTTATCTTATTTCAACTCAGAGTATTAGGAGTACACAGAAATACTAGAGTAAAGAAATACATCAAATGCGAACGGTTTTTAATTAATTTTCTTTCTTCATTTCTTCACTACCACTTAGTTCAAAACCCACCGCTGTATCTACTCTCTATTGCCTCGGTCTTAAGTATACCCAAAAGTCAAGCCAAGAAAACACAGCACAACCCAGGACAAAACAACAAGACACTATTCATCGGCTGGGTTGTTTTGTGGCCCAACACCCCCGAGGGAGCCAACTCCTTAGAGAAGGCTGTCTTTTACTGTGACACGCTCAAAGGCCGAGGCACTGCCCTAATTGTAGCCCTCAGACTGATAATCTAAGGATAAAAAGCTTCAGCGCTAGCCTCCGGGCCATCTGCAGACAATTAGACGCTAGGCCAACCGCTGGGTTATGTACAGTGCATTCAGAAAGTATTCACACCCTTTGACTCTTTCCACATTTTGTTGTGTTGTAGCCTTAATTTAAAATTGATTATATTGAGGTTTTGTGTCACTGGCCTACACACAATACCCCATAATGACCAAGTGGAATTTTTTGAAATGTTAACAAATTAATAAAAAATGTAAAGCTGAAATGTCTTGAGTCAATAAGTATTCAACCCCTTTATGGCAAGCCTAAATAAGTTTCAGGAGTAAAACATGTGCTTGACAAGTCACATAATAAATTGCATGGACTCACTCTGTCTGTGTGCAATAATAGTGTTTAACGTGATTTTTGAATGACTACCTCATCTCTGTACCCCACACATACAATTATCTGTAAGGTCGCTCAGTCGAGCAGTGAATTTCAAACACAGATTCAACCATAAACACCAGGGAGGTTTTCCAAATCCTCACAAAGGGCACCTGTTGGTAGATGGGTAAAAAAAAGTAGGCGTTTGAGCATGGTGAAGTTATTAATTACACTTTGGATGGTGTTTCAATACACCCAGTCACTACAAAGATACAGGCGTCCTTCCTAACTCAGTTGCCGGAGAGGAAGGAAACCGCTCATGGATTTCACCATGAGGCCAATGGTGACTTTAAAACAGTTAGAGTTTAATGGCTGTGATAGGAGAAAACTGAGGATGGATCAACAACATTGTAGTTACTCCACAATACTAACCTAAATGACAGCGTGAAAAGAAGGAAGCCTGTAAAGAATACACATATTACAAAACATGCATCCTGTTTGCAATAAGGCACTAAAGTAAAACTGCAAAAAATGTGGCAAAGAAATTCACTTCATGTCCTGAATACAAAGCGTTATGTTTGGGGCAAATCCAACACACCACTGAGTACCACTTCATATTTTCAAGCACGGTGGTGGTTGCACCATGTTATGGGTATGCTTGTCATCGGCAAGGACTAGGGAGTTTTTTTTAGGATAAAAAGAAGCGGAATAGAGCTAAGCACAGGCAAAATCCTAGAGGAAAACCTGGTTCAGTCTGCTTTCCAACAGACAATAACCTAAAACACAAGGCCAAATATACACTGGAGTTATTTACCAAGACAGCATTGAATGTTCTTGAGTGACCTAGTTACAGTTTTGTCTTAAATCGGCTTTAAAATCTTTGGCAAGACTTAAATGGCTGTCTAGCAATGATCAACAACCAACTTGTCAGAGCTTGAAGAATTTTTAAAAGAATGATGTGCAAATGTTGTACAATCCAGGTGTGCAAAGCTCTTAGACTTACCCAGAAAGACTCATAGCTGTAATCGCTAACACAGCGATTACAGCAGAGACAAACAGTCTCCTCCTGGATCAAGATCCCTGCTGCCTAAATTTGTTTTGTGCGTTTGGAAAGAAATAGTGTGCACTGCTGGTAATACCGTATACCCCAGTATGGTACAGAAACTGTATGAAAATCTGGATACCGCCCAACACTCAATTATTGCCTTCTGAAGAACTGTTGAGTTTACACAATACATTGATTTCAAATAAGGATGGAAGGGGGAATTTCTCTCGGGTCCTTAAAGTATAAATAAAACCAGAATTAAATCTCTCCGCACCCAAGAGGAAAACACATTTATACAAACAGCATGGACAATCAATATACCTAATGGCAGTGAAAAGATTGTGTTCAACACTAAGTCATTTCAATGAATGAAGAACACTCACTTTCCATGTAGAACTTTTAACAAGAGCCATTAGCATGATGTAGCTAGGGGGAGTTAGCATGCGGGTCCATCCCAGCCGAGAGGCCTCGTGGCCGGGCTATGAATTCACATTACCTGCCCTCTGTGGGCGACAGCTCCTTGAGGTCCTCCAGAGTGGGTGCTACGCCCAGTAGCTTCTTGTAGAGGACCAGGGGGAAGTGGAGGTCCACCACCGTGCTGTTATAGATGGCCAGCCCACAGATGATCCCTATCAGGTTGAACCAGTTGTGCTCCACAAAACACTGGGCACAAACAGAAAGAGACATAACAAGAAAGTTATGTAGAGGCAATGCTTTGTTGGGTGCATAGAAATAGTCTTAAGTGGCGTCCTCTTCTTGTTGCTCGTTCCTCGCTGATCTGAAAATCCAGGAGAGGTGAAAGTAACATGATAGAAGCCTACTGAAAGTGTTTTAATACTGATGAACAGTTATGAGGAAAAACCAAAAGGACTATCAACTATTAAATGTACACCTTGTTTTTGATGGAAATGTAGGCTGGCATAACACCAAAGGACTGCTTTTAAATCCAAACCAACATTTACATTTGTTTTTATTCAACGACTGAGTTGATTAACATGCACCAACTTGGAGATGGCAGCAATGTATTACTGGGCTACTCAGAACTGTTGTTGAATCATTACACATTTGTGTTTCTGACTAAACTACAAGCTACATATAAGCAATTACCTACTATGCCTTTCCAACAAAATATGGTTGAAGAACCCTACAAACCTATTCTAAGCCTATTCCATTTCATTTTGTTGTTACAGTCCGGTTTGAGTTCCTCCTTCAATCACTACTCTCTGTCAATTGCGAGTGTCAAAGGGTTCATAGACGTTCATTAATTTTCCCACGACCCAGGTTGCTATTTTGTATACGTGAGAGAACGTTCCCGATTTCGCTTCGCTTCCAGTAATCACTCATGGGTGTCCCTTTTCCTAGAAAACGCTGATCTACGCCAACTCGCTCCGATAGGATGGCTCTCGTTACATAAGCGGTTAATATTCAATACAATAACAATTATTTCTCCCCTCAACAAAACACTACTCCACAACAAATATGACCTTTCTGGCCTAGTGGCATGTCCCTTCACACAATAGAATGTATTCAATTTACAGCACAATGGCCAGGCCACACAGCCAAGCCTGGGTCGGGGTTAACAAAGGTCATTGAAATACAGACAAAAAGCCGTTACGAGACGCAGGTAAACAGCTAAACACTCAGGTACAGTGGGGGAAAAAAGTATTTAGTCAGCCACCAATTGTGCAAGTTCTCCCACTTAAAAAGATGAGAGAGGCCTGTAATTTTCATCATAGGTACACGTCAACTATGACAGACAAAATGAGAAAAGAAATTCCAGAAAATCACATTGTAGGATTTTTAATGAATGTATTTGCAAATTATGGTGGAAAATAAGTATTTGGTCAATAACAAAAGTTTCTCAATACTTTGTTATATACCCTTTGTTGGCAATGACACAGGTCAAACGTTTTCTGTAAGTCTTCACAAGGTTTTCACACACTGTTGCTGGTATTTTGGCCCATTCCTCCATGCAGATCTCCTCTGGAGCAGTGATGTTTTGGGGCTGTCGCTGGGCAACACAGACTTTCAACTCCCTCCAAAGATTTTCTATGGGGTTGAGATCAGGAGACTGGCTAGGCCACTCCAGGACCTTGAAATGCTTCTTACGAAGCCACTCCTTCATTGCCCGGGCGGTGTGTTTGGGATCATTGTCATGCTGAAAGACCCAGCCATGTTTCATCTTCAATGCCCTTGCTGATGGAAGGAGGTTTTCACTCAAAATCTCACGATACATGGCCCCATTCATTCGTTCCTTTACACGGATCAGTCGTCCTGGTCCCTTTGCAGAAAAACAGCCCCAAAGCATGATGTTTCCACCCCCATACTTCACAGTAGGTATGGTGTTCTTTGGATGCAACTCAGCATTCTTTGTCCTCCAAACACGACGAGTTGAGTTTTTACCAAAAAGTTATATTTTGGTTTCATCTGACCATATGACATTCTCCCAATCCTCTTCTGGATCATCCAAATGCACTTCAGACGGGCCTGGACATGTACTGGCTTAAGCAGGGGGACACGTCTCGCACTGCAGGATTTGAGTCCCTGGCGGCGTAGTGTGTTACTGATGGTAGGCTTTGTTACTTTGGTCCCAGCTCTCTGCAGGTCATTCACTAGGTCCCCCCGTGTGGTTCTGGGATTTTTGCTCACCGTTCTTGTGATCATTTTGACCCCACGGGGTGAGATCTTGCGTGGAGCCCCAGATCGAGGGAGATTATCAGTGGTCTTGTATGTCTTCCATTTCCTAATAATTGCTCCCACAGTTGATTTCTTCAAACCAAGCTGCTTACCTATTGCAGATTCAGTCTTCCCAGCCTGGTGCAGGTCTACAATTTTGTTTTTGGTGTCCTTTGTCAGCTCTTTGGTCTTGGGTAACTAAGACCAACCGTGTCTATTCAGAGCATTTGGAAATATTTTGAAACATTGTTTGTGACCTTGTTCGGCTTTGAAAATGCATAATGTTGTTTAGATTTAGAAGATAATGAAATTGACCCTTCTGACATGTTGAGGCGGTTGGCTGGCTTCCAGAACATGAGTAGAAGGGACTTGACAACTAATATGACCTTGGTGTTGCTTCATACAATAGATAGGGTCAGCGTCCCAAATGGCATAGAGCACTATATAGGGAATAGGGTGCCAATTAGAATGCAACCAGACTGTAACAGTGGTTTTCTACAAATAACAAATTCTAACATGTCACAGTGTCCCATTAACGGTTAGATGTGTTTTGTTGCTCCATCTTGGTCAGGTCGTTACTGTAAAAGAGACTGTATTCTTTATGATTTACCTGGAGACATAAAAAAAAACTTAAAAACATTTGCTTGCACCACTTCCCTTTTTTATTTTATTCCTCTAGCAACCGTTGCCAAGGTCAGTGAATCAGTGTTGGCATTTGATACACTTCTCTTGAATCATGTACTACACTCCAACGCACCTGCAAGAAATATTTACTACTACATCCCTTTAAGTAAAGTGATTTTTTTGGATACAGTATTATGAGTAACATCAGCACTATATTTAAGCAATAAGGCCCGAGGGGGTGTGGTATATGGCCAATATACCACGGCTAAGGGCTGTTCTTAAGCAAGACCCAACCGCGGAGTTGGGGAGGACGGGCTCGTGGTAATGGCTGGAGCGGAATTGGTGGAATGGTATCAAATACATTAAACATGGTTTCCATGTGTTTGATGCCATTCCATTTACTCCATTCCAGCCATTTATGAGCCGTCGTCCCCTCAGCAGCCTCCACTGAGTGGTACATGACTCACTTTATCAGAGAACCAGAGCAGGTTGGACTGGGTGTACTGGGTGAACATGCCATACACAGGGTCCATCAGCTCCTTCAGCAGCAGTAGGAAGAACTCCTTGGTTACCCCCCCTGCATCGACCGCCTCCTCCCCATCAAAGATCACCTAGAGGGGAGAGGGGAGAGGGGCCTTAGTTCCTGTAATTAAAGTGGCACTATCAATTTAATTGATAGAACCCAAAATCTATCAGCAATATTAAAGCTGATCTATTCCCCCCCCGAAAAAAAGGGGGGAAAATATAAATGTGGCACAAACTGAGCGCAAATACTCTATCAATCACTTTCTCATCCTCAAGTGATATGTGCAGCCACTGACAAACTGTTGATGATTGGTTGTGTCATCTTATTTCTCTTTGATTACAAAGATCTCTCATTAAAAAGAAGATCTCTAGGTATATTTACCACACACTACATGACCTTTGTGACCCTGAGAGGTGCTGAACTCTGACCTTGAGGGGCTTCTTGAGGTCGACGTCGGAGTAGATGGTGAGCTCCCTCAGCGCGTCACTCACTAAATGGTCCCTGCGTACGTGGAGCACCAGGAAGGGGTTCCGCGCCAGGAGGGGTTCCAGCGTCAGCAGCATGAAAACGTTATGCAGGTTGGCCCCGCTCACCGCCATCTTGGAAAAGGTCACAGACAGGGGATATCGATACAAAATAAATAAAAACATATGTCCCACCCCACCCTCCAGTGTAGGAGAGATTGAAATTATTCATATTTGTTTTTAAAGGGACATGGTTAATTCTTACATTGTCTATAAAAACAAGTTATTTTACCAAGGCTAATGTCAACATAAATCAGTTCCAAACTTGAGTTAACAGCGGGCAACTTTTATATAATGGTCCTGTGTGGCTCAGTTGGTAGGACATGGCACTTGCAATGCCAGGTTTGTGGGATCAAATCCCACGGGGGACCAGTACAAATGAAAATGTATGCACTCACTACTGTAAGTCGCTCTGGACAAGAGCGTCTGCTAAAATGACAAATGTAAATATATATTTTCCAATCCTGGCTGTTACCTGCATCTGTAGCTCAGCGTCAGTTTGCAGCATGGTGGTCTTGGCTTGGGCGTTCAGTATAAACGGGTAGGCACATAAAGTCACTGAGTTCTGAATGGAAGAACAGAGAAACATTCTCGTTTGAAGAGATGTCTTTCTTAGCATTTAGATAACGAGGCATTTCAACTTATTTGATTAGAAACAGCCTGTATACCTGTACTGCTGGTGTTCTCATTTTCTGAAAAACAAAAGGAGGAAAAAGTATCATCAACTCAGTTGTTTTGTCCAATTTACCCATAAATGATATTCTAGAGCCCTGAAACTGAACTCTGGACCTCGAAGCCAGTTCCACTGCGTTTTTTCATTCTTCCCCTCTAATCAGGGACTGATTTAGACCTGGGACACCAGATGGGTACAATTAATTATCAGGTAGAACAGAAAACCAGCAGGCTCCGGACCTCATAGGGTAAGAGTTGAATACCCTTGTTCTAGAGGATCATAACAGTGTTTTCAGATTGACAGCTGGTGGCAGGGGCATGGCAGTCTAGCTATACCAGTTTACTGAGACATTGGCCAGAGCTACAAAGCACAATGGTGAAAATATGGGGGTGGGGACAACACAAATCACTAGTCTCTGTGCTCTTCCTAGAAAGGGCCTACACAGTTTGACAGATTATACTATGCAGGGAGAAAGAGGGAGTGAGGGGGAAGATGTATTTCACCCATAGGAAAGGAAATGAGGGGTAGGGGCTAGGGGGCTCGTCTGTGAGAGTAGCATCCCATTGGATTAGGATGAGAATTAGATCACTGGACACACACACACACCAAATTCCACAGGACGACATCTTCACAAGAAAAGAGAGAGAGAGAGAGACGGAGAGAGCTCCAGTACTCACAAGCTCTGCTTTACTCAGAAACCACTTGAGGTAGTCTTCCTGAATGTCCACCAGGGTGGTGATGTCAGGGATATAGAAGCGGTTGTACTCCACATGCCCGGCCTTCAGGTTAACCTGGATACACACAGCAGCACAACAACCCTTCTCAGAACACACACACCCATCATTGTGATCGTTTACCAGGAAGTCTCTTGCGGTTTGATTCTCTCTTCAAAAAACATTTAATATAAAGAATATGCTGCATATTCTTTTATGTAATTTTTTTTAGTGTGGTGCTTTTTACCCCTTTTTCTCCCCAATTTCGTGATATCCAATTGGTAGTTACAGTCTTGTCCCATCGCTGCAACTCCCATGCGGACTCGGGAGAGGCGAAGGTCGAGAGCCATGCGTCCTCTGAAACACGACCCCACCAAGACGCACTGCTTCTTGACACACTGCTTACTTAACCCGGAAGCCAGCCGCACCAATGTGTCGGAGGAAACACCGTACAGATGTGCCCGGCCGCCACAAGGAGTCGCTAGAGCGCAATGGGACAAGGACATCCCAGCCGGCCAAACCCTCCCCTAACCCGGACGACACTGGGCCAATTGTGCGCCGCCTCATGGGTCTCCGGTCGCGGCCAGCTGCAACACAGCCCGAGATCGAACCTGGATCTGTAGTGACACCTCTAGCACTGATCAGTGCCTTAGACCGCTGCGCATGCTACATATTCTTGATATTTTCCCACAATTCTGTAAATGGGGGAACTTTGTTTTTTGCATCACCGACATGCTTTAAAAAGGACCACTTTATGTGTTCATAGCCTCTTTAAAAAGTATCCCATTCGCAAATCATAGTTTCTCCACAAGCTTTAGTATAAAACTTTAACTTGTGAAGTATCTAGAGAAACTTTCATGTAAAGCTTTACCTAATGAAGTTTCCCCATGAGCATTAGCAGGAAACGTTACCTTATGAAGTTTCTCTAGAAGCTTTAGCGTGGCACTGGTGTAGCTTTCTAGGAAGACAGGGACGAGCAGGGCCTTTCCTCCGGTTAACAGGAACACCACGATGCTCTTATACATGTCCACCAGCCTGGAGAACACACTGCCGTCCACCAGGCACCACCAGTTATCTACGGGGATACAGAATATAACACAACATTAGTTATCTACAGGGATACAGAATATAACACAACATTAGTTATCTACAGGGATACAGAATATAACACAACATTAGTTATCTACAGGGATACAGAAAACAAGACAACACATCACATTCCAGCAGCTTTTAAAGGCAACCTGCAGTGACATTGCATAGTTAAAAGTATGGCAGAAGTGCCATGTGATGCACTCTACACATGAAGTGTATACCATTATGTTTTCCTGGGATTGACTGTGCAGTACGGAGAAAGAGTATTTGTGGTAGACTGAGGTGTACAGGGTAAACAGCACCAAACACTTTGTTCAGCACATTTGTGTGCATGAGGGTATTTGTCTGTGCGCCCATGTGCCTGCATATGTTCGTGTCAAATCAAATCAAATGTTATTTGTCACATGCTTCGTAAACAACAGGTGTGGACTAACAGTGAAATGCTTACTTACGGGCCCTTCCCAACAATGCAGAGAGAAAAATAATATTAAAATAATAACACGAGGAATAAATACACAATGAGTAACGATAACTTACATTTACATTTACATTTTAGTCATTTAGCAGACGCTCTTATCCAGAGCGACTTACAGTTAGTGAATACATATTTTTTTTATACTGGCCCCCCGTGGGAATCGAACCCACAACCCTGGCGTTGCAAACGCCATGCTCTATCAACTGAGCTACATCCCTGCCGGCCATTCCCTCCCCTACCCTGGACGACGCTGGGCCAATTGTGCGCCGCCCATGAGTCTCCCGGTTCGAACCAGGATCTCTAGTGGCACAGTTTGCACTGCGATGCAGTGCCTTAGACCACTGCGCCACTCAGGAGTACAATTTAGTGTCCTCATAGGATCTCATAGGAGAGTACAGTACTGTTTACTTAAATCAAAAGGGAAAATAAACAGATATAAAGAGTGAGTGGGTGTGAGAAAGAAAAAAATGCAACAATGTCCATCTTGTTAAAAAAAATATCTGCCTAGAGAGTTGGGGGAAGGGAAGGGTGAATAGTCTTCGTCTTCTTTCGTTCTGTGATAGTTGTTTCATTCAAGCTCACAGTGAGAGCTTGCAATGACACAACTCTTTGTACATGAGTCTCCTCAGCTTTGGCATGTCCAGCTGGCCAAAACTGAACGGCTGCTCCAAGGCTAGGTACTTACAGTACTGTGGGGGAAAAAACTACTTGGCTATATACACAGAGTACCAGTACCGAGTCCATGTGCAGGGGTACGAGGTAATTGATATGTACATATAGCCCTGTGTAGCTCAGTCGGTAGAGCGTTTGCAACGCCAGGGTTGTGGGTTCGTTTCCCACGGGGGGCCAGTATGAAAAATGTATGCACTCACTAACTGTAAGTTGCTCTGGATAAGAGCGTCTGCTAAATGACTAAAATGTAAAATGTAAATATAGGTAGGGATAAAGTAACTAGGCCACAGGATAGATAATAAACAGTAGCAGCAGCGTATGTGATGAGTCAAAAGAGTTTGTGCAAAGGAGGGTCAATGCAGATATTCCGGGTAGCTATTTTGTTAACTATTTAGCAGTCTTATGGCTTGGGGATAGAAGCTGTTCAGTTTCCTGTTGGTTCCAGACTTGGTGCATCGGTACCGCTTGCCGTGCGGTAGCAGAGAGAACAGTCTATGACTTGGGTGGCTGGAGTCGTTTACCACTTTTACGGCCTTCCTCTGACACCGCCTGGTATAGAGGTCCTGGATGGCAGGGAGCTCGGCCCCAGTGATGTACAGGGCTGTACGCACTACCCTCTGTAGCGCCTTGCGGCCGGATGCCAAGCAGTTGCCATACCAGGCGGTGATGCAACCAGTCAAGATGCTCTCAATGGTGCAGCTGTAGAACTTTTTGAGCATCTGAGCGCCCATGCCAAATCTTTCAGCCTCCTGATGGGGAAGAGGTGTTGTCGTGCCCTCTTCACGACTGTGTTGGTGTGTGTGGACCATGATAGATCCTTAGTGATGTGGACACCAAGGTACTTGAAGCTCTCTACCTGCTCCACTACAGCCCCGTTGATGTGTGTGCGTGCGAATGCATGCGTGTCTGTGTGTATGCAATGTACATAGTACATTAACATGTGATTGTGCATGCAATGCAACTATGTTCCCCCCCTACCGAGCACTTTGCTGGGGTTGGCATCCAGGCGGAGTATGGCCATGGCTAGGGGGATGGTGAGGGTGATGTAGTTCTTGGAGTCGTGCAGGGCGGGACACTCCGACAGGATCAGGTAGATCCTCATGGCCTCAACGTCAGGGGGGGAGCAGGGCAGCTGGGGGATCAGCAGGCTCTCAAAACTCTTAGTGGCCTGGCAGGACAGAGACATATGGATGGAGGGAGAGATGGATACATCACTTTAAAAATCATCCATCAAAATATCACCTAACAGCTGTCCGTACAACCGGTTAACTGTACATCACAATGCTTGTTATTTTCATTTGCTAATGGAGATGCAACAAAATTAGTATATTATGATATGAGTTAAGTAGGGTACCTGAAGTTTTTTCATTTAAACTATAACTGACCGATGGCAAAGTATTGGGAGATACTTTATATTGATTAAGAAATATATTTTCAACTGCACTAGTGTACAAAAACGCTACAGTATAAAAAAAAAATGTTAGTCGGAACAAGAATAGCTTTTTGCAAAATCTAAATGATTAGCTGGACTTGCGCACAGGACAAAAACATCACAGGAAAATGTTTTGGGAGAGGCCTCCTGTGGTTGGCTGGTTGCTAATGCTGCCTGGTCTTTATAGAACGCAATAAATCAAGTTAGGTTGAGACGCCCCAAAATCCCTAACATATTATTAGCGGGCTAGCTAGCTCTGAACCTCATGACTCAGTCCAGTAGGCATTCTGCTTGAAACCATCCAAACCCAGCAGAGTATGTGTTGATCTTACTAAGATGATGTGTACTGTGTGCTGTACCATTTCAGAAGTCAACAGGGGACATAGTTCATATGTGGCATGGGAATTCAATGCCGTGGCCTATGATACTCTCCAGCCATCAATACAAAATGTAGGGGGCGATGTACCCAAAACACCCCTATTTTACTCTACTACTTAGCTCAGTCCAAAGTGCTGCTGGCTAGGTCTAACAGACAGTACAGCACACTCTTAGAAAAAAAGGTGCCATCTAAAACCTTAAAGGGTTCTTCGGCTGTCCCCATAGGATAACCCTTTGAAGAACCCTTTTTGGTTCCAGGTAGAACCTATTCGGGTTCCATGTAGAACCCTTTCTACAGATGGTTCTACATGGAACCAAAAAGGGTTCTACCTGGATCCAAAAAGGGTTCTCCTATAGGACAGCCGAATAACCCTTTTTTGAACCCTGTTTTTTAAGAGTGTATGGGTCAAAGGGTGTTCCAGAACCAGACAGACATGGCTTTGTGTCCTTGGAGTCAAAACATAACCCACGTCTCTGTATGATAGGGTTGCCATGACAATGACAACGACCCTGTAAAGGGGATTTGTAAATGCCATTATTATCTCAGTTCAAATCTACGGGCCTCAGCCATAATACGGTTAGAACAGAGTAAATAGATAGAACAGAGTAGCTTAACAGTCAAAACTCAATTCAAGCTAGAATATTTAATGATGAAACAGCCACGTCCGTTTGCAATATTACAACAAAGTTACTGCAAACAACAAACACAGTTTTTTCCCCATTGGACATCACTGCACAAGCGATAGAAGAGCACAATATGTACTGCTTTTTTTACCATGCTGCACGACGCTCCTCAGCTCGGCAACAAAAACAACGGTGGTGGGGCGGCCAGTGGCGCCATTTTCCCCTACTGCGGATTCCATTTTTAAAGCTGTAATATGTAACTTTTTGGGCGACCCAACCAAATTCACATAGAAATGTGAGTTATAGACCTGTCATTATCACTGAAAGCAAGTCTAAGAAGTGGTAGAGCTATGTGCACTATTTCTATGCTTCCCGTTCTTAAGTTTAGTTTTTGCGTCTTTTACTTTCGGTTTGGTAAACCTGCTTCAAAAAGCAGAAAATATATTTCACAGCGGTTTAGATGGTACAATGATGACCTATATTATACTTGTTTTGTCACATAAACTGAAATCAGGCGAACAATTAGAATTTTAGCAACCAGGAAATGGCGGAGCGATTTCCGCATAGTGCACCTTCAGTATCTAAAGTGTCTTCTCATCTCCTTTCCTTTACCTGCTCCTTTGTGAAAAAACTAAAGACCTGAAACCCAGTGGGCATCGTCCATAAAGAACTAGAGACCTGAGACCCAGTGGGCATCGTCCATAAAGAACTAGAGACCTGAGACCCAGTGGGCATCGTCCATAAAGAACTAGAGACCTGAGACCCAGTGGGCATCGTCCATAAATAACTAGAGACCTGAGACCCAGTGGGCATCGTCCATAAAGAACTAGAGACCTGAGACCCAGTGGGCATCGTCCATAAAGAACTAGAGACCTGAAACCCAGTGGGCATCGTCCATAAAGAACTAGAGACCTGAGACCCAGTGGGCATCGTCCATAAAGAACTAGAGACCTGAGACCCAGTGGGCATCGTCCATAAAGAACTAGAGACCTGAAACCCAGTGGGCATCGTCCATAAAGAACTAGAGACCTAAAACCCAGTGGGCATTGTTCATTTTGCTTTCACTTATCCTGTGTTTTCATAACAGTGCAGATGATGGAAAGAGGAGGCCACTTTAACTATGCACACCCAGGTTTTTGAGCACAGGGAGGGTACTGCTTTCAGGTATTGCGATAAGACATGGTACACGAGAGTCGAGACGTTACCTGCTCCAGGAGTCTGGCGAAGGGCGGTTTACTGAGTGTCTCAAACAGCAGGCGGACCGAGTTGAGATCGATACCAGGGACTTTAGGGTTGGTCTTAAAATGGCTGTCATCACTGGGGGAACAAACAAAGAACAAAAGAGCCTTTAAGACCAAACCCCCCCAAAAATGACCAAACAGAAATACCCATATGATAAACTACCCAGACTTTTCATCGGTTTTAACTGTGGTGCTTTAAAGGGAAGTTCCGCTCAATATACAAGACCATCCCTTTAAAACTCATCAGCAGAGATATAAATAAATGGCTGGACTAAATCCATGTATTTGTGTAGAACCATTGATGAATAGAACACACAACATGTTCCTATGGGTTAGATAGAGTTTCTAGTTTCTATTCTAACCGGGCACGTGGCAGTTCAACTGTTGTGTGAGCTCACTGCAGGGTATAGTACCTCTAAAACCTAAAACAGAAAACACACACTCTCCAAAGCCAAAACACACACAACCCTAGAGATGAACAGGGATCATATATTAAGTCTAGTCAGAGCATCCAGGTATTTCAGCCCATTCCAAACCAGATTCACTGCTTTATCCTGTGACCTCTGCCGGGGTTGGTGTGTGTGTGTGTGTGTGTGTGTGTGTGTGTGTGTGTGGGAGAGAAACACCACAAAGCCCAGAACGTTCAAAAAGGCATGAAGGACAGTGACTATTTACAGGACAACCTCCAGATATTGATAGAAAGGCTTATAATTCAGCCATAATAAACCAGATTTGGCGCCGTGTGACTGTTTGGTAAACAGAGATGCCGACCGGGAACGATAAGCGCTAACAAGTAGAGAGGCGTTATGCTAGCTAGGGAACAGTGCTTCTGTACCCACCGGAATCAGGAAGCTTGGTGGCACGCTGTGTGTGTGCGTTTCATACTCTATGGGCCCAAATGTAGCCAATTAGTTTTAGGAACACTGTGCACCCGTTCTTGGGCGGTCCACATGATGCCATCACCAATGGGTGACCTCCACCTCCATGCCACCACAAACAATAACAGATGTGAGATTGGGAACATACACCAACACAGAGCGCATATATATATATATATATACAGTGGGGCAAAAAAGTATTTAGTCAGCCACCAATTGTGCAAGTTCTCCCACTTAAAAAGATGAGAGAGGCCTGTAATTTTCATCATAGGTACACGTCAACAATGACAGACAAATTGAGGAAAAAAAATCCAGAAAATCACATTGTAGGATTTTTAATGAATTTATTTGCAAATTATGGTGGAAAATAAGTATTTGGTCACCTACAAACAAGCAAGATTTCTGGCTCTCACAGACCTGTAACTTCTTCTTTAAGAGGCTCCTCTGTCCTCCACTCGTTACCTGTATTAATGGCACCTGTTTGAACTTGTTATCAGTATAAAAGACACCTGTCCACAACCTCAAACAGTCACACTCCAAACTCCACTATGACCAAGACCAAAGAGCTGTCAAAGGACACCAGAAACAAAATTGTAGACCTGCACCAGGCTGGGAAGTCTGAATCTGCAATAGGTAAGCAGCTTGGTTTGAAGAAATCAACTCTGGGAGCAATTATTAGGAAATGGAAGACATACAAGACCACTGATAATCTCCCTCGATCTGGGGCTCCACGCAAGATCTCACCCCGTGGGGTCAAAATGATCACAAGAACGGTGAGCAAAAATCCCAGAACCACACGGGTGGACCTAGTGAATGACCTGCAGAGAGCTGGGACCAAAGTAACAAAGCCTACCATCAGTAACACACTACGCCGCCAGGGACTCAAATCCTGCAGTGCGAGACGTGTCCCCCTGCTTAAGCCAGTACATGTCCAGGCCCGTCTGAAGTTTGCTAGAGTGCATTTGGATGATCCAGAAGAGGATTGGGAGAATGTCATATAGTCAGATGAAACCAAAATAGAACTTTTTGGTAAAAACTCAACTCGTCGTGTTTGGAGGACAAAGAATGCTGAGTTGCATCCAAAGAACACCATACCTACTGTGAAGCATGGGGGTGGAAACATCATGCTTTGGGGCTGTTTTTCTGCAAGGGGACCAGGACGACTGATCCGTGTAAAGGAAAGAAAGAATGGGGCCATGTATCGTGAGAATTTGAGTGAAAACCTCATTCCATCAGCAAGGGCATTGAAGATGAAACGTGGCTGGGTCTTTCAGCATGACAATGATCCCAAACACACCGCCCGGGCAACAAAGGAGTGGCTTCGTAAGAAGCATTTCAAGGTCCTGGAGTGGCCTAGCCAGTCTCCAGATCTCAACCCCATAGAACATCTTTGGAGGGAGTTGAAAGTCCGTGTTGCCCAGCGACAGCCCCAAAACATCATTGCTCTAGAGGAGATCTGCATGGAGGAATGGCCCAAAATACCAGCAACAGTGTGTGAAAACCTTGTGAAGACTTACAGAAAACGTTTGACCTGTGTCATTGCCATCAAAGGGTATATAACAAAGTATTGAGAAATTTTTGTTATTGACCAAATACTTATTTTCCACCATAATTTGCAAATAAATTCATAAAAAATCCTACAATGTGATTTTCTGGATTTTTTTTCCTCATTTTGTCTGTCATAGTTGACGTGTACCTATGATGAAAATGACAGGCCTCTCTCATCTTTTTAAGTGGGAGAACTTGCACAATTGGTGGCTGACTAAATACTTTTTTGCCCCACTGTGTGTGTGTGTGTGTGTATATATATATATATATATATATATATATATATATATATATATATATATATATATATATATATATATATATAATAATGCTACTGTATTGGCTTTTTGCCTCTTAGTTTGAGTTAATGGCTTCACCTGCCAGTGTTTTATATAACCGTTAAATCCAGTAGGTTTTAGGCCAGGCTGTTTTAGCAGAGAGGGCAGGACATAAGGTGCTTATTGGTCTTCTCTAGTGTAGAGGACACCATTACGCTGATGGGCTCTGAACTAGGGTCATTCCCATGAAGTGATAGGCATCTGGCGGTGAATCAGCACAAAATGGCCACCCCTCACTCATACACGCCATCTGAGCTTTATCTCCGCAAGGATCTCTAATGGAATCTCAGTGTGTCCGTACAGTGTGTATAGATAGGAGTATTTCACTGGAGACTTCCCCTAAGGTCAGCAGTTTTTTATTGTAGGCACATGATGGGAATGAGTGTCGGTCGGACAAGGATAGCAAGGACATGATTTTGTCCTCTGTGAACGCTCAGCCTTTTCCCACAAGACATAAGAGAGATACAGGGTGTGACTCAATACTCATGGCTTCCTTTCCTGGTGAAAGAACTGGATAGGCTTTCAACACCTTTAATATCACCTATTAAGCCATGCGAGATCAGTATGGGGGAGAGGACACAAGGAAAGGAAGCCACTACGCCAAATTGAGATGCAACCGAGTAGACGAGTAGTCCAATCAATGCTCACCTCTCATCCAGGAAGCTGGCGTTCCAACAGGCGGTGGAAGACAGCAGGATAATGATGTCACTAAAAGCAGAGGGAGACCAAGACGTACATGCAGGAAATTATATCAATCAATTGAAACAAGATCAAACTTATACCAGTCTTCAGAGTGGCATAGAGCTTACAGCTGCTGTAGCCAAAAAGGGTCACCACAGGATCATCGTCGTCTGCTAATAGCAATGTCATTCTCTGCATAGGAAACGGTACACAATCGTTCACAAAAACATATTTTCAAGACAAATCTAATCAAATCCCCAAATAACTCATATCACTGACTTACTTGGTGATAGTGGAATCTGTGTTGTCTAGGAGTTTCATCCTCCACGTATTCAAACTGTCATAATTTATCAAAGAGATGCTTTTACTGATGTTAGTGACTCTGAAGTCTTCAGGAACGGTGGAACTCTGTAGAGAGAAGAGAACGGGGTCAGGAGGGAGTCAAGGTAACGTAGCACAACAGCTAGCTGGCTACATTTAGCAACGTTATTCTCGATAGCGCTTCCACTGTAGACATTACAAGGCTGTCCAGAGACGTGTGTTTGGGTTCATTCCCTTTCCTACTTGCAGATAAAATAAATACTCTGAGAGGTCGAAGTACATTGTAGGGATAGTATCTATCTGTGTGTTGGTGTTATCAAGTTACATTCCTGGCAATCAACAGGAGGATATCCGTTGTAGACAGTTTTAGCCTACTTGGGGTGCGTCCCAATAATATCTCCTTTCTCCTGAAGTGTTCACTCATTCACTACCTCCCACAAATATAAAAGCATTGGATTGGTGGAGGCATCGGCTAGAGGGAGTTTCCGCCATTTTTATTATACCAGTCTTTTTCTTTCAAATCAGTGAAGGGAAGTGAACAAGTGCACATTTTGGGAGGAATAACAAATAATTGGGACACAGCCTTGGTCTTAGATCGATCTGTCCAGAGTAGAGGATCGTTTAGGCCTCCTGTAGCTCAGTTGGTAGAGCATGGTGCTTGCAACGCCAGGGTTGTGGGTTCGCTTCCCACGGGGGGCCAATATGATAAATGTATGCACTCACTAACTGTAAGTCGCTCTGGATAAGAGCGTCTGCTAAATGACTAAAATCTAAATCTAGAGACCGTACAGACATTACAGCTAGTCAATAACTGGAGCAACAGCTTCACCTAGTGGCAGAAAACAAGAACTGACTCACTTAATGAAAACACATTGGCATCCTTCTTCAATACTATGTCTATAGCAGAGCTCTCTAACCCTGTTCCTGGAGAGTTACCGTCCTGTATGTTTTTGCTAAAAACCTAATCTAGTGCACCTGATTCTAATAATTAGCTGGTTGACAAGCTGAACCAGGTCAGTTACAACTGGGCTTGGATCGAAAACCTACAGGAGGGTATCTCTCCAGGAACAGAGTTGGAGAACCCTGGTCTAAAGCATATTCTTCCCATCCCTGAAAGAGACAATTCAATGTCTCTCAATTCAATGTCTGGGCCCGTATTTATAAAGCCCGTCAGAGAAGGAGTGCTGATCTAGGATCAGGGCCTCCCTGTGCACGTGATCTTCCTCATAATGATCTAAAAGGCTAAACTGATCCTAGAGCATTCCTAGAGTACTATTACATCAGTTAATGACCAAAAGCTGAGAAACGATTCTGTGAAGTCCTTTACCTTTTCATCTGAGTACAATAGGAAGTTATGGTCCCCTCCACAGTTGATTTTGGTAATGGCATAATGATCTGGCCCTAGAAAGAGGAAAGGAGAGGGTAGAGTTGATCAGCTAGCTCAACAGCATTATGGTGGCTTAAGGGAACAGTTTGTGCTTATACAAAATAGCTCCAGAGTGAAGTTTCCCCAATGTACAGATCTAGGATCAGCTTACCCTCCCCCAATTTTAACCTTAACTATTAGAGGAGAAAATGCTAAACTAACCCAAGATCTGTGTCTAGGGGCATCTTCACCCTACCCCAGCATTTCCCAAACTCCAAGGGGTGCACGTTTTGTTTTTTTGTCCAAGCACTACACAGCTAATTTAAATAACCAAAGCTTGATGACGAGTTGATTATTTGAAATCAGCTGTGTAGTGCTAGGAAGAAGAAGAAAAAACAACTTGGGGTCCCCAGGGCCGAGTTTGGGAAGCACTGCCCTACACCTACATTTAGAAGCTCCCCAAGTGTCCATTTAGTCCACTAGATGGAGGGAAAGCAATACAAGCTAAGCAACCCTCCTCAAAGACCATCAATCAGTGTTAAATACTCTTGAGAATCATGTTTCATAGACCTCTAATTCACTCACAACCTAATACAGTTCCCTCAAGAAACATCTGTGTGGCTGAAATAATGTCAAATATTTTACCACATGAGGATATTATTTCATTCTTTGAACATTGAATTCACCCCATTCATAGACTTTGAATATGCATGGTTAATATGAACTTTCCTTTCTAATCTAGTGATCTTTCTCCCTCAATGTCTCTTCATCATGTATTTAAACAGTCATAGGTGTATATACAGTACATTATACGACTCACTGAATAAGCTGTGGATGTATCTGAACAAGTCCTTGCACTCGTGTGTCTGTTCCTTTTAACGTCCTAGTATGTGTTTTGTTATCTATTCTGACTTGCTCCTACAACAGGCGCACATTATCCTCAAGCAACAGCTTCCTGATTCTGCCTTGCTTCGTTTCCCTGCACGCTCTTCCTCCCACTCTCTTGAGTTCGGCTCATAACGTTTAGTTTCCGGATAACAACATGGCTAACGAGTACTACAGTACTAGTGTCTTAAAATCTTTAAAAACAATGATAGTCACTTTTAGTATGAACCATTTGACATAGTTATAACACATCTCCATGGGTTTAATAGACAGAGTATGTGAAGTTTAGGATCATATCTCGTGGCTGGCTTCTCAATAACTGACTTGAGAGGTATGGATGTCCTGAGTCATCCAGTTACCTGACATATGACGAGGACTTCCGGTGAGACTTCCTGTGAGGCTGCTTTTGACAGGAAGTGGGCTTTTGATGTCACCTCGTGTCCCGGTGCCCAGCTGACCGTTTGTGTTACAACCGAAAGCGTACACGAGACCGGAGGAAGGCACAAACGCCAGGGTGTGGTGTCTGAAACCGAGACGGAGAGGATAGAAAGAGAGAGTATGAGGAATCTAGGACAGAGAAGGCAAGTGGTCATAACACAACTGATGTAAACCTGTACTGTACTCTATTGTACTGTTATGCTAGGCTATGCTAGGCTATGCTTTGCTATGCTTTGTTTTGCTTTGCTATGCTATGCTATGCTATGCTTTGCTAGGCTGACCAGGCTACGTTGTGCAGTACCTGCCACAGGCAATCTGGGACACCTCGCTGCCCATCAGCTCCTGCACCTGTCTGGGTAGAGGCTCGTTGTTGGTGGAGTCGTGACCCAGTTGACCACGCGAGCCGTCCCCAAACGTAAACAAACCCCCATCCTGTCAATCACACACAACAATACAATTACGTTTTACTAGAAAGTCATCCCCAAAAGTAAACAAACCCCCATCCTGTCAATCAAACACAGAGAGAGGCTTCAATTACAATAAAGGATGTGAGAAGGAATGCTAAAGGACAGTCTGTCATAGCTCAACACAATTCCACATGCATATTCCTCACCCTCCAAAAACAAACATGAGAATTCTGCAAAGGCATGAACACGTTCATGGATTAAGGGTTTTAAGAGACAGCAGGTACTTTTCCAGTACTGTGCTTTCTCCAGACCCACCATCATCTGAAGGCTACTTGAGAGCTTTATTACATGGTTATAAAGACGTAACAGACAGACATACGCAGGAGGACAGTTGTGTTCCTCACCTTGGTGAGGGCAGCTGTATGCTCGTCTCCACAGCTGATGTAAACCACTTTTTGGGATCTGAGGAACTTGATGTGGCAAGGGACAGACCGGTCTGTAGAATGAAAATAACACACACACATATTCTGTGTTACCTTCAGAACTTCACATTGCTTTATATGAAGGTCTGCTTATGAACTGCTTACAAGCCATCATTCATTCAATCACATATTGGTGAAACGATTGCGCATTTGGACCTATATAGCTATGGGTCTGTAGTCCAACAGGCTTCATCAGTCTATTAGGGTGCATTACTTGTCTCGTCGATGTATATGTTAGTTAGCCTACCCTGTTTGTCATTTAGCCCCAGCTGTCCGGCGCTGTTCTTGCCCCAGCCGAACACGGCTCCAGAGAGGGACAAGGCGAAGCTGTGGTCTCCCCCAGCGGTGATCTGAGCCAGGGGGATCCCTGACAGAGACTTGAGGGGCTGGGGAGACAAGGTGCTCGGCTCGCCCTTCCCCAAACCGAGCTGACCGCTCGAGTTCTGGCCCCACGTGAACAGCTGACCGTCTGGGAGAGAAAATAGGAGGGGGTTAGCCTAGCATTAGCCTGGCATTAACCTACCATTAGCCTAGCATTAGCCTGGCTTCAACCTAGCATTAGCCGCTAAGCTAGTAATTTTGGCGTGTATCACTACAGTATCAGTGGTAGTGTGTGATAGAGAGAGGTGTTGCTGTTGGCTTCATTCTCACCTTTAGAGAGTGCGATGCAGTGCTGGTTGCCACACATGATTTGAGAGATGCGATGCTCGCACAGCTTCTTGATCAACCTGAGAAATACAGGAGATGCATTGAGTTGTGAGGCCAATGCCTGAACAATGGCAGTGCTGAACAACTGTGCCGTATTCGGCAGATTTTAACCAAGTACATTCAATGTACAGTTAGCTTTACTATCCCTGTATAATCAACATCCAGAACATAACCCTAACCCTACCAGCAAAGACAGTACAGTATGAAGATAGGAATAAACTGCTTCTCTAATAGAAATCCTTAAATCACACTTGAAGGTGATGTCATGGCGACGTTGACTAGCTAAGCCATGCGCAGAAACCTGTCATCGGGTCTAACTGTCGTCTCGCGCCGAACTGTGCATGTGCAGGCCGACAAATCAAAGGCACTCCTTCTATATAAAGTTGTTTCAGTTTGTCACTTTCACGAGGTTGGAGTAATAACATGTTCAACTACTTAAGACATTGGCTCGAATCTCAGTTGTGCCTTTAGATTTAGAGAAAATTAACAACCAAGGAAGAATGTTTCACTTCTCTCATTGACTTCTCAAACCCCGGCCTGGTCTGTTTGGTCTGTTTCGCAAGCGTTCCCGGAATTCTCGCTACAGTATGTTGCGCCTCTGGTTTTAGAAACTCTATGCTCCCAACATTTAGCCATCACATGCAGTTCTCACAATTCCATTGGTTTTCATGTACCTCTTCCAGTAGGCTATTCCTCAGCAAAGCTTCAATAATGTATGTATGTTCTAGCATGCTGGGTCACCTGGGGATTGGGACGGTCTCCTCAGCTGTCCCGAGACCCAGCTGGCCCACTCCACCGGCCCCCCAGGCAAACACCTGGCCCTGCTCATTCAGCGCCATGGAGTGGGCCTGGCCGCATGACACCACCCCTATCTTCTGGGTGTCCAGGGCCGCCACCAGTTCTACAGAGGGGAGAGGGGAGGGGGGAGTGGGGAGTGGGGGGGGGGAGGAGGAGGGTATGACAGACTTTAGCCAGGCTCTCTAGAAAGACTAATGTCTAGAATGAATGCTCCACATCTACAAATGTACGATCTTAATTTGATCACCCTATTGTTGCAGAAAACGTCCTGCATAGCAGGAAATGCAAACGTGTAGTGTATTCAAGGTTTAAAAAGGCTTCTAAAGTTGATCATTTCTACTTTAAAACTTCAGACTTTATTTGCCCTAACAAAAAAATGTATCAACCATTACAAAAATGTTCATTAATTATAATCCACACAATAATTCACATTTCTGGTTGCTGCAGGATTATTTTCCTGCTGTGAGAAACTGGTCAAATAAGATCTTCCACCTGTACCAGTTTTAGGACTGGTGCATCTTAGACTATACTGTGGATGAGAAAAGGAAGTGTATTTTCTCATTGTATCCTCTTGTCTGTTCTGCTGGTATGAGCATTCTAGAAGGGTATGCTAGGACTGTCTGGAAGCCATAGAGACCAAACCCACTTCAAGTATTTAGTGTGGGTACACTATCTGACCAACCATCTTCTGGAATGTCCCACTGCTTTCTAACTATCTAGCTCCACATTTCAGTTTCACTTATCATGGAGGCATGTTAGGAAGAACTGAAAGCAACATAAACACGGGTTAATGTCGGTCATTTCTTATATGATATTTTCAATCACTCTTGGCGACAAATACTTTTTTATTATTAAAAAAAAGAACAATATGTTTCAGCATTAGGCCTATAGGTTTCATCAGACTACTTTGCTTTTCAAAGCCAATTATTTAGTTTGTGTCTTAAAAATTATGTACCTTAACATTATACATTTTACCTCAGCACTTTAGCACCTATAATTGCGGTTAAATATCGCCTGAGAATTGGAAGTCAAGAACGCGTGTGTGTGATGACTAAATAATGCATCCCAACAAGTCTCCTCCTGCCGTGCCTCAGTCTCCTCCTGCCGTGCCTCAGTCTCCTCCTGCCGTGCCTCAGTTCCTGTACACAAATCTGTGTGGCCGACCACGTAGCCTAGAGAGTGGTTGGGTGGTGGTTTGCATGCGATCCACTAGCAGTGAGCAGCAGCTTCATAGGCATGAGGGCACAGCACAGTAGAAACTACTCAGATAAGATGAAAGGAGAAACATATTTCACAGCATACAGTATTGTACTGCAGCTTTATACTAACTTCCTGTGTGGCAGAAATAGACTATATAGCGCATTTGGTGTCAAAGTCTTAGGTCCCAGCAGCATACCACCCTGCATCTCACTGCTGGCTTGCCTCTGAAGCTAAGCAGGGTTGGTCCTGGATGGGAGACCAGATGTTGCTGGAAGTGGTGTTGGAGGGCCAGTAGGGGGCACTCTTCCCTCTGGTCTAAAAAAAATGCCCCAGGGCTGTGATTGGGGACATTGCCCTGTGTAGGGTGCCGTCTTTTGGATGGGATGTTAAACGTGTGTCCTGACTCTCTGTGGTCACTAAAGATCCCATGGCACTCATTGTAGGGGTGTTAACCCCGGTGTCCTGGCTAAATTCCCAATCTGGCCCTCATTCCATCATGGCCACCTAATCATCCCCAGCTTCCAATTGGCTCATTCAACCCCTGTAACTATTCCCCAGGTCATTGCTGTAACTGAGAATGTGTTCTCAGTCAACTTACCTGTAAAATAAGGGCTACATTTATTTTATTGTTTTGATGATGGAGTATTTACAAAATAACAGAATGGTTGTGATTGGCTCAGTTTAATATTGAAAGGGCAATCTTCAGTTGGGCAATCTTCAGTTGCTACATCCATTTTTGGACTTATAAATTATATATAGACCTACCCATTGATTCTTGAAAAATATAACTTATCAATAAGTCATGAGCTTGTGCAACTGTCAAACCCCATCAGAACCCAAAATATTAGCTTGTTTTACTCCAATGTTTGCAAACATTGTAAATATAAACAAACACTGTATAGACTCAAAAAACATGCTTTAAACTATCATTTGAATATGTTGGATGGTCAGTCCTTTCATACATAGCCCTGCCTATGATTTTGAGAGCGGTTAAATTTCTCCAGGCCCATTCCTCATCTTTTTACCAAAATAGAGATGGAATGACAGCTTTTTTATTGTTTCAACTAAGGATTGACGCATTAAAAGGGATAATTCACTCAAAAACAATATTTTAGTATTCTGTCCATTAGTCAATCCACTGTTAATGGAATTCAAAAAAAAGTATAAAATGTCAAGTTAAGATTGATCACTTTCAGTACAGAGCAAAAACTGTATCCTTGCCTTTGCCTATGGTAAGGCTGGTGGTATCGGCCCAACTGGTCAATAAATAGGCCTATTAAATGCAATAATGCTCTGAGAATGACTGGTGGCAAAGGGAGTGCTTCCAACAATAATCAACTTTTCGTGGTAGTTTCCAGAAGCAGTCGTCAAACGTATAGTTGTATGGCTAAACATAAATATGACCCTTCCACCCACACACACACACACACACACGTGTCCTGTCCACCCCACATGATGCAACAGAGCAGATCATTGGTGCCTGAGATCTCATTAACAGCCATGTGAGTGACAACACACTCCTGAGTCCTGGAAATAGTGCTCCTCCAACCTATCAACTCTCCTGGATTAGCCTAGGAGCCAGTGAGCTACCAGTAAGGATTCCTCCCAAATGTCTCCCTATTTCCTTTATAGTGCACTACTTTTACACTATAGAAGTAGTGCACTTTATAGGGAATAGGGTGTCATTTGGGACGCAGCCCAAATGTCATAAATAACATGGGCTTTAAGATTTTCATACCTCCTTCCTCCCAGGCATTCTCCCTCTGTTTAGTAAATCTAACCTAATCCGCCCTGAATCCATATAGTCTGCATTGCAAAAGAGATGAAATGCTACTGTAATATTAAGATATCCATGTAAACTCTGAGGGGGGGGGTCTAAACAAACGTTGTGACACAGGTATACCGTTTCATTATGGTAGAGAACAGTGGGCTGCTCATTGGCAGATTCCCCTGTGCTTACACGTTAGAGTTGCAGCCAAGTACAATAAGATATATATCCCACCAGATCGGGCATTCAGTTTAGCAGATTTTTTTAATCCATCCACAATATCAACAAACACAGGTTGTACCACAAATAAACATCAGTGTTAGCTTGACTGCTAATATTCGCAGATTGCTGATTGGCTGGTACTGGCAGCTTACCTGGTGAGTCCCCCGGCTTGTCATGGCCCAGCTGTCCACAGCGGTTGGAGCCGCACGTGTACACTCTCCCATCATGCAACAGGAATAGCGAATGGCGCCCGCCGCACGCCACCTCCTTCAGGCCGCGCCCATTGAACGCCTGGCAGCTCCGGGGTTCGCACACGGGGTCCCTCGCCCCGCCGATACCCAGCTGGCCCTCCACAGTACTGCCCCAACACAGCATCATGGCTTAGAGTGGGAAGGACGGAAGGAGAGGGAGAGAGAGATGGAGGGAAGGAGAGGGAGAGAGCGATGGTGGGAAGGAGTGTGTGAAAGACAGGAGGGGAAGAAGGAGGAGAGCTTCAGGCTAGAAGGCGGCCCTGCCTTCTCCCCTTGGTGTAAATCACAAGCCTGGAAGGGAGAAACAGGGGAGAGGAGGAGAATGATTAGGGAGTCAGATGGCAGTCAGATCACATCATGGGCCCTTACAGTGCACTCATCATCTGATATGTTGGATCATGTTTTAAAAATGAAGCGAGGCTGGGTAAACACTCTGCAGGGGGTGGAGCCTGCCGCTGGGTGTGCGTGTGTGTGTGTGTGTGAGACGTGAGCGGTGAAAAGATAAGGTGGAAGCACCACCAGCGTGTTTAAATAAACCCAGTGCCTCTGTAATCCCTGCTTAAGCAGCACCAAACTGTCCTGCCTTATCGCAATCCACTCCCAACGTGCATGCTATGGACAAGAGTTAGCCTAGGTGAAGGCAGAGACAGGCAGAGAGAGAGATTCTGCTCTAAAGGTGTGGTGCCCTCTTGGAAGTAACCATGGAGACATGGGCCCCTCCTTTCCTTGGAAGTCAAGTGGCACTTTTAGTTTACACATGCAAATACAATCTGTCATGCTCAGACAAGACACATCATTCATTATGCATGTGTCATAGCTACCTATGTGGCTTATGGCTAGATAGAGGCCTTATGGATGATGATGGTTGTTGGGTGTTACATTGACAATGAATAAATGTGCAAGGGATGATTCCGAGCTTGCGCTAGCAGATGGTTACGTTGGCTGACGTAAGATTCCAACTACTGCTCTATGCTTACATCCAAGATCGTCTGGATGTGACCACCATATGGCTGTATAACGTTAGCTACTGTATATAGTTAGCTATAGCCTATAACTATGTAAAGTAGCTAGCTGGTCAATCGTGTCAACTCTATCGTCTCAGCTAGCGGTCGGTAACTAGCTATCCGGATAAAAAACGACAGCTAACGGGTAGGGCTTAACGAGATTTACAAATGCGTCCATTTCGCAGAATACTAACAAGCTTGCCATATTTAGCCAAGCTAGTGAATCTATCTGCATTTCACAGACTCTAAAACGTTCACATATAGACATTTAAACAATTGCATAAAACGTAGCTAGGTGATTTAAAGCTAAAAATAGCATGCGTTTTACCTGTAGAGTTGCATTACTGGATTCCACTAGCTAGGCGTTTCGACAATAACAAGGAAGTTGTGATGCAGGTTGATGCCCTTCGTCACTGAACATGTGACTTTGGGTTTCCACTTCTATACCCACAAAGTCAGATTCCACAGCCACAAAATTGGCCAAAAAAAATAATGTTTTTTTGTCTTCATTTAAGGCTAGGTTAGGCATACGTTTAGCAGTGTGGTTAAGGTTTGGGTAAGGTTTAAAATCACGTTTTAAGAAGATACATTTCAGAAAAGGGCGGGGTTTATGACTTTGTGGGTATAGAATCTAGTGGCGAGCATGACTGGTGTCAGCAATATCTAGCCGAATCATGCGATGGACAGAATATAATATGTAAAATAAAATAGAATAAACCAATTATAGAGGCATATTTAAAGTTTTAATTGCAATGGGCATTATTAACTATTTGCATACATTTTAGTATTTGCATAATGTCATAAAAAAAACAGTATTGCACTGGAACTTCCACTTCAAGAACAAATCTTTATTAACAGTGGCTCTTTTGACTATGGCACTCATTCGCATTTATAAAAGATGATATTTACAAAGACAGCACATCGTTCTGATATTCAAACAGCAGAGGTCTCCACGTATCCAGTGATCCCAGTGCATGAAGGAGACATGAGTAGTACATGTCAAGAAATATATATTTATATTGGTCCACATTGCGCAATACTAAAGTAATTTAAATAGAAAAAACTATATTTAAGACTACTTCATGTTTGAAGATTTTCAGTTGTTAGTTCTGAATGTGTTTCATGACTTAAAAAAACAATAATAATATTGACAGGCAGGGAAAAAAAAAAACTAAACGCTACATGATTCCCAGTTTAACCATTTCAAAAATCTCCAAACACATCACAGTGGGTGATAGCATGGAGAAGTTTATCCTGTAGTATGTCGATACTGCTGTAGTTAGGGAGGCATAACGTCACATAGCAGGTTTGTGCTTTCGGATAATATTCATCAGCATCAGTACCGCCCAAAGACGTGATTTGCATCTGTAGTTTGGAGAGACTTCGTCCTCTGGGCAGTCTGTCCGTTCCAGTTAGAAAAGCTAGAAGTTAGAAATGAGAGGAGAATAATTATCCACTGACCAAGCATTTGTGGAACGCTACTATTATGTTACAATTATTTACTTATTTATTTTAAGATAGTTAATCATAATTGTTTGTTAACTCACTTAAGAACTTCTTCTTTTGCTCCTCAGAGAACTCCATGAAAACTATCCAGAAGTTCTGGATGATGTCATCTGTGGGCCTATATCCTTGATACTTGGCATTCTGTTAGTGCAGAGAAAAACATATTGAAACAACCACATGTACAGTAGACCATGCCACTGCATTATAGCCATAGACTGTATAGCCCAAACAGTATGGGACAAGATTTAACCACTGGGAGCATAGAGCTGCTATATAGGCTACCATACATGTATGAACTTCCATATTATATTGTTTATGTACTCTTATGACGTATCTAAACAGGTAGAACTTTACCTCTCTCAACTTGTCCCATTCGTAGTTGTCATCTCCTTGTAGAAGTGTCATAAGCTCCTCAGGTAGAAACATCCTCCATGCCTGTATAGGGCAGCCTTTGTGGAAGCCTTTCTCAAAGTCTGCAAACTGATTCTGCACCGACTTGTTGAGCTTCATGTCAACGTACAAGTCAACATATTTCTTCCTGTGAATGACATATGGCAGACCAATGTTTGTATATGAGTACAGAACACTTCCTGTGGAATCCTTTTTTTAGTTCAAGAGATTCATAAGATTTATAAGTTGATAAGATTACTGTCATCAAATATACCTGTTGACCATGGTAACTGGGACCTCCTCTCCATTTGGTATCAGTTCTTGCCCTTTGTCCTTCGAAAGACAATAGAGATGATTACTGCATCAGCTGGGGTTACCTGTGGAGGCTACCAAAAACTGCTAAAGGTATCAATTGTCTCTTACCATGAAAACCAAATCCAGTGCTTCAACAACCTCCTCATCTTCATCCAACACATACTGTAAGCCGCTAATTTTAAACAAACAAACAAACAGTATAAATGTGATATGAGGAGATAATAAACTCTAAAACAACAACAACACTGTTAAAATGAAGTGCATTGTAACACCCAAACTAGTGGCAACTGAGCTACCACCAACTTGAAAAAGATGAAACCTTAACTTTGCTGGAGTATTGAAACACACCATCCTGAAATGTTTTGAGATACAGTAGTAGGGAGTCTTTAAATCAACAGACAGAAGTTGAAGACATGAACATATATAGGTCACTGCCAAAATAATGGAAACACTTAAGCAAATGAGGGATACAAAGTATATTGAACGCAGGTGCTTTTACACGTGTGGTTCCTGAGTTAATTAAGTAATTACATCCCTCGATAACATCCCTCATGCTTAGGGTCATGTATAAAAATGCCCAGTTGCCCAATATTTTGCCTACCATGGCTAGAAGAAGAGATCTCAGTGACATTGAAAGAGGGGTCTCAAAGGAGCATAGGAGGTTTACTGTGTGTGTGTGTTTGTGTGTCTCAGTCACTAGATCTCAACCCAATTGAACACTTATGGGAGATTCTGGAGCGGCGCCATTTTTTCTTCCACCATCAACAAAACACCAAATTATGGAATTTCTCGTGAAAGAATGGTATCGCATCCCTCAAATAGAGTTCCAGACACTTGTAGAATCTATGCCAAAGTGCATTGAAGCTGTTCTGGTGGCTTAGAGGCCCAGTGCAGTCAAAAACATGATTTTCCTATGTTTTATATATATTTCCACACTATGAAGTTGGAACAATATTGTGAAATTATCATAATACACTTTTAGTGTAAGGGCTATTAAAAAAAAAAAAAAAAAAAAAAGGCTGCCTGAAATTTCAGCCTGTTTTGGTGCGATGGAGTTTTGGCCTTCAAAAACTCCATCAGATGATCAGACATTACCATGAAGCATATTAGTTAATAGACCAATAAGAAAGAGAGTTAAGCTAAAGCTAGCCCAAAACAGAGCGGCACGTCTTGCTCTTCATTGTAATCAGAGGGCTGATGTAAATATTTGCATGCCAGTCTCTCTTGGCTAAGAGTTGAGGAGAGACTGACTGCATCACTTCTTTTTTTAAGAAACATTAATGTGTTGAAAATCCCAAATTGTTTGCATAGTCTACTTACACACAGCTCTGACACACACACTTACCCCACCAGACATGCCACCAGGGGTCTTTTCACAGTCCCCAAATCCAGAACAAATTCAAGAAAGCGTACAGTATTATATGGAGCCATTATTGCATGGAACTCCGTTCCATCTCATATTGCTCAAATAAAATGCAAACCTGGTTTCAAAAAACAGATAAAGCAACACCTCACAGCACAACGCCTCTCCCCTATTTTACCTAGATCGTTTGTGTGTATGTATTGATATGTAGGCTACGTGTGCCTTTAAAAAATGTTTTATGTAGTTCTGTCCTTGAGCTGTTCTTGTCTATTAATGTTCTGTATTATGTCATGTTTTGTGTGGACCCCAGGAAGAGTAGCTGCTGCTTTCACAACAGCTAATGGGGATCCTAATAAAATACCAAAAAATACCTCCCTGCCAATAACAGCATATTTTCAGTTTTCCGTTCCCCACTAAGAGCATTCCTATACAGTCCTTGCAAAATTCTTGCTTGAGAAATTGTCCTTTGCGAAGCAATTTCTCTTTCTTTTGACCATTTTAATTGAAAACAATCACAGTAAGGTGCTTAATTGTTACCCAGATATGATTTGATAGTGAGATAAAAATGGTTGCATTGGAACTTTAAGACACTTTATGTTGGTGTTTCCTTTATTTTGGCAGTTACCTGTATATATTTTTCCATGGAATAATTGTACCTTGCTTCAGTGAAAGAGATCTCTTTAAGGTCATCAAATGTTGTCGTCAGACCCAGAAGCTTCTTGAAGAGAGCCAGAGGGAAGCAGAGGTTCAGAACACACTGATTATACAGTGCCATCCCACAGAGCAGCCCAAGTAAGTAGAATTCATCAGTAATACCGCTGTCCTATGGATTGAAAAGAACAGAATGCCATTAGCTAGTCAATACTTTCAATATTTAACAGTATAATAACAGTATAACAGATAATAATATACATTTCTAATAATTGATATTTCTAAGTTAGTAAATAAAACAAAAAAATAGTGGGGGAAAGATTGAGTTCAATCTGGGAACAATATGTAATTGAATATGGAACGTACATCTGTCGTGAACCACACTAGTCCAGAGTCCTCGTAAACCTCCAGTGTCTTTGGTTCCATTGTGAGAATTTCCCTCCCCAGGAGGCTGAAGAATTCCAGTGAAACGCCACCTTCATCTACACCATGCTCTGCTTGAAACTTCACCTGGACACAAAAACCACGCTATTTACTCCTAAATAAGGATTAGGAAATGAAAATACTTTGCCTAATACAGAGGTAGATGTTAAAGTAGTCCTTGTGTTTGTGTTATTTGTTTAATCACTCTACTCTTTTCAAAGTTCAGTTCAGTTCTCATTTATAGCTACAAAGTAAAAAAGAAATATTTTACAAACAAAAAAACTATAAAATCTAGCTAACAACAACCTTCAAAGGCATTGTGAAGTCGTGCCCACTTTGTAGAATGTGCTGGAAAGCATCTTCCAGTGCTGTCTCTCTGCTCACATGTAGTATAGGGACCCAAAAGTGTCCATGGAAGGGAAACTAAAAAAGGAGCACATTTGAGATACGGCAACATTCAGTCTTCATTTTTCACATCTGATAGCAGTGTAGTAAATGAATGTGGTACCTTTTTTTTATAAACACTCCATTTTGTAAACAACTTACTCTGTAACGGAGTTCCAATTGATAAACTATACATTTAGCCTCTGTGTTGAAGATGCAGGATTGCTGGTGAAATGAATCAAAAAAGCCCTGGCATAAGAAATAAATGAGTTAATCGACAATGTCAATTAATATGTCAAACAATCTATACTGAATTGAATTGATTGGTGTTGACTTTCATTGCTTACCTCTGAAAGATTTAGGTAGTCAATATCTCCAAATGTGTTGAGCATCTAAAGAGGATTAGAAATTACTAAGTCTTTTTCCACTCTTTGTAGATTGCAGTGACATCATGCCCATAATTACCCATTTTGATACCAACCTGCAGTCATTTTATGAGATAGGCTACTCACATTCTGAAGCAACCTATTGGCTCTGTTGATGTGGAAATTGCTTGCCGCAATTTTGATGCGTCTGTTGCAATTGACCTGCACAAAACAGAGGTTACTGGAGCATACAACATTGCTATTTTTCATACATTATATATAGTGCCTTCAGAAAGTATTCACACCCCCTTGACTTTTTCCACATTTTGTTGTGTTACAGCCTGAATTTCAAATGGATAAAATTGAGATTTTTTGTTACTAGCCTACATACAATACCCCATAATGTCAAAGTAGAAGTGTTTTAGGAAATCTTTACAAAAAATAAATAAAATGTAAGCTGAAATGTCTTGAGTCAATAAGTATTCAACCCCTTTGTTATGGCCTAAATAAGTTCAGGAGTAAACATTTGCTGAACAAGTCACATAAGTTGTGTGGACTCTCTGTGTGTAATAATAGTGTTTAACATGATTTTTGAATGACTACCTCATCTCTGTACCCCACACATACAATTATCTGTAAGGTCCCTCAGTCGAGCAGTGAATTTCAAACACAGATTAAAGCACAAAGACCAGGGAGGTTTTCCAATGCCTCGCGAAGAAGGGTAAAAAAATTTTTTCAAATAACAGACAATGAATATCTCTTTGAGCATGGTGAAGTTATTAATTACACTTTGGATGGTGTATCAATACACCTAGTCACTATAAAGATACAGTACATGCGTCCTTCCTAACTCAGTTGCCGGAGAGGAAGGAAACCACTCAGGGATTTCACCATGAGGCCTTATGGGGTATTTTCACTTTGTCATTATGGGGTATTGTGTGTAGATGGTTGAGGGGAAAAATATATTTAATCAATTTTGAATTCAGGCTGTACACAACAAAATATGGAATAAGTCAAGAGGTATGAATATTTTCTGAAGGCACCCAATTATGGCAATGGATATTTACCTCATACAGCCTCTCCATAACCTTTAAAGTCCCTTTAAATTGTTTAATAACAGCATAGCCCTCTGCTGACGCAGAGTGGAATGTTTTCACCAGAGTTTTGAAGAAGGTGTCTGGAAGTGTCGACCATAGGCCCTCTGTTGGAATTAGACAAGACTTTAGTTAATACAACAGCACACAGAACCTGTTATACAGTGGGGGAAAAAACTATTTAGTCAGCCACCAATTGTGCAAGTTCTCCCACATAAAAAGATGAGAGAGGCCTGTAATTTTCATCATAGGTACACGTCAACTATGACAGACAAAATGAGAAAAAGAAATCCTGAAAATCACATTGTAGGATTTTTAATGAATTTATTGCAAATTATGCTGGAAAATAAGTATTTGGTCAATAACAAAGTTTCTCATACTTTGTTATATACCCTTTGTTGGCAATGACACAGGTCAACGTTTTCTGTAAGTCTTCACAAGGTTTTCACACACTGTTGCTGGTATTTTGGGCCCTTTCCCTCCATGCAGATCTCCTCTAGAGCAGTGATGTTTTGGGGCTGTCGCTGGGCAACACAGACTTTCAACTCCCTCCAAAGATTTTCTATGGGGTTGAGATCTGGAGACTGGCTAGGCCACTCCAGGACCTTGAAATGCTTCTTACGAAGCCACTCCTTCGTTGCCCGGGCGGTGTGTTTGGGATCATTGTCATGCTGAAAGACCCAGCCACGTTTCATCTTCAATGCCCTTGCTGATGGAAGGAGGTTTTCACTCAAAATCTCACGATACATGGCCCCATTCATTCTTTCCTTTACACGGATCAGTCGTCCTGGTCCCTTTGCAGAAAAACAGCCCCAAAGCATGATGTTTCCACCCCCATGCTTCACAGTAGGTATGGTGTTCTTTGGATGCAACTCAGCATTCTTTGTCCTCCAAACACGACGAGTTGAGTTTTTACCAAAAAGTTCTATTTTGGTTTCATCTGACCATATGACATTCTCCCAATCCTCTTCTGGATCATCCAAATGCACTCTAGCAAACTTCAGACGGGCCTGGACATGTACTGGCTTAAGCAGGGGGACACGTCTGGCACTGCAGGATTTGAGTCCCTGGCGGCGTAGTGTGTTACAGATGGTAGGCTTTGTTACTTTGGTCCCAGCTCTCTGCAGGTCATTCACTAGGTCCCCCCGTGTGGTTCTGGGATTTTTGCTCACCATTCTTGTGATAATTTTGACCCCACGGGGTGAGATCTTGCGTGGAGCCCCAGATCGAGGGAGATTATCAGTGGTCTTGTATGTCTTCCATTTCCTAATAATTGCTCCCACAGTTGATTTCTTCAAACCAAGCTGCTTTCCTATTGCAGATTCAGTCTTCCCAGCCTGGGTGCAGGTCTACAATTTTGTTTCTGGTGTCCTTTGACAGCTCTTTGGTCTTGGCCATAGTGGAGTTTGGAGTGTGACTGTTTGAGGTTGTGGACAGGTGTCTTTTATACTGATACAAGTTCAAACAGGTGCCATTAATACAGGTAACGAGTGGAGGACAGAGGAGCCTCTTAAAGAAGAAGTTACAGGTCTGTGAGAGCCAGAAATCCTGCTTGTTTGTAGGTGACCAAATACTTATTTTCCACCATAATTTGCAAATAAATTCATTAAAAATCCTACAATGTAGAGAAGAGAAGAGAAGAGAAGAGAAGGAAGAGAGAGGGACGAAGAGAAGAGAAGAGAAGAGAAGAGAAGAGAAGAGAAGAGAAGAGAAGAGAGAGAAGAGAAGAGAGAGGAGTTTAAAGTTGATGGATGGTGACTTTACCAAGGATCTGGAGCTTGTCTGGGTTCAGTCTGAGGATGGCTGCAGCGAAGGCCTCAGTAATGTCTATGCCACGTTGTTGTTTTAGGAGAACCCTCAGGAGCTCAGGGATGATGAGGTACACCCTCAGACCCTCCACCCCAATGGGATCCTTACTCAGGGAGGGAAGGAGTATGTGCTGGACGACTTCTTTAACCTAGAACCATGAAAGGAGTGCTTGTGGGTCACAACTAAATGACTTATCGTGGCTTACAGTATCAATGACTGGTCAAATTGAATATCAAGGACAACAAACACAAGTATTGAAAATAAGTATTTCATCATAAAGATAATAAATGAAATGATACCTCAGCCAGAACTTTGTCCTTTTCTGCAAGCTTTTGAAAAACCAGTCGGGCGAGTGACAAGTCCAGGCCAGAGTGCTTCAGTGAGGTTTGGTAATGTTTATCACGACTAGAGTAATAAGACCAAGAAATACTATTACATATCCAACAATAAAACAAAAAGTATTCAATAATGTGATGATAAAACATTAATGGATAGGCAGTGAGTTTTTACCTTTTGTCCAGGAAGCTCCCATTTAAACGTGACGCAGAAGAGAATGTTTTTGTGATTTCCCTGAAAATAAATGGGAAAAATCTTATAGTTCAGTGTATGTAATTTCCTGGGACCTTTTTGTATTGAGCCTGGGGATGAGGTTTATTTGTATCATACACTATATATAGAAAAGTATGTGGACACCCCTTCAAATTAGTGGATTCGGCTATTTCAGCCACACCCGTTGATGACAGGTGTATAACAGTCATGCAACTACACAGACATGCAATCTCCATAGACGAACATTGGCAGTAGAATGGCCTTACTGAAGAGCTCAGTGACATTCAACGTGGCACCATCATAGGATGCCACCTTTCCACCAAGTCAGTTCGTCAAATTTCTGCCCTGCTAGAGCTGTCCCGGTCAACTGTAAGTGCTGTTATTGTAAAGTGGAAACGTCTAGGAGCAACAACGGCTCAGCTGCGAAGTGGTAGGCAACACAAGCTCACAGAACAGGACCGCCGAGTTCTGAAGCGCGTAGCGTGTAAAAAATAATCTGTCCTCAGTTCCAAACTCCCTCTGGAAGCAACGTCAGCACAATAACTGTGCATCGGGAGCTTCATGAAATGGGTTTCCATGGCTGAGCAGCCGCACACAAGCCTAAGATCACACACTGTATATATATTTTCTGTGGTATTTTTTACTTTATGTTTTGTTTTACCCCATATGTAACTCTGTGTTGTTGTTTTTATCGCACTGCTTTGCTTTATCTTGGCCAGGTCGCAGTTGTTAATGAGAACTTGTTCTCAACTGGCTTACCTGGTTAAATAAAGGTGAAATAAATCAATAAAAAATGTACAAAGCCAAGCGTCGGCTGGAGTGGTTTAAAGTGTGGAGGAAATTAATATTCATTACATACTATACTGTTTAATTAGACATACTATAATGTTTTTTACTTAAAGAATTGTCCATTGTTATATGCTAGTATATTTTACTGATGCAAACTTGTCTTGTATGACTTAGTCATAAATCTGAGTGTACAGATTTATGAGCCGTTTGGGTTGACCGCAGTATGTGACCTCCTGTGTTTACAATCGGCAGGAATGTAGCTATTGGGAAGTGCAGGGAGGAACAGAGAATGGCGGCGATTTCAGCTATCTTGATCTATACAGACGAGCTAAATTCCTTTTTACAACTGTTCCCAGGGCCTGTTTCTGCACATCTGCTAACTGTCACATAGATAAAAAGGATGTACTTTCTATAAAAGGAGAGAGACAACTCTGTTCGTTGGGCTTTCAACAATGCACTGTTGAGTGGATGGTTGATTTCTTCATTTTTGCAAATCTTATAATAAAGTTGTTGTTTGAAAGAATCTGCAGTCTCTCTTCCTATAGAATTTCTACCACAAAAGCTCGCCGCCATTGGACTCTGGAGCAGTGGAAACGCGTTCTCTGGAGTGATGAATTATGCTTCACCATCTGGCAGTCCGACGGACAAATCTGGGTTTGGCGGATGCCAGGAGAACGCTACCTGCCGAATGCATAGTGCCAACTGTAAAGTTTGGTGGAGGGGGAATAATGGTCTGGGGATGTTTTTTCATGGTTCAGGCTAGGCCCCTTAGTACCAGTGAAGGGAAATCTTAACACTAAAGCATACAATGACATTCTAGATGATTCTGTGCTTCCAACTTTGTGGCAACAGTTTGGGAAAGGCCCTTTCCTGTTTCAGCATGACAATGCCCCCGTGCACAAAGCGAGGTCCATACAGAAATGGTTTGTCGAGATCAGTGTGGAAGAATTTGACTGGCCTGCACAGAGCCCTGACCTCAACCCCATCAAACAACTTTGGGATGAATTGTAACGCTGACTGCGAGCCAGGCATAATCGCCCAACATCAGTGCCCGACCTCACTAATGCTCTTGTGGCTGAAGGAAGCAAGTCCCCGCAGCAATGTTCCAACATCTAGTGGAAAGCCTTCCCAGAAGAGTGGAAGCTGTTATAGCAGCAAAGGGGGGACCAACTCCATATTAATGCCCATGATTTTGGAATGAGATGTTCGACGAGCAGGTGTCCACATACTTTTGGTCATGTAGGATACTTACTTCTGTATTTCCGTCCATGATTTTGAGTCACATTGCAATATCCATCTGTCAATGATGTCATTGCCTAATGTCTGAGTCACTTTTTCAAGACGGGAGTCATTCAAACCTTTTCCTGATTCCTGTAATAACAATTTGATGCACTGTATTAAAACAATGTTAAGTACTAAGGACTAACTCAGAACAAACTAACTGTAAACGCAATACCTGAGCAGAGCTGCACAAGGCAAAAGAATGGTTTCCTCCAGCAAAGGTTTGTTCAATTTGCTGGTCATCAATGCGGTCTGAAAGTTACCCAAAACAGTTATGATGTTATAAACCTGTCATTTTATCATTTCAGAAAGATCAAAATTTCTGCCTAAGTACTGTATTGAGTTTCAAATAGGTCACGTTAGGCAGAGGAAAATAAATTATTTAACTACCCTGTGATAGCTGTACTGGCAGAGGCACAGACTGATCCATCTTGACTCCATTTCCCAGCTGCCCTTGCTCTCCAAGCCCAAATGAGTAGATCTTTTTGAAGGAGCCCACAAACGCTAATGTGTGGTTTCTAGGTAAAGGAAAAATCACAAATCAACTGTAATCCCTAAGAATGCCCCCCAAAATGGATATATCCAAGAATATACCCAGTAACACTCCAAGATTGATCTTACCATCCAAGCTACATCCATTGATCTTTGTGTGACAATGTATGATTGTGCGGAGATTCACATGACTTATATCAATCAATCTAGTAACTACATACCTTCCACAGGCGATCTGGGTCACCTTTGCCCCCCATAGTTCGCCCACCAGTCGAGGTCGTAGTTCATCTCTGAAAGAGTTGTGTCCAAGCTGTCCATATCGACCCGAGCCAAATGTGAACACTATACCTCCCTAGAACAAAACCCATTCACACAGTTATCATGATGTGTTGGGCTCTTGTTGTTGATATTCATGTTTATACTGTATGTGATGGCAACTAGTAAGACATCATTGGTCCAAACCTTCTTTAGATCTTAATGGTACTGGAAGAAAAAAACATATAGTGTCAGTTGGAAATATTGTTGTGTAAAAAATTTCTGAACCTTTGTCAGAACGGCAGTATGCTCCACTCCACAGGAAACAGCAATGGTCTTCTTTAGATTCAGGCAATCAACAGGAGCTGGAGCAGGTCTGTCTGTAGAAAATAGATTTCACAGAATATTTTCTATTTTTTTTCTTTGCTCGTCTTTTTCTGTTTTGACTATTGTAAAAAAGATATATATAAAAAAGATATATATATGATTTGACATTAAATGATCAGATCTACTCATACTGTCTGCTTCAAACATATCAAATGTACTACTTTTCTTTAAAAGATACCAACTATTAATGAAAGAGATAACCAAACACATTAACATACTAATCTTTGTGTATACAGTACCTATTGTGTCCCCCAGTCCCAGCTGTCCGGCATTGTTCTTGCCCCAGCCGAACACGGCTCCAGAGAGGGACAAGGCGAAGCTGTGGTCTCCCCCAGCGGTGATCTGAGCCAGGGGGATCCCTGACAGAGACTTGACAGGCTGAAGAGAAAGGGTGATGGGCTTGCCCTTCCCCAAACCCAGCTGTCCGCTGGAGTTCTGGCCCCACGTGAACACGTTACCATCTAGACAACAATGGAAGGTAAAATAATATCTGTACATTGGAAAATCTCACAGGACACGTGCTGCATTGTTAGTTTCTCTTGGTATGTGAGAATTTTAGTTTTATTTTAAATGTCTATTGTGAACCTTCTAAAACTGATGTAGTTTTTTTCACGCTTTATTTCTGCGCTATGAACTTTTGGGCATGATGATGTCCCAATAAAGCATCTCTATTTTAGCATTAAAGCCTCATTTGTTTTTTTTGACAGTGTGCGGGTCTCCATCTCTTCCAGTATTCTCATGTTGATATCTATGTACCTGGAACAGACACTATTTGGTAAAAAGGACATTCAAAGAGCACAGACAGCCTCCTATCATATCCCTTCTCAAACTGAGCGATTTAGAATGTGACTGTTTACCTTGGGTTAGTGCAATTGAATGCTGGTCTCCACATGCAACTTGAATTACCTGATTCAAGTTACCCACTCGTCTGAGAAAACACAAGAGAAACAGACAACCAAAAGTGACCATTACAATATGGTCAATTACTAATCTTGACAGAAGCAACTCAAATGTGAGTAGGCCTAAGCCTAGAGATGTGTCATTTCTGTCAAGCACCCACCTGGGAACATTGGAAAATTGGGCGAGGCAGAAAACTCTTCCCTCTTCAGACAGTAAAACAACATGGGCATCTCCGCAACTCAGAGCCACCATCTTCTCCCTGCACTCCACATTCTCTACACACATGAAATATACATTAAACGTATCCTATAGCTTAAAGGGGCAATTGGCAGTTGCTACATCCATTTTTTGACTTAAAAATGAATGCTATGTACCCATTGATTCTTATAATAATAATAATAATATTCCATTTAGCAGACGCTTTTATCCAAAGCGACTTACAGTCATGCGTGCATACATTTTTGTGTATGGGTGGTCCCGGGGAAAAATGAATGCTATGTACCCATTGATTCTTATACTGTAATAATAATAATAATATTCCATTTAGCAGACGCTTTTATCCAAAGCGACTTACAGTCATGCGTGCATACATTTTTGTGTATGGGTGGTCCCGGGGATTGAACCCACTACCTTGGCGTTACAAGCGCCGTGCTCTACCAGCTGAGCTACAGAGGACCACATGTGAAAGCAAATGTGCTGTAGTGTTATGTCAAACATCATTTTAGTCATTTAGCAGACGCTCTTATCCAGAGCGACGTACAGTTAGTGAGTGCATACATTATTTATTTTTTCATACTGGCCCTCCGTGGGAATTGAACCCACAACCCTGGCGTTGCAAACGCCATGCTCTACCAACTGAGCTACATCCCTGCCGGCCATTCCCTACCCTGGACGACGCAGGGCCAATTATGCGCCGCCCCAAACAGGATGTATTTTTTGTTAGAGGATCCAGTATATTGATTGAAATGCAAAGCGAATCGTTTTTATATTCGATTATTTGAGAAAATATCAATCTGGACAAGAACGCCTTCAGAAATTATGCCTATATATGCATAGCCTAACTCAAACATTCACCCCCCCTAAAAAAAGACTAACACGTGATAACTCAAAATCGCCTCTTAGTTGTCACGTCTCACAGCTGTTGTTGAGTGAAACTATTGTTGGCCACTATACCCGAATCTTGGTGCTTTCAAGAAACGAGGTCAAATCATGACGTCAGTGATCTTGAGGTCGGAGCTCTAGAAAGATGCCCGTATTTCCGACTTGGATGACGTTCAAAACTATTTCCCCCCCAGTCTGAACTAGTTTTTTTTCGGAGTTCCCAGTTATCTTGAACGCACTGAAGTAGGAGATTTCCGAGTTCACAGTTGTTTTGAACGCAGCATCAAACCCAATTCCATCACGCAGGGATACGCATGCATACATACAATGGGCAATCAAACTGCCACGCGAGAGAGCATTTCTGTTAATAATCTCTGGAGCGGTTCAAAATGTTTCTAAAACCTAACTAATAAATCACTGCTGCCAACAGTTTGAGTGTGGAATTAAAGACGCCACTGAATAACCTTCCCATATTTATTTTCTCTATGGGATGGTTCTGATGCACACCATTTTCAATGCCCCCCTCCCCCCAGTCAAAGTGAACCCTGCACAATGCATAGGCTGCACAACTACTTAACTAGGAGGATCAACTATCAGTGTGCAATTTCATCCCTCCTGCGACCCCCTACGCTGCCTGTTGCTGGATGGACACAGCAGTTTTTCAGTAAATCCCTCTTAAATCCTCAATTCCCTCCTCACTGTCGCTCTCACGCAGACGTTTATCCCCTGACTGAGGTCCTCCATGAATATAACCTGAAATTAGTATTTGATTTATCTCAGCAACCCGCCGCAGAGATCAACTCAACTGCCATCATTGAATGGATGGTTGTCATTTGGACTGTGCACGCATGTTCCGAACAAGATATTGCGCAGATGGCGGCTCGAGGCGGGTTCACTAGCTAGGTAACGTAGAACCGCGGTTGTGCAGAGAAGATAACATGCACAACTGTCGATATGTTCCATAAACACTTACCCAATAAACTCCCAAGGGTAAACAGCTATGCAACGCGACGTCAAATGCAGTGAAAATAATGATAAATATGCATAGCGCGGACTGACTAGCTAGCTATATAGCTTGCTAGCTAACGTTAGCATTGATTGAGCATCACTGCGGCACGAGCGTGCAAACAACCATAGCCGCATTTGAAAGCTATGCAGTCAGCGCGAAACCAAATATAGGTCTCAATTGAACCACCGCGAAAAGTAAAAACAGAGTTCAAAATGTAATTAATTTGTAATTAATCTTGAATTTTATTTTAAATGTCTATTGTGAACCTTCTAAAACTGATGTAGTTTTTTTCACCCTTTATTTCTGCGCTATGAACTTTTGGGCATGATGATGTCCCAATAAAGCATCTCTATTTTAGCATTAAAGCCTCATTTGTTTTTTTGACAGTGTGCGGGTCTCCATCTCTTCCAGTTTTCTCATGTTGATATCTATGTACCTGGAACAGACACTATTTGGTAAAAAGGACATTCAAAGAGCACAGACAGCCTCCTATCGTATCCCTTCTCAAACTGAGCGATTTAGAATGTGACTGTTTACCTTGGGTTAGTGCAATTGAATGCTGGTCTCCACATGCAACTTGAATTACCTGATTCAAGTTACCCACTCGTCTGAGAAAACACAAGAGAAACAGACAACCAAAAGTGACCATTACAATACGATCAATTACTAAACTTGACAGAAGCAACTCAAATGTGACTAGGCCTAAGCCTAGAGATGTGTAATTTCTGTCAAGCACCCACCTGGGAACATTGGATGATTGGGTGAGGCAGAAAACGTTTCCCTCTTCAGACAGTAAAATAACATGGGCATCTCCGCAACTCAGAGCCACCATCTTCTCCCCGCACTCCACACCCTCTACACACATGAAATATACATTAAATGTATTATATAGCTTAAAGGGGCAATTAGCAGTTGCTACATCCATTTTTTGACTTATAAATGAATGCTATGTACCCATTGATTCTTGAAGAATATAACTTATAAATGCCTCATGAGCTTAGTTCAATTGTCCTACCCCATCAGAACCCAAAATATAAGCTTGTTTTACTACAATATTTGCAAACAAAGTAAATGTAAACAAACACTGTATAGCCTCAAAACATTGTTAAAACTATAATTTTGATATCATGGATGGTCAGTCCTTGCATCCCATAGCTCTATCTATGAATTTGAGAGTGGTTACATTTCTCAGCTTTTTATAGAAACAGAGGTGGGGAGGATGCTTGTTATTGTTTCAACAGCTGATTGCCGCTTTAAATATTATGTTTAAGGAATTCAGTAAAGAAGCGGGCTCTGGTGGTGGAAAAAAAAACATATAGGAAAGGTGCTTACTCAGTTTTCCTGTGATCCTTCTCCCATCTTTGTCCTCTTGCATTCGAGCGACAGACACTTGTTCCCCATTCTTTCTGATGAACGCGACTACTGTATTACCTGCAGATAGATGCGTAATTGGAGATTTCATGCCTATGAAATTTACGCAACTGTCCGTGTTCGTCTTTACCAAACCATTCGACTTCACTAAACCAAAGCCATCAACGGGTATTCTCTCCCCACGAAAACATTGTCAATGTGTTATTATTATCGCGTCCTAAACGTATCCATAATCAGCTAACCATGATCAGCTAATCTTGATGGAACACAGGACCGTCATTCAGCACCCTGGGAGTCAGTGCGTTCTGAAAGTCATGAACGCCACCATATGACATATCTGTAAAAGAAACACCGCAAGAAACGAAAACGAAACTTGAGTTGACGTTTTCCTCCAAACAGAAACTTATGTCACAATGGGCATGGCCTGAGTAAACGAAAGTATCAGGTTGGCACATATGCAGTGGGACAGGGGCCAGGTAAATAAAGTATTTTAAACAAACACACCAGCTAGCACATTTGGTTCCTTGGAAGTTGTGGGAACATACGTTTTTGGTTTCCCATTGGTTCTGGGGACGAAGCCATAAGTTTCCTGATGGTTAAAACTGAACGTTTTTTAAACATTCTGAGAATGGAAGTGAAAATGTTGCCTGTTCTGGGAACTTTAACTTTTAGGTTGCAGGGAGGTTCTTCTATGGTTCCCTGAAAGTTTTCCTGTGAGATTTTATTACCATTCTAAGAACATAAATTATAGGTTGAGGGTAATTAAATAATGTTCTAAGAACAAGTTTCAAGAAGACTTTTAATAACACTGCTAGCTTAGGTTAACTGTTTGAACTCCAAGCACAGATAGGACATATGGAAATTAATTTGCTTAGGCATTAATTATGTAAACCCATGTATTTTTTAATGTGGCATGGTGTCAGTGAGATTCAAACCTATGATCTTCTGCTCTCTAGCCTTGGAATTAGTCCACTGCGCCGCTAGAATGGAGCTAGCATGCCATGTTTTTTTTAACTCATAGAAATCTGTTCATTTTAGTCTATTCAAACAGACCCTATTTCAAAGGAAACAAGCATTCATTAAGATCAGGTGTTGCCAATTAGTGGGCAAGGCCAACACACCTGAAAAACTTAATAGGATAGAGAGAATTTTGTTGATGCTGGGAACGGAATGTATATGTTTTTAAATAACATTCTTCCAACATTCTTTGAATGTTACTAATGTTTTCTTGTGGTTTTTATGGAAAGTTTTCTTAATGCTCTGAGAACATTACTTTAAATAGAACCAGGAACCCTGCAGAAAACGTTACGCTGAAGTACTGGAATTCCCATAGAAAAACATTGTTTCTTAATGTCCTCTAAACGTTCTGAGAACATTACTTTAAATAGAACCAGGAGCCCTGCAGAAAATGTTATGCTGAAGTACTGGAATTCCCATAGAAAAACATTGTTTCTTAATGTTCTCTGAACGTTCTGAGAACATGACTTTAAATAAAACCATGATGAAACCTGTAGGAAAGGTTATGCTGTACTGAAATTCCCATAGAAGAACGTTGTTTTTTAACGTTCTCTGAACAATTTGAGAACATTACTTTAAATAGAACCATGAGGAAACGATATGGGAAGGTTGTATGCAAAATAACCATAGGACAACCACGCTCTAAGAAACATATGGTTCTCAGAACGTTATGTGCTAGCTGGGAAGGTTATGCACGTTGTTGGAGAAACCACACCACTGCTCTGCATCGGCGTGCTGAAAGCAGTACCCATTGATAAAAGAAAACACTTTAAGGCGAAAGTAATCATCTCTATTTATTAGATACATGAATAATTATTCTGTCAATAAAACACAAGATACAGACATAAATGTCAAAAGATGATGCAGACATGTGTTCAGAAAAAAAGGATATTCCCATGTAGAATGACATAAAATGGCACACTATATCAATAAAGAAAACATGCATAAGTAGGCTCTTGAATGTCTATTACTGAATGTATATTACTGAAAGTCTATTACTGAATGTCTTTTACTGAATCTGTATTACTGAATAAGAATTATTTGTATATATCACAATCAGAATGAATGAACATTAAGTCAAGGAATGTTATTTTCTGTAATAGGGTAGGCCTACATATCCTACATTTGCAATTTTCACATTTTCACTTGAAAAAGCCAAGGAAAAAGCCAAGATTTAAAAGTTTTTAAAAGAAAGTTTAAAATCTGAACCTAGATGAAGGCACAATCAAAATCAAAATCAACACAATCAAAATCCTATGCTAAACTGAACATGTAAGAAACACATTGAATGAAATGATGAACACAGCAGTAGCCTATATATACTGTCCGTTACTCCTTCCAGAAGCCTCTGTTGTGGGCCACCGCCTCTTTGAGCCTGGCCAGCAGCATCTCCTTGGAAGGGTAGATGGGCAGCAGCAGGAGGAAGTAGCAGGTAAGGGATTCTGGGAAATGTAGTTCAGTAGAGTTCTGCAGGACTGCTATCTTCATCTGGATGTTGTCCATGCCCAGGATGGGAGCGCGATCACAGCCCGTCAGGAACACTGAGAAGGAGGGGAGAGATCGTGAAAGGTAGACAGAATGGGAAGAAATATAGTGAATGTCGTTGTGCGGCAGGTAGCCTAGCGATTAAGAGCAGTAGGCCAGCAACCGAAAAGTTCCTGGTTCAAATCCTAGAGCAGACTAGGTGAAAAATATGCTGTTGGTGCCCTTGAGCAAGGCACTAAACCCTAATTGCTCCTGTAAGTTACTCTGGATAAGTGTCTGCTAAATTACTAAAATGTGTTCAGACAAAAATTATTTGTAAATGCTCTTGTAGAACAGGAAGTTCAAATATGCAGACAAAACCCTAAAACAGCATTATGAAAGACTGTATGGTTCCTCCAGTTTTACTCAACCGAGAGCAATTTAGTGCCATACTTACGGAGGAAAGCTTTCTTTTGGTCATCTGTCAGTTCCTCAAAAGCCTCCCAGAATGTGACGATGTTGGGATGTCTGGCATGGTACTCTCCATCATACACTGTGTTCTGGATATACAAAAAAAAACAAATGGCAGCAATAATTAAACAATATTAAACTCGCACTCCATTTAAACGATTCACCACTCAAAGTCATACAGTATGTCACAAAGCACCATGTACAGCTAGACAATGTATAGCACATTATCTCCTAGTCCCAGTCCTAACTTGAGATACGTACCCATAACTTGAACATCAAAGCAAATCCCCCATTGATATAAATGCATCAACACATTGATTGATTTATGCCCTCATTTCTCAAGTCAGCACCCAGCCCCATACTGAGAAATGAATGATGGTTGTATTTCTATAGACCTGTTTGAGCGTGTCCCAGTCGTAGTCCTCTTTCCCCACCATGACTCCCCTGAGCTCCTCAGGCTGGAAGAACTCCACCACGTCTCTGTCACACACCTTGAAGAAGCCTCTCCTGAACTCTTCAAACACCTTCTCCACTGATTGGTTGAAGGCGAGGTTCACGTAGGCATCAACAAACTGCTTCCTGTCAAAAGAATGAATGGTATTTTAATATTTTAAAAAACTGAACAAGCAGAAAGCATGCTTGTTGTAACTTCTAAAATTGCAACCTTGTATTATGCATTACAGATGTAAGACCATAATGTGAGCCAGTTTGCTACAGCAGGAAAATAATCCTTCAGCAACAGGAAATGTGAATTATTATGTGGATTATAATTAATGTAAATTTTTGTAGGGGTTGATACATTTTTTTCGTAAGGGAAAACCAAGTCTGAAGCCTTTTTAAACCTCAAATATATACTAACTTTTAAAATGTCCTGCATTGCAGGAAAGTTCTCCTGCAACAGAGTGATCAGATTCAGATCTTACATCTGTAGGAGTAAATGTTGCTGTAACCTTACTTGTTAGTACTTGTGACTGGTTTTCCTGTTTCTTTGGGATCAAGCTCCACCTTCAGGTCATCCCAGATCACCTGATGAAAATAAACAGTTTTACCACTATTCACATACTGTGTCAAGTGATATTTCATTGCTCAACAATCAAACAGTTTGAATGCAATACTATACATACGGTGGAGGTCATGTCCAGGTTTTCTTCAACATCATCATCAGTGTATTCCTCCAAGAGGTACCGCAAACTCCTTCAATTACAATGAAAATAAATAATTGTTGAAAAATTGTAATCCATTTCTAAGGGATACCAATTCAATGCTAAAATGTACATTCTAAAATACAAACGTACCCTCCCACAACAGGGTCAAACTCTCTCAGGTCCTCCAGTGAGGGCTTGACCCCCACCATCTTCTTGAACAGGGCCAGAGGGAAGGGCAGGTGTACAATGTTGTGGTTGTACAGGGCCATGCCACACAAGACACCAAACAGGAAGTAGCTCTTCTCCTCCACTCTGGGCTGGTAGTAAGGATAGGTGGCACATGAGCCAAGGCAGAGATCAATAATAAACCAGAGCAGGCACCATCCCAAGTTGTCAATATATATATATATATTTTTTTTTTTTAAACTAACTTTTATCTCCTTTTATGTTGTCTGTATAGTGCAATTCAGCTTTTAGCTGTGAATATGTACAAGACAGCCTAACTAATAATAAAACCTTGGTACATCAGGGGGAGATTAGGAGTGATGGTGATTATACTTGTAAACAATGGTATATTGATTGATAAAGTGTAGATAGTGGCTCTGCTGTAGTGGTTGAATCTCTTTGTTGCTATGCACCGACTAAATTTATTTAGATAGTTCTTAGAATAATCTAACATTTCATTACTCACCTATTTTAATTTGCTTGAGAGTGCAGTGATCTATTATACAGTAATGAAATCCCTAATTCAAGTTCTTACCTTGGCAGGGAACCAGACCAGTGTCTTGGTGTCGTTGTACATGAACATCTCTGACTCGGGTGCCAACAGCTCATCAAACAAGTGGAGGAAGAAGTCCCTTTTGTTGACAGCCGTCAGCTTCAAGTCCTCCACAAACTGTACCTGAGGGATACAGTAAGATAGGTCACATTTAGGTTGAGTTCTAGTCTATCCACTGGGTACAGATGTCAATTCAATATCTACTCCACGTTGGTTCCATGTCATTTGGTTGAAATGACGTGGAAACAACGTTGATTCAACCAGTGTGTGCCCAGTGAGTAGTGACAGTCTAACATTAAAATGGTAAATCGAGTAGCTGAGATTTGGTTTGATTTAGCCAAGATTAGTTGAGTTTTAACATTGTCTGTCTCAGGGAGAATTATTTTAATGTTACATTATTGTCCCTTTTGACCTGACAAAAGATCATTTTACCACAAGCTCTCTATGGAAGTAATCGTGATCTGCAGCACCCAGTTGTCTGAAGGTGTCTTCGATGAGTGACGGGCGCCTTAGCTTCAACTGGAAGACTGGGGCAGGAGGAGATTCTGGGTCGTCTGTGAATGTTCCAGGAGGACACATCACTGTTAGCCGGTGGGCGAGTTTGTGAGACTCCTACAATATATAAACATACACTATTTTAAGTATATAGAATGATATTCCAGCTTGGGGAACCACTGTGTAAGGTATACATAAATAAGGGTCAATCAAACGTTATAAAGAAGCCAGTGGAATAATACAGTTTACCTTTGTAAAATGTGCATGAATGTTGAAAACCCCCATCTTGCATATCAGATTCAATACAAATGGGTAACGGCAAAAGATAACAGGCGTCTCCTCCGTATCCTAGAAGTGACACACACAAAATCCGAAGTAGTATCTCAACAATTTATATGGGTCTCATTTCTTTCATATGCTCCGAAGTGAAAGCTGATTCCCAGTGGGGAGCCACCATATGTTTTTTCCCCCTCATCTTGTAAGAACATACTTTGAGAGGGCCAAGTTATAATTTTTCTCATTTAGAGATGGTTATTATGTTATTTTATTACCTTCCTTGTTGACCAAAAATGCCAAAGCTTCAAGTCCTCCACAGCAATGACGCTACCGATGATCTCTTCCACATAAAAGGCACTGGCTGGAACTTTCTGGATTCTTCCAGCCCTTTTGTTTGCCTTTGATATAAGATAATGATACATTTCTACATTCCATCACAAATGTATTGTCTGCAATCATTCTGAATTATTCACAATGAAGGACTGAACTGTTAATGAGGTATGTTGGAGGTTGATCAACTATTGACAGAAATATAGAAAATTATCAAATGCATAAAAATGATTGACAAGCAAGGTGCATGGACACTGACTCTGTGGAGGTACTTGAGGGCTTCCAGCAGGAATTTGACTCCGGGGTTGTGGGTAACCAGAAGACCGTTCCTCAGCATGAATGACAGGGCATTCTTCCACATCAGAATGTGCTTAGTCATGATGTTTGTCTCCATTGAGGACCACCACTCTTCTATAAGATGGTACAAGAGTACAAAAGTACAAAATATGTCCATCATATTGCCTGACCAAAAAAATAATTATCTTATAATATATGGTTATGTGTCACAGTGTCAGATATGCTTCTATTATAATACAATTCTGTAAAATTATACTGATGCCAAATTTGCTGATAAACTGACAAGGTCAGAGGTTATTTACTTAAAGTTTTCATGGCTGTCTCACTCAGATCCTCAACGATAAGTATTGCTAAAGCCATGACCATGTTCATGACGTTCTGGTCATCGTGGAGAAGAGGGATTGTGGGTAGTATCATAAAGATCTCTGGTGATTTGATGACAGCTGCTGAAACGCGAAGAGTGTCCACCAGTGGCAATATATTTACCTATATGGAAAATATATAGAGACATGAAGAGAGTAACATTATGCTATCATGATCCTCCATTCAAAATAAATATTGATATTTAATAGATTGTTGATATTTGTATAAGTCTTTGAAGAGTGAGTTAATCTTAGCTGATTTCCTGATCCATGGTATGTTGAAGAGCTGATCAATAGCCTGGCTAGCAGCCTCTAGGTCCACTGTCAAAGCTCCTGCAGCTTTAGTTGATGGAGACTCACTGGTAGAGGGTATAGCATGTGTATAGCATTATCATTGACACAACATACTGTACACACACAGTTTATTTTAAACTATCCAAACCTTCCATTTTAAAATCGCTTACTTGACTTTGGTGAAACTGGCCACAAGACTTGAACTTGTTGAGAACATCAAGGATATTTCTCTGTTGGAACAAATGTGGACACATTTTATGTTTCAGTACAATAAATGTTTGTTTATTTCATTTTGAGTTAGCTAGATAATAAAAACAAAAAACAAAGAATCTTTGTCTACGGTAGATTGTATGTTTTAATATTCTATTTTTTTTGGGTTAAGAACCTTTGCGCCTCTGCATTTCCTTGCTCCATCGTCAGCCATTTTTGCAGCTTGGCTTCATCTAACCTCCCGATTGGCTGTTCTCTTTCAGAACTCTACAAAGGCAGATAAAGCAATATAATAAATTAACATATCTCAAACATGAACTTGCTGCTTAAGACATTTAGACTGTTTCAGTCTTCCTATTATTGAGGTATAAAAGGTCAGAAACATTACCTCAGCAGTGTAAATGAAGTTTGAATTCCATCCCACTGATATCTTCATGTCTGATAAAAAAAATTCAAACGTACAGAAGAGGTTGTAGGGACATCAAGTCTCGTTATGTGTTCTTATTCAGTCATCCAAACACTACATAGTCAGTATGTAGATGCATAATATAATTGAATAGAATCAAATAAAAGATAGAAGAGAATAGAATAGACATTGTATCTGGTACCGTTGTGTATGACTGTCGCTGCCCCACCAGAAGCCCTTTTCAGCAGCACTGAGGTGGGTCGCAAGCTGCCCTCTGTGTTGCCAGTCCCTAGCTGACCTTTGACCCCACTGCCAAAGGCCCAGAGTTGACCTGAGGACCCCAGCACCAGGGTGTGATGGCTGGCAGAGTTACAGTAAGACAAAAACACAGTCAAACTGAGAATGTTCAAGATTGGTTTCCTATCTGTTTATTATATGTGTATATATGCGTACGAGTAACATTATGCTGTTGGTCATTACCTGCCACATGCTATCTGTGAGACCAGTCCATCCAGGCGCTCCACCAGTTTGGGTATGAGTTCGTTAGCTGATGCGTCGTGCCCAAGCTGGCCTCGGCTTCCCTCTCCAAAGGTGAACACCCGTCCATCCTAAAGACCACAAAGAACCAGAACCAGTTGTTGACAAGTCAAGCCCAGTTGTTCCTGGTGTGGTCAGGTCAGGGCCCTAATCACTTCTTAAAGAGACAGTATAATAGTATTGAAGGGTCGACACACTGGACTGACCTTTACCCTGGTAGCCCTGAGGCTCGATCTGTATTAAAAGCCATAATCAGGACATATTCTGTATAACCTGTGATATTCCAAACTGTAACTTCACATTTAGTATGAGATTGTATTCATGCTCTCAGATGACTTGTATGGTTAATTGTGTAGCCTCTCTCTCCCAGACACCCGCCAGACACTTGATCACTTGTTTTTAACCTCTGTTCAAGGTCATTTTGTATAACTGGCTATATTTACCAATATGTGATAATTGTATCTTTGAGAGGTTGCTGACTTTGTGTGCAGAACTATCTCCCAGTGGGCCCACTGTACTTTTTCTCAACTTAATGACCTGCCGTCAGATTTGTCTCCTTTCACACCAACATCTCCCTTGGAGCCTTCAGTAAAAAGACAGTAATAGTATGATACCTTGGTGAGAACAGCAGTGTCCCTCTCCACAGTAATAGTATGATACCTTGGTGAGAACAGCAGTGTCCCTCTCCACAGTAATAGTATGATACCTTGGTGAGAACAACAGTGTCCCTCTCCACAGTAATAGTATGATACCTTGGTGAGAACAGCAGTGTCCCTCTTCACAGTAATAGTATGATACCTTGGTGAGAACAGCAGTGTCCCTCTCCACAGTAATAGTATGATACCTTGGTGAGAACAGCAGTGTCCCTCTCCACAGTAATAGTATGATACCTTGGTGAGAACAGCAGAATGTGCCTCTCCACAGCTGATGAAGGAAACCCCCAAGACTCTGAGAGCAGGCACTGCACAGATGTTGTACCGGCCTGGCAGGGGGAACAAGCATCATACTTACAGTGCAATGTTCCCACTCATTATAAGACATCTGTAAAATCACTTAGTGGTTATAACAAAGGAATCCAAGTTCAAATTAGAAAATGCTGGTGGATAAGCCTGATTAGCTTTTTATACAAGTAGCATATGAAGAGCAGTAGAGTGTGCCGTAGTACCTTTCTCATCCACACGGTTGAGTCCCAGCTGCCCAGCCCTGTTTGCCCCACAGCAGTAGACCAGGCCTGGGAGGGTGAGGGCCAGAGTGTGGGTTCCTCCGGCTGCTACCTGGGTCACTGGGACCCCAGTGAGGGAGCGCACCAGGGCAGGTATGGGCTGCAGAGGCACCCCCTTCCCCAGGCCCAGCTGTCCATGGCTGTTCAGACCCCATGAGAACACCTGTCCCCCTGTAGAAGACAAAGAAATCACATATTACATTACAAAGACATAACAATAACTCCGGAGTTAGATTATTTCATAATCAATTGTGTAAATATCATCTCACTGTCATTTTGAGGTACACTCTTAGAAAAAAAGGTTCCAAAAGGGTTCTTCGGCTGTCCCCATAGGATAACCCTTTTTGATTGCAGGCAGAACCCTTTGTGGCTCCAGGTAGAACCCTTTTGGGTTCCATGTAGAACCCTCCGAGAACCAAAAAGGGTTCTCCAAAGGGTTCTCCTATGGGGACAGCTGAATAACCCTTTTGGGTTTTAGACAGCACCTTTTTTTCTAAGTGTAGTCTAACTGATGCATGTGGTTATCATAATTTAGATGGAATGCAGTCTGTGTGAGACAAACATCAGTAGGCCTACGTCAAAAGGCACAGTACGTTATACCTTTAGTCAGGGCCAAAGAATGGGAATTTCCACAAGCAACCTGTATCACTGTTATTGGCAAGGGCGAAGGTATTGGAACTGGTCTGTAGAAGAAGAAAAAAGGAGACATCTAGTACATATTGTCTTTGTTAGTGATCAGTGGAATCCAAGAGGGCTCTCATTACTTGACAATGTAAATCATGGAGGATATTTAACTTTCAAGATCTATTTGAAGTTGAAGTTGAGGTTTCCTTGCCTTGGTCTGGGGACTTTGGAGACAGTAGTAGGGGCGATGCCCAGCTGTCCCTCCCCCCCTGCCCCCCAGGAGTACACCTGTCCTGATGCACACACAGCTACACAGTGGTCCTGACCACAAGCCACAGAGACCACTCTCGCCAGACCCTCCACTGGCGCTGAAACGGGTAGAACACACACAGTTTTAATTGGAAGTCCTATGTCTTGGAAAGGGTTAAATGCCAGAACATTGATAAGACCTAATGTAATGCATGAAGGAGTTAATCAACAATTTATCTGAGTCCAGTAGATCACTTCATTGCTCCCTTTTTGTTTATAAAGCTCTACTATACAAGCTTCCGACTTACCTAACTTAATTGTTAAAGTATAAAAACATGAGATCCAAAACCCGTTCACAGGGTTGGTTAACTCTTGAGATTCCTTGGGTTCCCACCGAACTAGGTAAATCCGCTTTTAGTTTGTTTTAATGCTCCACATTTTTGGAATCACTTACACAATTCATTACATTTGGATTCCCTGGTGCCACTAGGGCAGTTTTAAACCCTGATGATAAATGATTTCACCGAGGTGGGCAATTGTTTTGATTAACTTTAATAATTTGTTTATGATGCCAGTGATGTTTGTGATGTTCTAATGTAATGTACTTGTTATTGTATCTTGTTATTCTATCTTGTATCTTATAGTTTCATATATTTTATTTTATGTCCTCAGGGCACCATTGAAAATAAGACGCTGGTCTCAATTGGGCTCCCCTGATTAAATAAAAGTTAATAATCTTGAGGATGACGTAAATTAGATCCTAGATGTATTCCTGGGAACATAGCAACACTTAACTTTCGTTCCTCTGACTTGGATGGAGAAACGAAACTGAAACCTAACTGTGAGCCTATGTTGTAGTTTTATTGAGGGATAGTTTAGCAATTTATGAAAGTTGTGGTAAAGCTTACTAGGCTCAATATAGGCTACTACACATTTTAATATCATCTGTAATAATGAACAATATCGTGAACAGAAAATGTTTGCATAACGATAAAGAATAAAATAATTCAGAAGCAAGCATCCTTTTAGCCGCACTTTAATCCGAAATAGCCTACATAGCGATCCTTGCACCTATTCTGTAAATAGCCTACATAGCGAGCCTTGCACCCAAATATTCAGATATCATTAAATGATGTCTTACCTGGTAGTTTTGAATCTCTGTTCTTCTGTCTGCCAAGTTGTCCCTTTGAGTTGCGCCCGCATGATAGGATCCTGCCATCTACCGTGAGAAATAAAGTGTGTTGCTCCCCACAAGCAATTTCTGTGACTTTATCAGAGAATATATTCCCTGCTATAGGAACAGACACATTCTCAAAATGTAGACCAAACTGTCCACTCGAACAGTCTCCCCAGCAGAACATGATGATGTGATGAAAGACTGAAGTGTGGTCTACTTGGGTATGCTATACAGGGCACTACGTGTGCGTGTATGTGTGCGTGTGTGTGTGTGTGTGTGTGTGCGCGCGAACGCATGTGTGCGCATGCGCGCGTGCCTGTGTGTGTGAACTACTTTTAGTAAAATATCAGCAGGGATTAAATCAGATTTCCAGTAGTCATCAGTGGTCACTGATTTTCCAGATTGTATGCATTGCATAATTGATTGGACCCCCATAATGAAAATGTAAAAAGTTTGCGTTGATTGGCCCCAATTACCTTATCTGGGGAATGCTCAGCTATCTGATCGATAAAGTATGATTGCCTTTCAATAATTTCGTTTATCATTCTTTGGCCAATCAGCAGCACAGAACGAGGGGTCCGAGCCTCCGAGGGTCGTCACTAGTTACCACATCCATAAAGTCATAATTATGTCTAAACCCCAACTATTTCTACAATTTATCTTCTTAAAATCTGACTTTAAACCTTACCCTAACCTTAACCACACACACTGCTAACCTCATACCAAACCATAACCTTAAATTAAGACCAAAAAGCTATTTTTTGTTTACATGAATTTTAGCCCATTTTGACTTTGTGGCTGTGTTAACTAGTGACAACCGGGTTCGAGGGAGGCGTAGATGTTTCCAGCATGCTGATTCGCGCGGCGCGGGTGACAGGCGCAGTTCCTCTTCTTGTTTGATAACGTTCGACACTCAACACACGGACAATTTTGATTCATTTAACTGTACGCTGTGCAGCTTTTGCAACATATATGAAGCCGTTGTAAAGAGTTAAAGGTAAGAATACAACATTTTCTGCAGAGAAATACCGAAGAAATGTGATTGTTGTCCAAGGCTGGGAGATAGGCTGCGCAAATCATGGCTTCTTTTGCTAGCTGCTGTTAGCATAGCTCTACCTAGCAAAGGAGCTAAAAATACAGTCAAATTAGGAACACTGTATCTTCTATCCTTACTATGTAGTGTGATGAAATCAACAGGGGTCGTTGGCGAAACCATTGGTTAACATTATGCACAGCACTGCAGCTATCTAACTAGCCAAGCAGTGGTTTGTTTGGTTGCTTGTTAGCAAGCTAGCTTGTTCATTATGGGATATGGTGTTGCGTCATGCGCATTTGCCAAGTTTGTGTTGACATTAGCTAAATCTGCTGCAGTAATGGACTAACATAGTCGATCATTATTATTTTTACAATCTAGGTATACTTTTGTGCATGCCTGTTAATGAGCCTTCTGAAACATTTACTCAAATTAGATAACAAAAATAACAAGTGCTGTTGACTGCTGTCTAGTGTTCATGCTCTTTATCTGCACCAGTTACTAATAAGCGATAACTGCATTATTGTATCATTGATTCAGACTAATTTTCAGAATGCTTCAGGACAGTGGTGACGAAGAAGACATGTAGGCTACACAGCAATTGAAGCATCCTGACACTTACAGCTTGGCATGTTAGACCAATGATGACTGAGGTCTTAAAACTGCACCTTAAAGTTCCAAGTAACCTATCTTCAAATGTGGCTAGGTCTACATATGGAATAGAGGAAAAACATTTGATTTAATTAAGTAGGCTATTTCATGCATGTTCTGTTGTAAGGAGTCGAGAGACACAGGAAGATAGACAGAGAGAGAGTATCCTGCGTCAACAAACAGAAATATCAAACCAGCCACCATCCATTCCCGAGGCTGTTATTATGTTATTAACTGTAGACACACAGAGGACTTGTGTATTCTCTTGGTCACAGCGACATATTGGAACTCAGCCACTCTGTAGCTGGCAGCACACAGCAGGCCTAGGAAAGCTGGCTGATGTTTCCAAGGCCTAGTCCAACTCTTCTATTCAATTTACAGCACCTATCTCGGAGCGCTTGTTGACTTGACAGTCAATCTAATAGCTATCTATTCTTCTTCCCCAATTGTTAGCCTATTTGCAGTCCAGAAGACTCCGCTCCGGGTTAACCTGTGTCGTTGGCCAGAGGGTCTCTCCCCGCGAGGAGTCGTCTACTGCTGCTGTTGCTGGATTGGTGACCATGTCAGCCTCCGCTCTCATCCACCTGGCCCGGTCGGGGGGGACCCAGGCCATGCGACAGAGGGGTTTCCTCCAGACAGCCCTAGTTAGTGTCCTACCCCTCCAGGATGACCTCCCCCTCCAACGGCCCTTCCACCTGGGCCTGCTGCGGGCCAGCAACACGCGCTTCGACCCAGGACAGCAGCGGCAAGCCCACCACCTGGGACTCGTTCGGCATCTGGGACAACCGCATCGACGAGCCCATCAACCTATCGCCCTCCATCAAGTACGGCAAGCCCATCCCCAAGGTCAGCCTGTCCAAGGTGGGCTGCGCCTCACTCATCGGCCAGCGGAGGGAGAACGAGGACCGCTTCCAGGTCTCCCAGATGACCGACAATATCCTCTACTTTGCTGTGTTCGACGGTCACGGAGGGCCTGAGGCGGCAGACTTCTGCGACAAGTACATGGAGAAGTACATTAAGTAAGTCATCTGGCTGGGTTTTAGGATCTGTGTTTAGTCAGGGCATTGGCCTGTAGGACCTGTTTAGGGCCTAATGTCTGTTGAATGGACTGGAGAAAAAATGCACTTCAATTAGAATTGAGTTTTTATCCTTTTTATACTCGCAAAATCTCTGTAAGAGGTCTGACTGTGACTATTGAGATGGCAGGTAATGAATCAAATTGATTGATTGAATGTGTTTTGGTGTTATTTCAGGGATCTTGTAGCAGAGGAGGACAATCTGGAAGTTGTTCTTAATAAAGCATTCCTTGAACTGGACAAAGCCTTGGCAAGACACCTCCACTTCTTCCCTCATGGTAGGGTCCGTCTGTGATGTTACACGTCAAGGAATGTCGATAGACTGTCTCTGTACTGACAATGTAGGTAGACTGCACTGAGTTCATGTTTTTATGTTAAACTTAACCTACTTTTGTAGCTAGAGTATTTAGATTTGCTAGTGTTGAAAAATGAACTAATAGCCTAACTTATTAATGTGACTGCTCTGCCAAGAGCTATGATGACTTAACCTATCCTAAATGGAGCTAACGTGAATTTTCAGTCGGTGCTTCCAGTGCTGTGAAAGCTAAACATTAATAGCCAGGGTCACCTTTCTCAGACTGCAAAGCACAGGTTAGGACATGCATGTGGCAGACAATCATTCTAAACAAACATAACTCCACTGGATGCCCTGCAGATAAGAAACAGGGTCGTCCTCTTGTAGTGCATGCACCCTTACAAGATACTGGATCAAGTTTACCTTCAGTTCCTTTGGCAGCCATTTTCTTTTGTAAAGGTCGCCTGAAGAAGCAGATGGTAGCAATCATAGAATGTCGACCGTTTTCTCTGAGAAAGGCCTAGTTTAACCGCCAAGATGGTGACAGGCAGTCAGTTTAGCTTGAGTGTGTGGCCAAAATGTCAGCCACGCACGGCATGAAATGTCCCAATATGCCCTGTGTGTGTGTGTGTGCATGTTATTTACGACAGCAGCGGAGCCAGCTAAGAGCTGGAGGCAGCAGGCACCTTTTTGGAAGGAGAAGGGGGGCTAGATAATGGAGAGTCCAGCGGGTCCTATCCTGGACTACTGGAAGGTTCCTCATCTTTCTCTTCCTCTCCTCTCTCTCTCTCTCTCCTTTAGAAACTTAGTCATGAATATTTCAACAGTGTTATACACTTAGTTATTGGAAAGAGGCATTAGCCTAGAGCTCTCACCTATAGATTTGATCACCCATGGTGATAGTCCTGATGAGCGCTATCTGATTCTAAAGTATGCATGTCTGTCACTGCTGCTTTCTGTATTCTGCCATGGGCCAGTACACTGGATTACGGACTGTATATTATGTCACTCATTGTAACTCTGACATTTTTGTATGACACTACTGGTCAGAGATCAATTGGTCAGAGATCCAAAGTTCCACTGACTGTATTGTAGTTGCTCTCATTCTTTTTCTGTAACCCTAAAACAGTGTGACATGCATGTCTGTCTGACTCTCTCTCTCTCTCTCTACCTCTTCTTCAGCCATCCTTTTTTTAGACTAGTAACCCCCTCCCCCTCCCTTCTGTTCTCATGTTGTGGAGTATGACTCGTGAGTGTGTGTGTCACGTGCCTGCTATGCTGTAAATGTGTGAGACTACATGTTGAGCATGTATTTGAATAATTCATTTTGTGTTTTGAGAAACAAGTTTACCATATGATAATTGTCAGCTCTGTGTGTTGCTTGTTTGCTGTGTGTGTCTGGTCTTACGGTTGTGTACAGTGTGTTGTTGGTGTGTGTGTGTGGTCTTCAGATGCATTTCCCCCCCTCTGACGTGTTTCCCTCTACTTCCTGGTGTTGTAGTGGTGAGCGCTGGCTCCACGGCCACGGTGGCCCTGCTTAGGGACGGTATAGAGCTGGTGGTGGGCAGCGTGGGGGACAGCCGCGCCATGCTCTGTCGCAAGGCCAAGGCCCTCAAACTCACCTCGGACCACACCCCCGAGAGGAAGGACGAGAAGGAGAGGTACGGCAGATATCCAGACTCGAGAAAGACTTGATCTGTTATTCATTTGTTGGGGGCTGTAAAGTTAGCAGTCACAGTAGGCATGCTTTATCCATCAAATTGGACACTAATAGAAATGTGCTAACCTGGATTAAGATCGTACTATAAATTCTAACAATGATCCGTAAGTCATTTAAGAGCCCTCTCCCGTGCTTTAAAACCCCCCTGTCTGTCTCTGTACCTCCAGGATAAAGAAGAGCGGTGGCTGGGTGACCTGGAATAGTCTGGGGCAGCCCCACGTCAACGGCAGGCTAGCCATGACACGCGCCATCGGGGACTTTGACCTCAAGAGCACCGGGGTGATCGCTGAGCCAGAGACCAAGCGAATATCAGTGAGTGGCTGCTGTCACCACTTCAGAGAAATGCTCTACCATGCAGTGTCACAGTGTATACATCTCAAATGACACCCCATTCCCTATGTAGTGCACTACTTTTGACCTGGACCTAGAAAAAACGACAAGTATCGATACCAACCGAACCGATCATTTATGGAGGACATGTTACTAATATCGATAATAACGATAAGTAGCCGTTACTAGAGGAATGTGACGTTTGAAATAAAATAACTGCTAATATGGGCTATTACTAACGGGACAGTGATGGCCACAACACTGAAAGTAGCATTAGTAGTAGTTTTAAGGGTAATGTAAAAAAGTAACTGGTGCAAATTGTTATAAACTTATCATTCCATTTATTGTTATCGTGATAATTCAGTCAATTTATTGTGATATGGATTTTTGTCCATATTGTCCAGCTCTACCAGAACCTATATAGTCTATTCATTTTGACCAGATCCACACAGGGCTGGACAAAAGTAGGCCACTGTATGGGGAATAGGTTGGATTTAGCCAGTGTCTGTCACTCAGTTTGACCTCTAGCCCCCAAGGTGTTTCGGTCACTGGGAAAATCTGAAATGATTCTCAAAGGATTCCCCGTTTAGTCCACAAATGTTTGCTCAGAACAATGGAGGGATTCTGTAATGACAGATTAAGCTCCGAAGGGCAAATGTGTTTCCTCTTTATCACTGGAGCCTGTCTGGCTTAGTCTCTGGCTTGTGTCATGGTCTGTCTGTAGATGTCTGACAATAAGGTATTAACTTTGCCTTATATATTATTTTTTTTTAATTCTGTTTTTTTAGCTGCATCACGTTCACGACTCGTTCCTGGCGCTGACCACAGATGGCATCAACTTCATCATGAACAGCCAGGAGATCTGTGATGTCATCAACCAGTGCCACGACCCCAAAGAGGCCGCCCAGAGGATCTCGGAGCAGGTAGGGTGGTCACTTTAAACCACCACAGCACCTAGGGCAGCTTTTCACAAACTCGGTCCTCGGGACCCCAAGGGGTGCATGTTTTGGTTTTTGCCCTAGCACTACACAGCTGATTCAAATGATCAAAGCTTGATGATTAGTTTATTATTTGTATCAGCTGTGTAGTATTGGGGCAAAAAACTAAATGTGCACCCCTTGGGGTCCCGAGGACCGAGTTTGGGAAACCCTGACTATCCAAACAGCTGCACTGCCTTTGAAATTATTGAAGCAGAGATATTTAATGTAAGTCTAGCAAACGAATGAGTTCAATGGAACTCCATGGCACTGTATAATAATCTTTATGGATTGTCAAATAAATATGTCTCCTGGCTGTTCAAAGAAACTATTAAACATTGAGACAAATGTTAATTATTGGTGGCGGTGTCTCTCCTCTCCCAGGCGCTCCAGTACGGCTCAGAGGACAACAGCACCATCATCGTGGTTCCCTTCGGAGCCTGGGGGAAACAGAAGAGCTCCGAGACCAGTTACTCCTTCAGCCGCAGCTTCGTGTCCAGCGGCCGCTGGGCCTAAACAGGTGGACCCGGGTCGTCAGAAGGACCAAGTTGCCCCTAGACACTGATCTAGTGTCAGTTTATGTTTCACACCCCTAATGGTGAGGGTTAGGGCTTGGGGAGTGTAATCTGATCTGAGCTCTGTGCTTATGGATAACTTTGATCTGAAGGGAAGGGGAATGGGGAGGGAGATTCCTGTGGACCTTATCGATGTGCAATACAGTCTCCACACAGGGAGGGACCGTTCAAGACATGCAGGGGGAAAAGCACAGCTAACCGAGAAGCGATGCCTTAGGAACGATGACATGTCATTGTTCAGATAATAATACCCTAGTTTTGAGCCTGTTCTACAGAAAGGCTGTTGACTCATTATGTACACTTAACAAGGAACACGTCCTTTTCACATCCTCCAAAATCGCAGCCTATTCCCTATGTAGTGCACTACTTTTGACCGCCAAACTACATAGGGAATAGGGTGCCGTTTCGGACGCAAACAAGGTTGCAGTAGAAAGCCATCGACTTGGTGGGAGCTTGAAGCCTAAGAACTTTGTATGTTGTTCTTCATTGCGTGTAAGTGAGTTAGCATCGTACCAAGGAAGGCAAACCAGACATTATTAGCTTTGTCTGTTAAGACTTGGGGGGAAATGCTTCTTACTTGCATGTCATTGATAATGTTTTTGGTAGGAAGTTATTCTGAGAAATCAACAACGCACTTTTTTATTTCCAGATTATATTTAACTAATTGGTTTCAATACGTCTGTAATTCATCCGTTGTACTTGTTCGTGGATATCTCTGTGCTGAGGTGCTTCTTTGTTTTGTTCTGAACAACCGTTTTAAAGTATGTTGTCTCTTCGCATGAAGCACTTGTCAGTGTTGAGTTCAGGACAAACTTCTCAGAATGGGGATTTTGGGTACAGTAAGGCACTGCTTATAGTACAGGGTTATCATTGACCAATATGTACAAATTCATATTATCCATCTAATAGGAAAATGCACACACACACACTGCAGTCAAGACGTGTTAAAAGGACCACCATTTGAATCTCTGCATTTCTATAATTTTAGCATGGTAGAAGGAAAAGCTGTGAGTTTAGATACTGTAATACACAGAGAAAGAGAGCCAGCCAAATTTAACATTTTAGTCATTTAGCAGACGCTCTTATCCAGAGCGACTTACAGTTAGTGAGTGCATACATTTTTTTTTTTCATACATACAAATGATGGCAAAAGCCCAAAGTCTTGTAATAGATGGGCATATGGAATGGAATGTGTTAGTTCTCCCTGTTCTACAATCATATTGGGCCCTTGTGAGCCACAGAATGCATTGATACCCCAGTTGCACAAGCCTTAAAGATGCAGTCCTAGATCTTAAGCACTTATAAATGTGTAACATATTGTACGATGACGTAGTACACAATTGTGCACAGTCTTCAGTGACCCGTTTTGGCTCGTGACCAGTACTTTCAAAACTACTGGGTGAAATTATACAAAGCCTTTGGAGCATCATTTTAAGGTAGAACTATAGAGAATATCTATTGAGCTGTGTTCTAATGGTACTTAGTAGTTTAGTGTAAACACAGTTCGTGGTCATTTGGCTTGAAAACGACTTCAACCCATAGCATTCCAAATTATTAACTTTATTGACAACAAACAGGTCAAACAACTTAACGCGGGAGAGCTTTTGTTGATTTTGGTGATAGGGACTTGGAACAACAGAAGAACGTTTAAAATGGTGTATATCTGATAACCATACTGGCATTTAAGATGTTCTCAACTTGGGTACAGAAGTAATTTGTATTTTGTGAGTTTTGTACATAGTTATATTTATGTATATGTTTTGATTGCAGGAAAACCGTCAAAAGTGTAATATTTTTAAGTGTTACAATTCAAATATATTAAAAATTGCTTACTTACTAGTAAGTTTACTACTAGTTTGTTCCTTATGCTCTAGTTGTTCAATTGAAGTGGCTAAAGTATCACTTGTATTGCACTTGTAAACAAATATGCTTTTTCATAGTGAACCTTATATGCAACAATGAACAAAGCAGACATCTAACCAACAAATATCTGATATGTGAATGTCTGTTTTAAAAGGCCGCCAGTGACTCAAATGCAAAAAGTTGTAGTACAACTTGATCTAAAATTACAGCACAAACAGTGATCGAAATTAATGTGATGAAGCTATCCACAACTTGACTGTAATTCACATGGATATCTCCCTTATGGTGCTTACAGGTTGTTATAAATAATGTAACGCTGCGTTGATGTGCATTAAAACCACAGTTGTAATTGTTTGCTCTCTTTCCATGTCAGGAATACTTATGTCCATGTAACAGCTATACTGTTACATATTACTGTGAATGTGAGTATATACAATCCATGAATGTATCTATCCACCATTTTAGGTCTTCCTTGTACACAGTTTGTTTATGATTGTCTGTTCTCTCACAATGTGAACATCTATTTATCCTCCGTTTGTAATAAGTATTTGTTTCCTCTGAGTTCTCATAATTAAAATCTCTCATGCTATGTTTCTCACCAGACTTTACACTTGTTTGTTGGTTTTATCATGTATGTATTTTACTTCGGATTGTTCATGTTGTATACTGTAGTGCAGGGATCATCAACTAGATTCAGCAGCGAGACAATTTATTTCGTGAATGGATGGTCGGGGGGCCTGAACATAATTACAAATAATTTGGTGACTGCAAATTGACCGCAAGAAGCCCAAACAGATATGTTTGACTCAAACCTTGCTTACATTTGTATACGATCACGTCTTTGTATTATGCGTGGGAATACTTGGGAACAGATTTCTTCAATTAAAATCACTTGAAGCTGTTTTACTATTATGTTCAACAATGAATAAAATAAAAAATATATATTTTTTTGCCCAGAAAACTTTGGGTAGCCAAATATAACCACCGCCAGTTGGGGAACCCTGCTGTAGTGTATGGAACCATATTCATCTGAAGCTCTGTGCCTGTTCCTTTCAACTCTTCTGTTTCTACTAGACATGTCTAGTTCTAGTACATGTTGTACTGTCTTAAAGGACTGTCACTCCTATTCTCACATGCCGATGATGTCCATGTGGTCTACAGTTGAATATTTATCCAAATAAATAATAAAGTATGATTTTTTTTTTCTTCTTAATTTGTTTACATTTTCCAACGTTCTTCTCCAGTAGATGTCACTATTGTAGCTGGTGACATGAGTGTCGATTGGAACCATTGAAACTGGGGAGGTGGGAATCTCTTGACAAGAAACTATGGGCGGTGGGAGAAATGAGCAGGTTGTAATCAATAGTCAAGCGCAACTGCTGTCCCTGGAAAAAATGATCCGGCAACTACAACCCATCAGTTTCTCAGCAGGAGTCTTCTATGACATTTTATTAAGTCATCTCATCCTACAGGTGTATCTTAATTTGATCACTTTTGTTGCTGAGAATTTTCCTGCACTGTAGGAAATGCAGATGAGCTTTGTAATTTACATAAATTAACTGAAAAGCCACACTAACCCACAGTTATATTAACGGAATTGCCCTTTTCATGTAGCTTACTGTTGGCCAGCTAATAACTACAGATCAAGAAACATGGTATAAATGTTCAAATCTTGTTTCTGTAGGATTACTTTTGCTGTGACCAATATAGTTTCAAATGACCAAAGAGCTGTCAAAGGACACCAGAAAAAAAATTGTAGACCTGCACCAGGCTGGGAAGACTGAATCTGCAATAGGTAAGCAGCTTGGTTTGAAGAAATCAACTGTGGGAGCAATTATTAGGAAATGGAAGACATACAAGACCACTGATAATCTGCCTCGATCTGGGTCTCCACGCAAGATCTCACCCCGTGGGGTCAAAATGATCACAAGAACGGTTGAGCAAAAATCCCAGAACCACACAGGGGGACCTAGTGAATGACCTGCAGAGAGCTGGGACCAAAGTAACAAAGCCTACCATCAGTAACACACTACGCCGCCAGGGACTCAAATCCTGCAGTGCCAGACGTGTCCCCCTGCTTAAGCCAGTACATGTCCAGGCCCGTCTGAAGTTTGCTAGAGTGCATTTGGATGATCCAGAAGAGGATTGGGAGAATGTCATATGGTCAGATGAAACCAAAATATAACTTTTTGGTAAAAACTAAACTCGTCGTGTTTGGAGGACAAAGAATGCTGTGTTGCATCCAAAGAACACCATACCTACTGTGAAGCATGGGGGTGGAAACATCATGCTTTGGGGCTGTTTTTCTGCAAAGGGACCAGGACGACTGATCCGTGTAAAGGAAAGAATGAATGGGGCCATGTATCGTGAGATTTTGAGTGACATCAGCAAGGGCATTGAAGATGAAACGTGGCTGGGTCTTTCAGCATGACAATGATCCCAAACACACCGCCCGGGCAACGAAGGAGTGGCTTCGTAAGAAGCATTTCAAGGTCCTGGAGTGGCCTAGCCAGTCTCCAGATCTCAAGCCCATAGAAAATCTTTGGAGGGAGTTGAAAGTCCGTGTTGCCCAGCGACAGCCCCAAAACATCACTGCTCTAGAGGAGATCTGCATGGAGGAATGGGCCAAAATACCAGCAACAGTGTGTGAAAACCTTGTGAAGGCTTACAGAAAACGTTTGACCTGTGTCATTGCCAACAAAGGGTATATAACAAAGTATTGAAGTTCAAATTAAGATCCTACATTTGTAGGTTATGGAAGTTCACATTCACCTGTGCCCTCATGCAGTCTTCAGATGTGTATCAAAGTTGATGAGGGTGGGAACGCTTCTAGGTAAGGTGTACATTGGCGTGCGGGCTCGCCTCATGTATGCACGCATGCATCAGTTAGTCGCACGAATGCTCATGAAAATCCTGGTTTGTTTTGTCAGGGAGTGCCTCTTGCATATCCCTTGCACTTTGTACCAAATATAGAATATCTCCACTAAACAACTGTTGTTTTATACAACTGCTATATCCTTAAGTCAATGAAATAGATGTTATGACTCCTCAAGCTATTTGTTGTGTTACCTTGCATTATTATTATTATATAACTTTATGTAAGCTACTTTACCAAGTCACGTCTCACTTCACTACTTGTATAACAGTCATCATAATTTGACGTAGCACATTTGTATAAATCCTACTGTATATAATACATCTCATATAAAGTTGTTATTGATTTTTTCCCCCTTAAACTTTTTTTACTACTTGTTATTTTGGACTTTGTATTTGGCATTTGATTCTTGATTGATATTGATATTGTACTGAATTGTTGATTCTTGATTGATATTGATATTGTACTGAATTGTCGAGGAGCGTTAGCGAGTAAGCGGTTCACTACTGTTTACACCTGTTTCCAATCAACTTTGATTAGATTTTGATTCCATCCTCATAGTCTCCGGTAAAATATATTTTTTTTTACTTGATGAATTTGTTCTGAATTGAAATATCAACAACAATTTG